GTTGAGTTACGCGCCATCAACATTTTTTCTTCGCTTTGTTCAGTCGGGCCTTGTCAGTGTATATCGCCAGCCCTGGTGTGATTCCCAAAACCGCACTGGGGCCACTACAATACCTTGAATCAAAACCAAATAAACATCGTTTCACCAGGCTTAAATAAAGGCTCTCTGTGGGGAAGAGAATGATCCGAAAGAAAAGTCTCGGAGGCCTTGTGGTGCCTTGGGGGAGTGTAAGTTTTTACTCAGAACACAAGATGTAACGAGGACTTCTGCGTCCTACCAAGTAAAGCAACAGCCTCAAGCTTAAATTCCGCATGCAAATCAAACCATTAGAAGTCAAACTAGATTTGGTAAAACTTTTTTCTTCACTGAACAGTGGTTTAGCGAGTGAATGTTGTTAGTGACTGAACTGGGGACTTCATAATCACTTAATTACGGCCTTAAATGATGACTCTGCACTCGATGTCTCACATAACTGACTACGCAAAACGCATCCGTTTTGCGCCTTCTTCTGTCGGTCTACCGTTTACTTTTGAGCCACTGAATTGGACTACTTGAGTCCCAAATACCTAAAACTGAATTCAAGATTGCTCTACGGTTCCTAAAAAGGCAGATAAGTCAACGATTGAGTGAGAATGCACACATGTCAATCAACTTGTCATGGTAATGGTCGTGTTTGATATTTCAGCATCGCGATTACCGGTGAATTGGAGACTTTTAAAGTACCTTTGATTGAATCAGAGATGAGCAGGTCGTGTGACTGAGGTTCTAAAAGAGAAAATAAAAACCTTTTGTTGTTTAGTGAAACCAGGTGGCCCTTCTGGAGGTATTCGCACACACACACACACACACACGCAGATCAAAACACCTCCACCTCCGGAGATATTTTAATTTTATCACTCAGACAATCTTGTCGTTGTTCTCAGCAGCTGCATCGGTGGCGCCACTTCGACGACCGCCCCCCAGTTTGAGTATGAAGTTATCACGAGAGGGCGCCCACTCGCGTGCCCTTTTCGCCACCACCAGGGGACCGAGGTGGATGTGCACGAACTGTGATTTATTCCATCCCACTTCCCTCAACCGAATTGGGCTGATGGAGTTGCCCTAGCACTAGGTCTTCGGTTGACCTTCCGGGTGCGGGTTTGAGTCTCCGGGCTGATGTGATTGCTGTTTCTAGCTAGTTGCTCAGCATGATCGCGCGTCCCAACCATCCACTCTTGTTCCTCTCAAGTCACCTTTGCATCAGGCCAAGTTGAGTTGGCCTGCCACCTATTTGCCTTGTTGCGGGCCCCGGTGCGGTTTTGGAAACCACACCAGGGCTGGCGATATACACTGACAAGGCCCGACTGAACAAAGCGAAGAAAAAATGTTGATGGCGCGTAACTCAACCAATCTATTGATGCAATAGCGGTGTATGTGTTTATATAGCTTCGCTGAGCATCGATCTCTGAACGAGCACAGTTGAGTGAAGTGCATTCAAGAAAATCGATTGAATCTTCTTCGCTCACGCTTGCAAACTGCGTTCACCCACGACTGCCAACTGTACTTGATTGGTGCTCTCCAGAGTATAATTTTATCGTCACATTACCTGCCTCAATTTACAGCCCCCTGAACTCCGAACTGGTAGAACATAATCTTATGCACTCCCAGATAGGCTCAAAAATTCTGCCAGTTCGCGGTCAAAAAGGCAATTTTAGCGAATCCACTCACACCTAGAAGAAAAATTATGGGATTTTCCGGAGTGTTTATTAATATTGACAGGAATTCGACTAACTCTACTCATATTCGATAGTCAGTTAGAAACCATGTATGAGGCAGCCGGTGACACGTAACCAATCATGTATGCGGGTGTCTGTTACAACTTTCTCACACAATGTTGACTCGTCACACCTAATCTAATACATGGCATCGTGGTGACAAGTTGTTCGATATCTGGCTATAATTTCATTGCCAAGGCCGAAACTGCAACCTTTCCGATTTTTAAACTTAGATTGCATGCGAAATTCAGAACTCCTAACCAATTAACTCTCAGTATTTGCAGAAATGCGTGTACGCGCGAGTACACAAATTCAACCAATCACACTTGAGCAAACCGGTTCTCCCTCCCCCTCGCCACGTGAAGGTAAGCCAATGAGTGCCAAGGGAGTGAATGTCCGCTGGATTCATTGCACTTGTTTGTTTGACTCCCCAAAATGCAGGTATGAGTACCGATCCTCCTCTTCTGTTTTATATCCCTTGTCAAATTATTTTCATTTAGTGAAATTCGAGTAAGTTTATTTGTCCCTCCAGAGACTCGCAATAAGTCAAACTATTGGAGGCATTTGAATAAAATCACATTTTTCCGGTTATTGTCAGGGTAAACAAGGATCCAGGTTTATAATAATTGCTAGATTTAATTTGACTCTTGGTACTTATCATAATTTTTTGTATTTCAGTTACTGACATGTGCTTTTACTACCGGACTTGACAGGTTGTACCCATATTTGCGAACCTTTTCATGACATTTATTCTGACGAAGTAATATTGAATACGAAAGTACGCGCCAGAGATATGGTCTCCGAAACAGTTCACTTTGAAGAGATTGAGAGCAGACACGAAAAGAGGGTGTAGGGGGACCTTTTAACGGGGCCTTCACTATGGCCGACATCTAACTTGTTGATGTCCCGTTCATGTGAAAAAACCCACTAATCTCGGGGGAGAATGAGGGACTAACGAATGCGTTTCATTCGATGCGTTTCGAAGCACTTTTGGGTCCTTCGCAGTGGATGGGAAATTCGTTGATAAAGTTGATAATGGAAACACCCGATTTCCAGAAAGTTGTGCATGATCCGCAATCATTTTCCCGAATCTATTTCCTTTGGCATTTGGCCTAATCTAACAGTGAACATTTTAAGTTAGAAACACGTCGAAACACTTGTCTATTATATTTGCGTCTGATACTGTCGATGAGTCCGCTACAGGACCACCTCATCAGGTGGCTTCTGTGCCTTAAAGCAAATGGCAGGTGGTTCGCTAAAGCATATCTGGTTCGATTTTAGCACTGCTTCTACACACCAGTTGAATCTATTCAACAAGGTGATGCGAAAGGTGAACAAATGCAATACGGCAACACTAACTGGCCATGCGTCCAGCAGTGCTCAACACCAGACTACCGTAACATCCCACACCCTGGTCCCTATCCTCAGTGGGTCCCCGAGGAGCAGCTAGATTTTTCGCCTTCACGATCTTGGAGCCGAGATCAGGGAACGCAGTCCCTCAACTACAACAACTCGAACCTTTCCTGGCGCCTCGGTCCCTTTACCAGGTCGTTTCCGGACAACGATCTCGAGCTGTTTGCGGAGCACTTTAAACAGCGTCGAATGAAATTAGGTGTCACCCAGGCGGATGTCGGTAGGGGACTCGGGGCGATGATGATACCTGGTGTCGAGGGCCTGTCCCAGTCGACCATCTGCAGGTTCGAGTCACTTACGCTCTCGCGTACCAACATGCTCGCGCTCCGCCCACTCCTTCAAATCTGGCTGGACCGTGCCGAGGCACTGGGACACTCGGGGGGCAGCCCGCGGGCGTTGGACGCACCCCCGTTCCAGCCGCCAAACCTAAGCACCCCCCACCAGGGCCGAAGGAAACGAACCTGCATCACCGACAGCGAGAGGAGGGCGCTGGAAACGTATTTTGCGGTGCAGCCGCAGCCCTCGGGTGAAAGAGTGGCTCAGATTTCTTCTCTGCTGGGTCTCCCTAAAAGCGTGGTGAGGGTCTGGTTCTGCAATCAGCGACAGAAACAAAAGAGACTCAAGTTTGGCGTTGAGACTGCGAAGTCGAAGTATGGAAGTGATAACTGAGCCTGGCGCGGCTCATTTAATAGTCATTTATTTTTGCACCCGAATAAAGTATCTTCTGCTAATGGGCTTGCTGCCGTCCACTCTGTTCTTATTAGAACGGGCGCGGGTCGAGTGAGAAGACGAGCGCCAACAAAGGTTTACGTGACTATTTGATGGGTTAACCTCAGCGCGTGACGTGTTTGTGAGTAAAGATTAGTAGAAATTTGTGATGACGACGGGGATCCAGTTGCCACAGGCGAGGCTAACGGGGGCACATGCGGCTGACGTGATTGAACCTCTCTACACAAGCTCCGGTCTTGTTCTTGCATTAGCGTGGGAAGGTTGGTGCTAGCGTCAAGAAGAGATCTATTACCGTTATTTGGGTGGTTTTCTCTTTTTATGGGTAAAATTTTGGCGAATTATCATTATAGGATGCTGAATTTTCATAGAATGCAAAACTGTCGTTCCAGAAGAATGACTTTTAATCTCACAGGCTACAGAGACTTCCAACAAAAGGTAATACACTAATAATGCACCTTCGCCGAACTCAAAATAAACCAGATTGATTGGTGACTCAAATGGTGGAAGTGTAGAAGCCAAGGTTGTAGATAATAGATTGTTGGAGGTTGGAGGCCCAGTACTTCCCACGATCTGCCCCATTCTGTGTGTTGGGTAACCCCAACGTACGATGTGCGTTCAGCGTGACCTTTTTTACCATGTGCACTTAGGATAATAAAAATACATTCAAAAAATGTATTTCCAAAAATAAAAGATTCTAAAAACATCAAAAATTGAAAGACAGAGGTATCAAATAGTAAGTTTCCAGCCGATTTTCTTTGTCCACTCCACGGTAACGAAGAGTACTGCATTTGCCGGTATCGTTCGTAGGAGAGATGGTGCCAAACCAGTGTACAGCGCGGCCAAGCCTACAAGACGGATAACAGTGGCGGCGTTTACAATTAGCCATGCTCTGTGTTTAGCTCATAGTAACTTGTGCGTGGGTAAATCGACAGGGCCTAGGCCAATTGGCAGATTGTGCTAAGATGTTACTTTCCCAGACAAAGGCACTACAGGGTACAGCTTGAAATAAAAGCACACCACATAAAAACATGCGGAAATTGGATTTTGAAATATGAGACGCAAGTAATTTTCGAGTGGACGAATTGCGACATAGGCACGGGTTCGTGCACAAACCCCTAAAGCCGCCCTACATCATATGCAGCCTTCTCTAAGCACACGACAGTACGGGAAGACAGAGAATAACATGAACCAGACAAAATCCTCCTGACAACGACTAAATTCAATCTCAAATAATATGGAGAAAGTGCTCAAGCGTCAGAATAACCACACTGACGATCTGTTTACCAGTGGTCGATAACAACGGGAAAGAACGTTTTTTGAGTTTCAGTAGGTACGTAAGGGTGCAAAATAAGTTGATTTTCTCAACAGATGAGTGTGGCGATAAGGTGATTTGCTTTCACAAGTATGCAAGTGACATGAATTGTAAAACGACACGTACATAATTCGAGGAGCAAATTAAGCTGAATGTTTTACTGGAATTTACAAAAAGCAACTCCCAGGATAAAATCCGTTTATGTGGTTTTTTGTAAGGGCAATAATCCCTAAAAAAGCTGGTTCGCGACTGATGGTTCTTTCTGTCGCCCGTGAAATTTAGAGTGGCAGAACTCACGTTAAGGCAGTCCACCACAATTAGGGAACAGTTAAACGGGCAAACGCTTACAGTGGTTAAATGCACATACCTTTTGGTGAGCTCTTTTTGACATGTGCAATCAACAAGAACCCCTTGACGAGGGCTGATTTTGATGTCCCTGAAAATCACCTCATCGTCAAAAAGTTTAGTCGAAGCCCAACGGTCGACCTACAAGGTTTTTGCGAAACACTAAGCTTTCACATGCAAATTTTGTATTTATTCCACTACTAATTACTACCACTGTCTTGATAAATGCCTAAAGTGGACCTTACAGACCAGAAAGAATTGCTGAAAATTATTGCCGACTATTTATTAAGAATGCATCAAATGATTTTTACTAAATCAAAGTTTGTTGTCAGTACTTAAGGATTATAAGTATGCATACGTTCTACTCAACGCTAAATATATTCATAATTAAGCAAACTACCAAGATTAGAACTACGAAAATATAAAAAAAGAATACTTGCAATTCAATTTATAGACTTTATCATGAAATTTTAAGCGCCAGAAAGTGCAGGTATTTTCAAAAAAGGATACCATATTGGATGAACCTACACAACCTACTACGATGTGGCTCGAAATTTGTGTTTTCGCCTGCAGCTGACTGACATATCTACGAAATACATGAACCGTGGGCGGACTACTTCCACTGCTGAGGTCACTGACTGCATTCTTAGCTCCAATAAGCACTTTATTGCTACATAAAAACGATATACACAAATCGGAACACCACACAACTAAGGGGAGTATCAGTGAGTTATCGCCTGGTCTTTAATTGACCAAGTCAGAACACCTATGGCTTGACCCAATTCACTGAAGTGGACCAAGGTTAAATAATCATCATTGTCCTTGGTTCATTGGGTGCTAGAGTAAAACTCGGAATACTCAGTTCTTAGTGCATGCATTTAAACGAAATGCTTGCCAAAGAGGGGTTTTGATAAATACGTTCCGAATTTGAGCCATAAGTACTCTAAATCATTTTACCCTGGAACGGAAGTGGATCCCAATAATACATAAAGGTCTGTAAAGTTTGATGATAAATCTTGGCAGAGACCAAAATGTTGCAGGAAGTTATCGAGTGCTAAAAGAATCTAGCGAAGCCAAAACGTTAGGGTTCAGGTAGCCAGGCTAAGGCAATCTTCAGACACTCGATGCAAACAGGCTTCCTGTGAGTTGTGAACATAACCAACTGATTATTACACTTCTACCTAGTATTCGTTAAAAAAATATTACAATGCTAGAAAAAAATCCAATTAAGTTACAGGCTTTGAATTCTACGTTAAGAGCATATATAAAGTACTTCAAGACGGAAAATGTGGGCGAAGTATGGGCTGGGCGTTATGCATTCCCGTTACAACCACTAACTAAATAAGACATTTCAATGAATCTGTACGAACAATGCAAATCTTACTGTTTTAAATATTTTAACAAGATGAAAGTAAACGAGAGAAAACACACGAACGTAGCACGTGTGGCGGTATTACACAGCCTGAAGTAGAAAGCTGTCCAGAATAGATAAGCTCGACACTAAATAAACTGGACAGAAGCCAATCTTTCTGTTCAGGGCACCTAGTAGCAACTAAACCGAGCAAATACAGTTTCGGTGCCAGCAAAACAAGGCAAAATGACTTCACTCAGTAAAGCAGTACGAACATACCCTCAGTACGGCGAATCTGACAGAGAGTGTTCAATAAACGGGGACTAGATTTAGACATCTGCACACTCGGGACCAAATGCCCAATCTGCATTCGCGATTTGACGACGTCGAAGGGAAAAATCGCTAACCAGAGAGATGCACCACTCAGCCCGCCAGCAAGGGCTGTTGGGAGGATGCCGAGATCACTTTTTCTTCTCCCAACTGGAGTCATCCAATCACGAATAAGTTCGTAGGTACCGAAATAGACAAATAGGCCCAACATTTCCCGAACAAGTGTTGGAGAGAATCCACGGTACAATCCAATCAAGCCTTCCTTGTGAAGAGTCTGCCTAGTTATTTCAGCTGGCCTCCTAAATGTACAAAAGGTCAGCAGTTAATTACTGAGAACAGAAATATACATCAAACTTCGAACCAAGAAGGACCTTATACAGCTCTTAACGTATTAACTTATAAGCGTTATAATACGATAATGCACTGGTGTCACGGTCTACAGACAAGCATTCTGAGACACCTAAAATAATTATCCGTTTAACTTACATTGGAAATCCATGTTTCGGATCAAGAAAATTCATTTCATTAAATGCCTGCACGCGGCACTTTACGAATTCCGTAGGACAAAGCGCAAGAGCAGAGAAAATACCAGTGAGTGCACCGGCAAAACCATGATGCAAAGGGCTAAGTTGGTTGGTATCAGGCACTCGCAGCAAATTGGCCACAGCCTTTTGACAGGACGGCAGAGCACAAAACACAACAGCATTTTCAGCAATACTAGCTGCCAATGCGGGAAATGTACCCGCATATAAACCACGCATTATGCCATCTTTAGCGCAGACATCAGAAAAACATCTAGTAGCAGATCGATATAATTCAGGAAACGTCTGCATTTTGACTTTCACAGTATCTAAGGGCTGAGAAACAAGCACAGAGGTAACACCACCTTAAATTAAGATGCTAGGATCCTTACCATTAATTCCAGCAACTAAACCAATAGCCGACTCTACCATGTGATTCATTGGAGATTAGCGTGCACATCAGTGGTAAGTGAGGTTAAAACCCACAGGTTTACAGGCTGATTTCCTGTTTGTTAAGCAATTATCCAATAAATGCCATCCAAGTTGATGTATTTAAAAGAAATAAACAGATCTGCTCTAGAAAAAGAACAAATGCGTGGATAAGGGCAGTTTAACAGACCACAAGTGGCAATGCATCAAATGTTTATTAACAAATTTTTTGCTGGGTGCTTAAATTCTAATACCAATAATTTAATTGATTTATTAATTGTTAAGCGGTACAAACGCATTAACTAGTGAAGAGTGTGAGAAATTATGGCACAAAATCATGCAACTTATTAAGCTTCTCAATATTTGTAGTTTCGTAGTACCATACTTCCATAAAATCCGGTAACAACTTAATATATTAATGCCATTATTTTTTATTGATCGAAAAGTTATAGTTTAGATACATTAAATATAAATTAAATGAGCGATTTTGAGTGTAGCATTGTACATTAGCTAAAATAGCAACTTCCTTTAACTCGAAAAAATATATCTACGTTTTTGGAACTTTATTTACCCGATTTAAAGCACATTTCTCCCTTGAAATACTTGTTAACGTTTTATGGAATACTTTATTTTAAATTAATGCTTTCATTTACTAGGTTTTGAGCATAAATGTCTTAACCATTGTGCTTTCTGGGAAAAGTATCATACACTCGAAAGTTTGACTTTTTCGAATTGCATTGTAAACAAATCATTGACTTTAGATTTGTAAGTCGAATTGAGGTGCGCAAATTAGTGTTGCAAGCTGCAAAGGTTTTTAATCTGCCATTAAATAGTAATAGGGTGCTTTATTTTGAATAATGTGGCATTGTTATTACTCTACAAATTCATACATGGTGGAAATTGCCGGATATATTTGTGATTTTTGTTTTTAACCCACAAATGGCTTTATTAGCACCAGTTTTTAATAAAAGTCAGTCATTTTTTAACTGTCGGTTTTATTAACAATACCCTCTAGATCATTAACGGCAATTATAACTATGTGTAGGGTCAAACTATTTTTTAAATTAAATTATTCATGCATTTGCTTAGGGAAATCGCGGTAAATAAACATAGGTTGCGCTAAAAGTGGAAGTGGCTTTTTTACCTCGGCATATTATCACGATATGCTGTCTTTGCACAATGTAATACGCTGTACCCAAGGTAGGAATGAGATAGCTGAGAGTTTACCGTTTATTAAGGACATTGACCAGCTCGTTATATGAGATTCGAGCGTGTGTATTTATAGCTCAGATATTATAGTCATAAATGAACAAACATCGAGGCTTAAGGGCTGCTATTACAAGTAGTGCTGATACAAAATAAACCACTGTGCTATTCTGGTGTAAGTTAAGGTTACGCTCGGTTGACGATATGATGTGTGAAGAGAGACAGTTGGTTTGTGAAATATGCAACTGAATTAACAAGAGTGAGCTAACGTGATTCAGAAGGCCTTTTGACCAATAGAAAAATTAATAACACTTTTTTCAAGATCATGGTGTGTCAGCTTTCTGACAGGTCGTTTCCAGTGCTGCGATATTAAAAATAACCTTGCTTAAAGATTTCCTATTTATATTTTCATTAAAGCCAATATGACGAATTAGTTGCAGTTACATCAAAGAGTCCTTATTTGTTTCTCTTTACGTTCCTGTTGTAATTGAGGCGTGAAGCTTATAAAAAAAACTATAAAAACACAATCCACTAATACGAAAAAATTTCTTTGAAACTCAACTTGGAAATGGGTTTAATTTAATAAAGGCGTGAAAAAATCCCTGTCGTTTGGACTGGCTACTATCAGAGAATATCCATCAGGAATAGCCACAAAATCGTGGTTTACAATCGGCCACACGCCACAACACCTAGAATATCAGTTGCCTAGTATACATACTGACTGCAACTCAAATGTACATGAGAGGATAATGGGATAGATGAAAAACCAGTTGGCACAGATCCTTGAAGAAGTGAAGAATTCTTCTATTTGGTTTCTTTTAAACTCTTCTGATACTCTACAATTTTTATTGTCAGTCTGTATGTATGAAATCAGAAAACTCTTCCTTGGTGTCTTCACAATCTTGAATATTAAATAGGTAAAGCTTTATATAACATCAGTAAACCATTCACGCCCACGTCCTTTTGAGTAACTCTTCAGCACGAACTTTTCACTAAAAGACGTACTGCAGGAAATGCCTAGATTTTGAAAAAAAGGCACTTTATGTTGATAAATTGTCAAGTAAATGTAACATATAAAGCAGCTTGTTAAGCTACAACGCCTAAAATTATCCGATTTATTTAATAATACGGATAATTTTAGGCTAAGGACGTAGCTTAACGCTTATAGAAAAAAACTGCAGTTGCGTCATGCAGTATTTGAAAATTGAAGGTTTTGAGGCAGTTGACTTAAAAAATTTGTTTTGCAGTAAAATCAACGCAACTTAAATTAGTAAGAAACTGTGAGAACTAACATGTTACAGATCCAAATAGAAACTACAGGCATTTGCCAGTTTTTTCCAGCAGCGAGACTCTTGCAAATTTTTTTGCCACATTGGATAAAATATTTCGCCAAACTTCTTCACAAAAGGGAGTGTCTAGTTATCTTATTGCAAGTCCAGGTATAATTTCACATAGGTTTTACCACTGTCCCGGTCGCCAAGCAGGAGTAAATGTTAAGATACCACATTTCGATCTCATAAAAAGCAAAGTGAGATTAAAATAAAATGGTACCGAAGTTAACCGTTGTAAAAAAAATTGCATATTTAGATTCCCAATGTAATAAAGTTTTAGTCTGTGAACAAGCCAAAAGATGTTAAGTTTGCCATTCTGCTAGGCTCATTTAATGATGACTGCATTCACGTGGTCATCAGGATCAGGTCTAACGGCCGCTGTTTCGTTAAAATGTTTCAAAAAAATTTATAAAAAGTTTTAAAACTTTACTTTTGGCCTTATTTTTATTTTGATGCCCACCCTTGGTTTACCAAAGTCCCTGTAGTTTCATTATAACAAGTTTTCCAATTTTTTTTAATTTCAAGGGAAATTGCGTAGTTTCACAAAGATCGACAAGAAATCACCCGAATTTTATTCAGAAACTCATTTCCTGGTAAGCAGATCTAAGGACTTTTACAAATTAAGCAAATCATTGTTAATTTTATTTTGCATAGGCTTAGTTCCCCACTTATACAATCATACTGCTCACGCCTTTCTCTAAGCCTTTCCTTGGCAAGTGCACTACATAAACCGAGAATCTGCACATGACATTGTGAGCCAAGTAAATGGAAGTACTTTGGTTTTTCTGAGCCCTCAACTCATTCATAGGTCATTGTGACTCGTCGGCGCTCTCACCTAGGTAATCACGCAATGTTTGCCAAGTCGTCTTCTTTAGAGAGCTGTTAAAATGGGTGTGTTCATCTTGGAACGCACCTCCTAGCTGACTAAGAGCCTTTAGACACAAACACGTGGCGATTGATTGAATCCGACAGGCAGTTGGATCATTCTTCTTCAAAGATGGGCACTTTAATTGTTGTTTTTTTTTGAAGATAAGCCTTCTTCATCTTCAGATTTTGCTTCAACCTCACAACGACTTTGCTGTGCTTCAATGAAACTTCGAACGCAGAGCCTTCGAATCAGAGTACTACCCAAAACATCCCAAAACCTTAACTTTTAAGTTTTGTGGAAGAAATGAAAAATTACTGCAGATTATGAGAACGGTTTCAATCAATGGATTATCGCTAACAAAAAAGAGAACGTGCTGAGATTTGAGTAGCTTATAACCCGTAATTGCCATGTAACCCGCAACTTAGAACTTATTTGCAAGCAGCATTTAGATTCTACAACATCATACACTTGTGTGGTGCATCCTGCTATCCTCTTGGCACACAAACTTTGTACTAAACTTCTTTTTTTCATAGCAATGTCCTGGGTTATTTGGAATGCAGTTTGAGACATTCAGGAGGCGAAGAAGGACCGACATCAACACCATTGCCTCATTGTTATTTAATAAAAGAAACTGACTACACGTCATCACTGAAGATGGTGCATTTCGACTCTACTTCTATTTAGGCAAAGACACCTATCAAAATATCCACAATATAGTCAAATGCATGTTTGTAACACCACGGAGATAAAATCACACGATTTGGGCACAACAACCAACAACAAAAGAGCAGACTTTGGTTATACCTACGGCACATGAAGCTTATCAGTACTGCTTCAATCATTATAATTAGAGCCAGTTCTAAATATTAAGCAGAAAGTAATTTCATTCAAGAAGGATTATTATTTGCACTTAAACTCAGGCTACCAGGGACAAATGGAGGTTGCCTTTCATGGTAAAGTGTCGCATTTGCCTCATGAACAAACAAATCATGTTTTTGTCCTGAAAGCCTTCCGAACTCTGCTTTAACCTTTGACCAACTAAAAGGTGCATTATTCTGATTTAGAGTTCCCTTTCGATGAAATTTTAACAGTTTCTGCTAATGGGCAGGACAGGTGTCCAAAGTCGGAGCAGTGTGGAGGTTTACATGTGTTTACAGGGTATAAATGCTAATCTAGTACCTTCGTGCTGGTATAATCTGCATCACAGGTTTTTGGAGAGCTAGTCCACTTTGAAAAGCATAAATTTGGTAAAATCCGATGGCAAAAATACCTGCCGGACCTAGTAGTTTGTATATTTTATTGAAAATACACGCCTACCCGTCAGAATGCATTCTAGCGTTTTAGAAAACGCAAAAAGACGAAAAAACTCTTCCACGCAAACCAGGTTGGCAACAAAATCAAAGTAAACTTCTACACTGATGCAATTAGTTGGATGGTTTAGGGTGTTTTGCCAATTGTTTTCATTACACGTAATTCGCTTTCGCGTTGTGCTATTGGCGTGATTAAAACGAAGGACGGAATCGCTCATAGCTTTGTTCCCATTCCAAAGCACACTTGCACATTAATTTCTTCAAGGGTCACAATATCCTATTAAAATTTAAAATAAAAGATGCAGAAGTTACCAGTTAATCGATCACTAGTAATCCGAGAGAGGTAATACCCAATCCAAGTAAATGGCAGCATTGTTTGTTCACGGTATCTGAGTCTCACTGGTAACCTGAGATTCAGCTACACACACTATTACATCAGTTGCATACTAAACAGCCACTTAGCAGCCAAGATTCCACGTGTCTTAGAAAGTAATTTATTAAATGTGAGAGTAATCTAGTGCAACACGACCTCGGTGGCTTGGAAATTGGACGATTTCATTTTCTTTCCCCTTTTCTTAGATAAGCAAAAATTTGTTCGTAAAGTCTAATAGGAAATATCGCTTTTTCTTAGTTAGGTGTTGGGGTTTGGGTGTTAGGGGGCTCAGCTAATGGCTTCTAAGATTTTATTTTTTTCCACTGATTTTTAGACAAAGTTGTAGGTTAAAGGAAAGCTCGTTTTTTTAAATATATGTGGGTACATTCGTAAAATGTAAATATACGCGTTGCCGTAGTAATAATAAACGATTTGTAGCAAGTGTTGTTTCGGCTGCATTCATAATGAACACTCCCTGATACCACGTGATTTTGCTGAATCAATTTTTCCCCCAAAAGAAGCTCAATTAATCTGTAAGTGTGAAGCTTACAAATTACGGAAAACAGAACTATTAACATTAGGTTTTAGGTCGACAGCTTTTCGTAACCAAATAAAGCTAGTATTCCTTAGAAAAAAATTGCAAGAACGCCAAATGGCCTTGCTGGAAAAATTACCCAAAACACAATACATCAAGTTGTCCATAAAATGGCTTTTTCTGGTGTATTTTCTAAATCCAGAATATCCTTTTTTGCATTAAGGCTGCGTCAATAAACACTATCGACAGATTTTGACATCAATGAGCTTTAATTCTCTACAAACCAGCCCAAATTCTTAGCTGGTTTGTAAGCCTCCCACTGAAATAAGAAACGAAGCGTGTATACGAATACCTCAATTTCTTTGACTGGCCATATCCCACTGCAGCGCTTACACACCAAACCTTAATTTACATAAACATAGCTTAAATCAGTTTCTTTAACACGTTGATGTATAGTTAACATGCATATTAATGCAATATCACTGGTAGATTTTCGGAATGCCATCTGATTACAGGAGTGCTTCAGTGAATCGTGTTGATTCACGTCCAACACACCGGTCGCCACAGCCTCACACACACGTCCCCTTTTCACGGCGTGCCCGTCAGTCACTGGGACCGCCTGATCATTCAGACTTCTGTATTTTTACTAGTCCACTCAACTGCATCGGTCAATACAACACAAGTAGATTGAGTTGTCTAGTAAACGGTAGTGCCTCGCCCTCTCCTGTCTTCGTCATCACGTGTAGCAGGGTAGCGTAGTCGGCTTAGGTTGACGCGGTGGCCCCGGCGTGGTTCAAGACAACATGCCGGGGTCCTCAACAGCATAATAGCTGTTCGCAAAAGCTAGATATAAGCAATCGACTCAACTTCACTTTGGTGTGTCACATTACTTCACCAAGGTCAGTGGCCAAAATACAATTGTGTGAATACGATTAACAATTACCAGGAGATCGAACTGGGTTTTTACCCAGATGAGTGAATTAAACTAATAATCGAACGCTAAAATGCAAACTAAAAACATTAAATAACACATTGGATGTCAAATGTTACTGTTGATCTTCGTTCCTCCGGTTTTTATTGCCTGAAACCATCGGAGCATGATTTCCCTACACACGAACCGTAAACAGAAAGCTACGAGGAGTGTGGTTGCCTGAAGCCTCCTGCCTCCAGCGCACAGTTACACGACGTTAGTTAAAAAAAGGTGTGTATTTGTTTTGCGCATATCAACGACACATTTACCCAATGGGGATATCTGAAAACGCATTCTACCAACGTCCTTTCGTTATTGAAAAAACTTAGTTTTAACGTCAGCTTAATTGATGCTCTTTGCTATAGCAGTCACAAAAGTCTTAGCACCGACCACTTAAAAATTAACACTTTAAACAAGGCAATATAAAGAATACCAGGATTATAGGTAGAATTAGAGAAACGGGAAACGCGTAGCCCCACCAACTAATTTCTGCTCAGTGTGAGTCCCTTTGAACGGATGGGATGCCCAGAAAGAAGCAAAGCGCATTCTCTTTTAAAACTGCGCAAGAAGACAGAAGTTCGCGTTTTATTTAAAATTTGGAGGGGTCGTTTCCACATCCTTAATGGGCAGGTCATTTTCGTTGATGAAAGGAAGAAAGAAAAAAAATGGGTTCCATAACATTATGAAGCAATTAGCGTTTTAAAGTGTTTCGACATTATCATGTTAGACAGAGTAAAATTTTCTATTTCCATAGAAAAAAAAGATCAATTAAAAACTAATGTGGAATATACAAATAATGCCCTAAGAATCTTGGCAAGCATAAATGCATTGATAATGCTTTGAGATGCAAATTCAAATAATGACATGATCCCTCGACTTTAACTGTGAGAGTTTTTTGCGAAAATTAAACAGCTGAGAAGGAGTTGAAGTCGACGAGGTGGGCCAGGTAAGGATGGTGTCACCATTGCGTGTATTAGCCTGTTTTCCTTTTGGTATTTGCTCAATAAAGTCTACTAAAATCAGTTTGGGTGGGAAGGACCATGAGTGTGAATTCAAAGTAAAGTAATCATGTTAGTTGTCTGGAAATTTGTTACGTTTTTCATAGCAAGTGGGTACGTTCGATTTGTTAAAGAATGCAGTTATTCATTAAACATTTGGCTTAGTTTATAAAAATATAAACGGCTTCCGCCTCTACTTTTGAATCTACAGTACCTGATAAGAGAGAATAAGATGAACTAATGACATCACAAGGAGAAAACAACGGCTCGGACATCCATTAGACATACTGTGAATGAGAGGGAACATCTAATGTTTAACTCGCCACAGAGAAAACCACCTTATGTAACGCCAAAACATTACCCAATCTAGTGCAAAATTTGTCGGAATTAAAACGCTATTGTGTCACTGAAACACTTAACTTGAAAGTCAACATTAGCATACGGACACACACTATCAAACTAACAACTTTCAACAGTTGTTGTAATACAAAATTTAGCAGGAAATTTTCGTTGCAAGCGCTGTATTAACAAACTCTAAGTTATTATTTGCCTTCGCTGTCTTGAAATTCATTGTTTATTATCCATGATTCAGCAAAGCTCCTTTTTGATTTATCTTACCGCCGACCAGTTTAGGAATAGCCTTGAAAAAACCAAATTGAGGATTTACAAATCGTACAACCAAATGGCTTAACTACCCGCTCCTTTATGTTTTTATTATTGATCCCGATAGTTTTGCCTATTGGATTCAACTGGTATCTAGGATCCGGAAAGTGTTTTCGTGACGGACTCAATCAATTTTAGTATCAAAGAACAGCAGCCTCAAATACAAAGAAACAAAATGAGCACTCATTTATTTATTCTGAAAATAAGTCTCTTTTAATAATTAAAACAATTATGTTGACTAAATGGAAAACAGGCTAATACACGTAGAAATTCCATCTAGGAAATATTTGCAAGAAAGTGAATTAGAGGTTAGAAATTACTTTTTTGCCAGGCTTTAAACCACCATTAATCTATGCTAGAAAGTATTTGTACTAACCTCCGTGCATGATACTTAGACATTAAACTTAGTAAATCCTTGCTAAAGAAGCAATGATTCAAATACGATTTATTAAATTGGCGTTTCCCGATATCCTTAAAACACGGTTGCGGCGATTTACAAAGTTTGATTGTGTCACAAACAAAAAGCGGCTTTGTGCTCTCGGGGTTCATTAAAAAATCATACAGACTAAGCATAGAAAGTTGTACAAACAAAGTGTCGGTTTTACATGCAACAGTTATAATGAGGACAGAAGGTCGAGTCTTTGTTTGCACAGGGTCACGGCGGTATTTGCGTCGCAGCGAATGAGGCTTTTCTCCACGGTGTTGGCAGCCATTTTTTCAGCGACCATCTGTTGAGTGAAAAAAAGGCCAGAAATTCAATCAAGGGCTGATTTTGTTCTTTGGAAGTTACACACAAAAACAGCGAGGGCATTTTTTGGTGTCAATGTTTTCAGGGGTACTTTTTTGGCATAGTCGATGATTATTTTGTGAATAGCCCTGGCTGATATGAGTGTAAGTTAATTTTGCTATTAATATTTTCTGTAAAGGTAATAGCACTGCAAAATATCTTATTATCAATTAATAAGTTTGATTTTGCATCGGACATGATTTTATAAGGGTGATCTGGGAATATCAGGAGTTACAGAGAGGAAGGTCATTCAAGTCGAAGTGTGGCATCTACCACAAATCGGTTACTATGGCGGGGCACTTGTATTTTCATGCGTTGGTGCGGATTTGGTACAGTGTGTCATGACTCCGTGTGGCAACTACAGTTTAGGGCTTTTGAGATTTGGTGCTGTGGTCTGAAAGCCGGCTAAGTAAATCTCAAGCACAAACAAAGCAGTTCTATTCTTTAAAAACCATTTTGAAAAATTCATGTAAAATAAGGTACAATATCAGAATTGGTTACAAACAGACACTGTTATCACGTATCACAGGAGAGTTTAAAGCAAGCATCAAAGTACCCATTGAGCCTTTTACTTTGTGACATTAGTCTTCGGACTCTAGATGTGTAGACTTAGTAACTGGCCAATTATAATCGAGACTCAAGCATTTTCTTGGGCATTCGCTGAATGACCAGATTAATTCCAGTTTGCCTATCGCTCTTAAAAGTGTGAAATCTTCACAAAAACGTTAGATATCCTTTATATCTGGGGCGGTAAATTGAGTTCAAGCTTTAAATTGCGTACAATAACCTTGTATTGGAGTGATTATCAAGAAGTATTTAGTTGTAAATAAATTTTTGGGTTGAAAAAGAAGTCCCGATTAAGTGATTGCCACTAAATACCTTAATTTGAATAAGGTTTTAGGCTAGTGAATTTCGATTCTTCCTAGCTTGATAATACCAAAGGCTTGCAAACTGTGAAAACCGTGTCAGAACTTTAAAATAACCTTCTCAGAGCCAGCATTAAATTCTAATGATAGAATGACGTGTCATGACACATGTTTCGTAGTTTTGAAGTCAAACATTGATGAAATATTACTCGAGGAAAATCCAGCAATGCTTTAAGACTGTGAAAATCAGTAAACACAGACAAAAAATTTAGGTCAAATAATTGCACGATTTATTGTTTTTTCAGAATATTTAAAAAATCTGAGCTAGCAAAGTGGGATAGTCTATGCTTAAATCTTTTCTCTTACTTTTTCTAGTTAGCCTTTTTATAGCTCTCAAAATGTATCAGAATTAGCATAACTTCGTGTTAAGTTTGTAACTGGGGGCAAACAGTAAGGTACCTACCTTTGTGGTGTCATCGCTTTCTCTACGCCCCTTCACAACTTCTACGGGACACGCCTTCGATGTGACGTCAACACCGCGTTTTTTAATCAACTCTTTCTCGTAAGGTTGAAGGAGCCTTAAGACGACTTTCTGGGGGTTCCGCTTAATTTCATTCACCAAACCAGCATAATCCAGGGTACCTATAGAGCATTATTTATGAGACCACTAATAACCCTACTTGTTGGGATGCCGTTGACCTCAATAATGCAGTCATTTGCCATGATGCCGGCAGCCGCTGCAGGCATATCAGCCTCCAGAGTCTTTACACGATATTCTTTCTTGTCCTTGAATTCCTTCACTGTGAACCCGTAGCCCTCCTTGCTGGCCCATTTTGAGAGGTGAACCAAACGAGCGGTGGGTAGAGCGGATTCCATTTCGTTGCACTAACTGGTGGGTGTTTGACAATGCTCTTTTTTAAATAGGTGTGCTTTACACGCTTATTGGTTAGCGGAACAAAGCATAGAATATTAGTTGAATGACGTAGTCACACCAGCTATGACGAATTACGACAAGCTAAGGCGAGGCTGTTGTGTGGGTGACGAGACGATTTTTATCGATTGAGAGGTGCCTATGTGAACGCCTCGTTCCTTCAGCAGGCTCTGGATCTGCTAAAGCAAACGGCAATTTCTGGTAACGCGCATGACGAGCACACCCCAAACCAAACCAGTCGCTTTTCGTAAAGGTGCCATTGAATGCTCCTGCTTTTATTCTTACTAGGTTGGAGCAAATGACGTGCGCTGTTTTTTTTTCAATTGTACCAGTTTTGACCATCAGAAATTGACTTAAATAATAAAATGTTGACTTGAAAATATGCATCTAAAATTTCGTCATCTCATTATTTGGGTGCAAATAAGTCACGCCTGAGTGATCCATCAAGGTTTCTCAACTTGTATCATTCAAAAAAACGCCAGTTCGAAAACACCAATCAAACGCTGACCCCACAACCACACCTTTCCTTATGGATATCTGCGATAAGTCACAATGATCAGACAAACATCAGTATTCGAAATACCAGCAACTACAGACAGATTGTCAAATAGTGTTAAACAACAATAGGCTGTTTCAGAAAACCCTTGCAAATTAGCCATATCAATATCTAGCGTCTGCCAGTAACAGCTGTTTTCATTCACAGGCAACTAAATTTGAACCCGAAGTTTCAGCTAAGTTATACAAAAGATTTAAAATATGCAAATAATGCATTAAGTAAAAGCAGGCTCACGACTAACGCACTAATTATTAGACTACTCACACAGGTAAAGTGTGCTGCAAATCTGAAAATATGATTTACTGGCTGAATCAAGCTGTACCTTGTTCCAAAAAATTATTAATAAATATAGAGCAAATACTAAAAAAGGAGTAATTTAGCCAGATTATTCGATTACGAGCTATTGATCTGGCAAAACCGTAAATCTAAATTATCCAGAAGGTCATATGTAAGGAAAAAGAGGTCAAGTTACAATTCTGCTTTAAAGTACTGAGTTTAAAATCATTAAATAAGAAAAATTAGGGGTTCATTGATTTTAATAACACGGTGCAAGATAAAACTGCAAATTTGGACGCAGGATGGGCCTTTTTAGTTTAAACAACTTTCGGATTGATAAAAAGACAATTGTAACTAACGACGCCTAGTTAAACTACGTGAGCTTAAAAAACATGTCTGACAGCAACGATTGCAGAAAAGCTGTTAAAAATCAGCGAACGGAATTCAAAATTATGGAAAGAACTGACCATTTGCATGACTTTATTTAAGAGCCCACAGTTGTGCTATCATAAAACCTTGTAAGGTAAGCACCGCTTTAACCCTACCATCATTTAACACTACCCTTGGCAGTAGCCATCCGTGAACGTTCACTGGTTTTGCCGTCAGGTCGAAAGTTGTTGGACTTCACTCCCATTATTTTAAGTATCAGAAAACTTAGGCACCAAGACGAAGGAAAAACGCCAAAAATACCCAGGCTGATCAAGCAGAAAGCCGATTTGACGGGTTTGCCACGGAGGTGGTTTTTCTGTATCAAAGCCACAGATGAGAAGCTTGTGTGCCACGAGGTATTGACGGGATGACGTGGCATTACTCGACCTTACATGTGACCGAACATCCTTGTAGGCAGTTGATGCAAAGCTCTGTGGGAAGCACCATAGAAAGCATTGGTTTTTAATATAAATAACGACAAGCTGTTAAAAACAATTCGGGCTTTGATTTTTTGCAGTATTTACGCTAATTTCTGCGAATTCTTGTACAATATCATTAGTCTTTGTTACATTTAGTATAAAAAAGACTAAACTCTCAATTGATTGATCACTAGCTGTACTTCATTGAACATATTTGATCTCTTTGTCACGTTTTTTGACTTAGCACAATCATAAGCTTGAAGCAAATTTAACTTTAACCGGAATCATGTATCATGTCCCCACTAATACCTGATACCAGTTGTCTAGGCCCTTGTTTTTGGTTCATGTTGAGTACCCCAATTTAAGTGCCTGGGACTTCCTCCTGTCCCTCTTTCACAGAATGAGATACTTGACCTTGAATTAGAAATAATCCCTCCAAAATTAGAAAAACTGGTTCAAATGCTTAAGTATTAGGTCCTGACCAAATTAAATGTTTCGAACGGCAAATATTGAGATTTTATAAGTTGTATTTCGAGCAGCAAATGGCAACAAGTAATGATGGTGTATATCAAGTCCTACTTAAACCCATTGACTTAATTTGTCAGTCTAAACCTTCTCCTAACACCCTATAAGGGGACCAGATTGTATGCTAAATTATTTGTCGTTCATGAAGAGTGTTCCAATTTAATTGAACATGAAAATTTATATAGGCCGTCTTTCGGTCAAAAGCCTCCCGGTTAACACAAATATGATCCTCCCGTCCAAAATTTTAAAGCTTCAGTTGGCACATTAGCAGGAATGGCTGAAGCAATAAATATTCAGACTGTAGGTAGTAAAATCTCTCATGTCTCGTGTTCTTAAAATTCTGAGGTCCTCGAAAACCTCCTCACCCGTTTTAAAATCTTGACTTTTGCCTCACCATTGCTGCTTCCAAAGACCTCAAGTGACGCAATCAAGCCAGTATGTCTTTCAACATGAACTTTTTCTAAGGACCTTGTCAGCACTTTCGTTGCCAGATTTGGCGCAAACGGATCTTCGCATTATCCTCAGTAATCACGTTACAATATCTTGGCCCCAATGCCACGATCATTTTCACATTTTAAATTCTATATCTGCGGGCATAATTTTCCCGAATATCTGAGAAAAATAAATACAATAATTCTATATTGATTACCATGTCAGTCATTGATTACATATTAAATGCCACCATGTTTTCGTGGTCTTGTAAGGCACGTTGAATAAATGATCCTCTAAACACTTTAAGCGTTTTTACTTAAACAATCCCCAAATTTCATAGACCAATTGTTGCGTGTAACAATTCGGCATAAAAGGAAAACATTTTCTTGACTGAATCATTTACAAGATATCCTGGGAATGCATGATCTTCGTTCAACCACTACTGATCACAGATTTAAGTTCATGGCGTTCGGTTGTTAGGCCACGCCAATATATTGGGATTTTTGAAGCTTCGTTGATTTCAGGATGCCAAGTGTAGACAAAGACATGGTAGTTGGGAGAAGATGGTTACTCTGTACCCGCGCAAATGGATGTCTTTCGACCTTTTGGTACAATGAGCATGCATTAAGGTACACACTGCGATACTTTAACGCGATCATTTCATGCTATTAATCGATTGATGTTTAAGCCGTCGTGCAGATGGATTGAGCAATATTCGATTAAGAGTAGTTTGCAAACGCTAGGAACCACAAAAATTGGTTACTTAATCGGTTGCGGCGCCACATACCACCAACTACCCAACAAAGATGAAGTCTCCGGAGGAACAGAGAGCCAAGCGTTTAATCGAGGACTAGGCCAGGTCGTCGTCGTGTGTGTGTCGTGGGTGGCGTTTGCTCGTGTATTTATAGCTTAGATGTGTAAGTCATACTTGAGGTAACATCTAGACCTAGGTGTGAGGATAATTCAGAATAAATGTTTGTGAGAATGAGGGAAAATTGAGGATCCGCGCGGCTAACGACATGCTGCAAAAAGGGAGACCCTGTGTCGGAGGCTGGGGTGACTGGATTAGCGAGTGTGAAACAACGCGATTCGCAACACTTCCGTTCAGTTAAACTAGTACAAGGAATGCGACTATTTGAATGACCGAATAAAAAAAACTGCAAAAAAACTAACTGCAGTTAATCTTGTACTCTCGTGGGCCTTTTGTAATACTGCCACACCCTCACGCTTCGTAACTCTTAAGTACATCACAGTATTGTCAGCTTTAACACACGTTTGCGTTTTCCATGCTTTGGAAAGAGACCTTTTGACGTGCTTCACGTAGGTGAGGCATAAATCCTTTCTCATCGTGTGATTTAACCTAGCTGGCTTTGACAGTTTTATTCACATCGAACTTGAAATGCAGGCCAAGTGTGCAAATCGATTAGGTAAAGCTGTTCATTTAACTTGCTTAAGGCTCTAAGTTTTCCCTAGGGACATTACTTTCACTAGCTGTAAAATTCTTAAGTTTTATTCCATATTATCCAATATTCAACATACCGATTTATTTATGCTTGTCTAAGTAAAAAACTAGATAATTTCCCTGGAGAAACACACAAGAGAAGAGGAGTGGCAGTACTTAACGCCATTGCTATAAATAGTTTCCCTAAAAATTCCATAAGTGAGGATCATTTAATCTAAGTTTTTATTATCCTGTTTAGGATAGCTCCTGGAGAGCATCTAAACTTAATAAAATTACTAAGAGGGTAAAATTTATTATGCTTAATTTACGCTCAATTATAAATTAAAAAGTCGGTTACTGCAGCATTTACCATATTATCTATTTTACTGTTCCTGTTCTCGTTGCTACTCCAATTAGAATTTTTTGTGTGATGAACAGTAATCGAGAAGCACTCACACGAGCGAGTTTGTATTTTTATTTTGCTTGTTGTCTACACACCCGATATTGCTTTGTCTTCGCGTTTTTCTATTTTTGATGTTAAGGCGTTCTATACCTTGTCAGAATTAAAAAAACATTGTTTTAGTCAACCTAAGCAAATGTACTGAAAAAGCTAAACTTCGATGAGATTTATTCTTATATGATGAATGAGGTTATAATAGTGCAAGCAAAATTGTCTGGCAAGTGCCGCGTAAGGATAGAAGCAACGAAAATTTCACCTTTAACAAAAATCAGTATTCAGTACAGGAATCTAACTAAAATGTAAACAAATATATTTTGATATTGTTGTGAATTTTTTTACATGTTTATAGTAATGTTCAAGTAGTTGCCATAAGGATTCTATTAACAGTTAACTTCCATTATTTCCAAAAACAAAAAGTTAGTTTAAAGACAACAGAATCCGATGGGTGGAGATGTTTACTAGGCATGTTTAGCCACTGCATAGTTGTTGCTGTTGTTGAGCGAGTATAGTTAGTGTAAACAGAGGTGATTAACTAAGTGTAAGTTAAATAGAACGTACATTACTCAGGGGCTTTTAAGTATTAAAGCCACGCGGAGGAATTCAGTGGTCACCATGAGAAAGAAACCGTGAAAAATATCATTTCAAATGACTTGAATTTTCTGATATATATATATATTTGTTTTGTCTATACACTTGGCCGAATTTCGCATCCTATAATTTTGCCCTTAAGTTGATCCGGAGACCTACTTTGAAATAAAGGGAGCTGGTGTATCACAAGTGTGTGGGAAAAATTTAATGGCATTAAGAAAAAGAAAAATGACAGCGGATTCAGACACATTTCCTTCTTGAAAAGAGATACAACACAGTACAGTTGCGTTGGCTAATTAAGTTTAAAGCAATTGCCATTCGTGTAATGTTTGGTGTTGCAGTTTATGTTCTATTAACAATGTTCTTCGGAGTGATACAATCAATTGTGTAAAAAGGCCAAACTTTGTAGAAGACCTTGTCTCGTGCAACAAAGCCTCCCTTTTATCAACAAAACACAAAGAAATCAAAATTCAGTTTGCAATAAAGTATTTATGATCCAAGGAAAAGATTATTTGTAGCAATGAATAGAACGTTAAGCATAGCATTAGGCGCACGTTATGATTAATTTAACCTAAGCACTCTACCTAGTAAGCCTTAAATGCTTTACTTGTCCAGTTGGCTGACAGGGTGCATTTTTATGTCTCCACTGCCCTGGAAAGTGGTTTCATGACTGATTACTTCATGTGTTCAAATTCATTTATTGTTGTGCAAGTGTTGTTTGATACTGTTTTTTGGACATAGAATATCTAACTACAAATTAACGAAAACTTTTGTTGTTAATCTTCTTGACTTTGACGTACTTTTTCCTAAAATATAAGCCAAATCCAATTTTACAAAAGTATCTAAGTTTCTGGTGGCAAGCACATAATGACACCAGTACGAATGTTACCCTAATTGATAAATTTAATCACCTAAATTGTAGTTTATAGGCCTAATTTATCAGAAAATTAATAAGCGAAATATAAATGCGTTCAAGGTGTTAGCGAAAGTTAAAAAATGCTTGATAGTACGTGAAAATTAATCTAGAAGATTAATTTATGTATGAACAACGCAGCAGCGACTGAGTGCAAGTTGGCACCAGAAAAAAAACCAATACAGCACAGAATAGCTTATCTCTATTTTGATTACTGATACATGGTTCCTCTTGATTTAAATCGAATTCCACTTAATTTTATTTTTAAACCAAAGCTGTCACTTGCAGATGATTAAAAATAGTTACCCTGCCAAATGCCGTACATTGGTCAATGTGAAACACAAACAATATTAAAAAAACAATGCTAAAGCTTTTAAACTACTTTCTGTTACATAGTTAATCTTAAAAGAAATGATCTCAATTGATTAAAAGACATGTACCGTTGTTAAAGGGTCTCATCACCTACCCATAAAATGAGACATGGTTTGTGTTAATAAATCACCATATCCGAAACAGTAAAAAGTTTGAGATTTATAAAGGGCAAACTGGATGGTCTAATTTTGAAAAAAGGAAATTGTGGACAAGACACATTAAATCGTTTTGCGAGAAAACGCTATTTTAATATGCTAGAGCTATTAAGACTAGGATTTATTCAAAATTCCTGAAGCACTATTAAATTGATGTAACCAAATGCGAAATTGTCACGTACAGGCTCTAGTACGGAAACATTCCAAAAAATTTAAATTAGAATTATGGTGTTTTTCAAAGGGAAACAGGAGAATGTAAACAAATATAATCAATATACTATTCAATTTGTAAGTTATTTATTACGGCTTGAATTTTTAGCAAACTCGATTGTTGCTCAAAATCAACATTTCTGTGCACTCTTTTCTCATTATAACAATTTCTGGAATTTCTTTGTGTTGCCGCTTCCTAGCCAACAACACATATCAAGAAAGACGGAACAATGAAGCGGGCCTTATTACCGCATCACATGTCGGGCCTGTTCATCAGACGGTGTTTTCACGCCCTCCTTATAGTCATTTACTATCCTCGTCTCTGGTTGGTTCCTGATCTCGTAGGTCATTCGAACTTCGCTTGGCGTAGTCCAATAGGGCTGCGCCCTGAGCCTATACTAACGTGTCTGTGCCTTTCTGTTCAATAGTTTTTGCGCCAGAATAAATAGTTAAAAAACCGAATCTAGAAACAATTTTTTCCAAAATATTCGATTAGGTATTTAAAATGTCAGCCGATTCTGGTATCGCTATAATTTTTTCGAACCGTTTGCAAATTCGTGATTTGCAGCCCAAAATTTTGTCAGCATTGTTACCTTGGTATATACTGCTGTTCCTTTTTTAAAACAGTAGTCCTTGACTATCTATACAGGCTATTAGATAGATTGGCAGTAACCCTGATGATTATAAAACGATGTTCCGGGCTTTCACCTAGTCCGTCCCCAGTTTATGTAGTTTACTCCCCTTATTTTCGTCGTTGGAACTTAGGCTCCAAGTCCGACAATTTTTGGCCATTTGTTGTGGAATTATTATTCAGTCACCTAATGAAAGGGTTTCCTGCGGCACATCAGAGCAGTCAACAAGTTAACTGTTCCTTTATATGAAAAATGTAAATGACCTTCGAATCCGCTTATTTTGATGCCATGTAAAATCACACCTGTGTTGTAGGCCTAATCACTCTTCCTCTCCGTCTGTACGTTTGAAATACGTTGGGGTTCATGTTGCATTAAATTTCCCAAATTTTTATTCTATATGAACCAAACACCCAAACCGTGGGAGTCGTCCAGCAGTAATTATCTAGTAAGACCTTGAGTTGGACTTCCTTAGCACTTCATTAATACTGTCATTTTACGGATATGCCCGTGGTTTGTTTGCGTGGTCTCAACTGATCTGATTCTTTTACTGAGGTTTAAGGTGGCTTCAACTAAATTTTAGCAATATTCATCAAATCCAATAATTTTTCCCGTTGAACTCGCTTTGTAAACTTATTTTCATTTATGATAGTTAGCAAGAAGTATTTTTTAGCATCTGTTAGAGACCAGGTTTGATTCAGCTCCATTCTGAAACTTGAAATATTACTGCTATTTATTTCTTTGGGGTTTTAGATGATGCGGCTTGCTTTTAACCATGGATCGTGGGATCCAACATATGGGGAGCTGGTCCGTCTCTTCAGATGCATATCCTCCACTGATCAGGAAAATGCGCTAAAATTTGTGTACAGACGGGACGTCAAGTCGTATTTGGTATGTCAACCTCACTTGGAATGCGTTCTGGATCGATACTCATCTAAATTAAAATTTTTTGTTATGTCGAGTTTTAAAAATTGGTTTGAGTTATCCATTTTGATTAAATGGATATTGAGTCAAACCACTCTTTTCACCCCGTCATGTAGCACGTTTTTGATTATCTTTGTCTTGTACATCACAATCTGTTGTTACCTACAAAATTGCCTTATTGTAATGAGCAAAATATAGCACCTGTCCTTCTTCCTTGCATCCTGGGCTCGTACCGCCTGACTACTTACATTAAAAATTCCCTACGGCAAATTCTTGATCACGAATGTTTAGTTTGTGTCGAATTCCCACGACCATATTTCTTATCCTGATTTAACTGATTCATATTTGATAAGGAACTTGGTTGCTTCGCAAATATGGCCTTATACTATTATCAGAAGAAGACGCAATGTTTTTGAGTTTCTAATGTATCTGGTCTTTTTCACCAGAATTAATACTAGCGAACCTGATATATATGGTGCTGTCGAGTTTACAATTATTAATTGCTCAATTTCACACCAGATCTTAAAATTCACAATAGGTTTCAGCTGGTCCGGTCACGTAACGTTCAATTTGATGCCCTTTTTAACCATAAAATGCGTAAGGCATAATAAATGCGAATTTATTTGATCTGTCCTATTTCACCATAGCCGTAACCCTTGATGTGCATCCCAAAGGCATTGATTTATTTTCCATGTTAAGATGGCAAAAAACGTCTTTGCTGATTGTACTGAGCAATAATTTAGGTGATCTATGGGGTAATTTTCTGCTAACTTTTCGTGATTATCAATAAAATATTCTACCAAACATCGCCATGTACCGAGGAGCTATTCCATTTATGTCTTCAAAAAAATCTGAGCATAATCCAAACCTTGTTGCTTATAATCAGACTGCAATCTCTGGGCTTGAAAGCACAAATTAGAAGGTAAAAAGTGTTAAGCAGTTTTCTGTCAAGGAGCCCCACACAATGAATCTGTTTTTTTCGTAGGCTGCTCGTCTCTTGACCATCTTTGTCGCAAAGCATTGTCTTGGTTTAGATCCTGTCGAAGTGACTGTGGAAAGGGACCCGAATGATCGTCCTGGCCTTTCCAATAAGCCAGACTTCGATTTTAATCTCTCACACAATGGCGATTTTACGGTCCTAACTTCATGCCACAAGATGAGGACAGGCGTAGATGTCATGCGCGTAGAACTTCCACGTGAGTTCACTTTGGGTTAGCTTCATATGCGTTAAAGATGAAATCAGCACCCAGATTTCACTCTAGTATTTTATGCGACAGATTTTAGTGTTCGCTTCCACTATTCTACATGTTTGTGGGCCATGGCTCAATGTGCATCTCATGAATAGAACGCATTAAAGATATATCAAACTTCTAACAACAGCATTGGCCAAGAATACATTCAAGATTTTGGCTTGTGGTCACATCAACACGAATTTGATGTGTTTTCGTGGATATCGATTGAGTTAAATTTTCGAACCAATTGGATGATGCTTACACAAATCCCATCAACCCCTTTACGTTAAAACGGGGCCAAGTAGAGTTCTCACAACTACTTTACATTAGACATGGAATTCATAGTTTACGTACAAACTCAATTCCGTTTATGAACGTGCATCCTATAGAACTTATTAGAGCTCGATCTCCATTGCAATATCAGGTGGATTAATCTCCGAAATACACGTTTGAATGGATTGTTGACCAAGAGTCATTATGAAAGTCGGTGCCGACCCGCATTGTGACGAGGATAGTCTTGACGTGGGCAGGATATTTACTTCAGATCAACTCACTGTGATTTGGTGATTCATAATCTCTACAGTACTTTAAACTGCTGTCTTTAGCTGCCTCGTCATCTGTCAACGAATTTCTGCACAAAATGAGGTCGCTTTTTGCACCTTCCGAGTGGTACTCTCTGAACAATCCAGTCCTAGGCGCCAACGACAGGATGCGCAGGTTTTATCGGTTTTGGGTACGTTCTAATCGACTACCTCGGGAAGTGCCGAACTACGATTTTGTCGAAACCCATCCAAAGTGTGCATGCACGTTTGCCCTGGCAAAAAGTGACGGAGGTCATATCACCGATACGAGCGGGGCCGAATGCTCGGTGCTGTTTTTTTACAAAAGGCCTCCGAGATGAGCGAGTTGGTGGTAGCGTGTTGCGTAGATATTAGATCCCACACAACTTTTATAGCGTTTACTCACGTTGAAATAACAAAATGGGGCACCGATTTGAGTCGCAGAGGTACTTCTGCAATTTACTTTAATGCATTCTTAAATAGACGCCTGGAGAGTGATTTGGGGACTCCGAAACGGTGTTTTAGTGGCCTTTAATAATTAAAGACACCAAGGAGTAGCCCATTTTCGACTATGAGTACCACCGCAAAATAATTATGGTACCGAATTCCGCTCTGATTTCTACATTTAGACGCAATATTGCTACACTTTCTTCTACCTAGTTTAGCATAGCATTATTCCGCAACGATTAATACATTTCGGTTTGGACTACGTGTCACTTTTGTCGATGACGCAATTCCTGTTGAAACCGTCGGTGTTGTTAATATCATAATATTGATATTGTGATAAAATATATTCATTTTAAAGTGTTTAAAGGAGGCCTTCGTGAAGAACACCGGCACGGGACTGCGAGTGAACGTGTCCACAGTCCAGTTTGATCTTACAGCAACCAACCCGAAGTGCACTCATCCCGGGCTGGTGGATGGCGAGTGGGTTTTTGAGGAGCATCAGTTGCCCAACAACCATGTTGCCGCGGTGAGCTGGCACATGCCTGGGGCTCAGGAGGCAAGTTAATTCTTCCCCGTGATGACTTAACGGCAGTTAGTACCGGCACAGCCCGGTAGCGCGGACCAATCACGCAGTTCGTTAAAGTTATTTGGCCGGGTCATTTCACTGGCTAAATTTGTGCCTTTTGGCCACGAAGGTGTCCATCTAACTAGTAGATTCCCATTACAACTGAAATCCTACTCTAAAACCCAAATTTGACATCTAACTGTGAATACTTTGTTTTGCCCCGTCCATGTTTCCTGTTAGAAGAGTTCTGATGATACCTTGGTTGTCGAATTTAATGAAGTACGTAATTCAAGTAAACCAAGTAAGTCGTTTGCTGCTAACCCACTTACATAAACTTTAATTTTACTTGTAGCTGTCAATTGCCTACGAACCCTTCCGGGAGCTTTCTTTTAATCAACTACTCGAAGACCTAAATCCATGGAACGACGTTTCAGAGACGTTCTGGCCTACCTATTGTTCCAAGGAGTTGATTCCACCTTCGTCTCGCACACAATTAGTGTAAGAACCCACTGCAGTGTTTAAATCCTTCGTCTGCTAATGTCAGTTTTGGTGGCTGGTGTGGCAACCAAGAGTATAGTGCAGACAGACAGCCGGCTTTTCGGTTAACTAACTCCCAACTGTTACTAGCAGTCTGCATAAGGAAGTAACGAAACAGTAACCAGTATTTCAGCATTGGACAGATTTAGGATACTATCAATAAAAATTACAACATAAGAAAAAAACGCAACTGATATCTACAACATGGTGCTTGCACGCACCTACTTCTTATCCATGTTAGAAGGTGCTGTGGGGAATGGTGGCTGATTTAGGACGGGAGTGAAGAGGTTGGGGAAAAAAGCTGGAGGTGGAAAGGCGCCTCCGCCGAAACTGGTGCCGGTGACCGACGGTTGCCACGGTAGCCGAGTTGACGGGTTTGGTCCAACGCCCAGCGGATTAAAGGGGGGAGGCATTCCCTAGGTTAGACAATAATGGAGTTGCATGGAAGGTCACTCGGACGATGAACCTCGGTGTCATTATTTGGGAATTAGAGCAACCGCAGACTGGAGTTGGATTTGTAACACTCGAGAAGTACTCCATTTAAACCAAATGGCTATTTCCCTTCTAAACGATAGTTCTTATTCCACTGCACAAAATTGGAGGTACTTACGGGAATTCTGGATATCAGGCAGCGTTTTGCCGTTGATATCACGAAGGGAAGCGAATAATCGGTAAAATAAAAGAATAGATTCCGGCTTCTTTACTAACGCATGCCTTTTATAGTCGTGGTTTATTCATTACTACCGGAAAATGTCAATAGTATAAAAAAAAACATGAAAGATATATCTGTAGTTATCTAGGAGCTCGATTTGACATTCAGGAAATGTCGACGCTACTAAAAGTATCGTTGATCTTGACGACGTGGCTGGTCCCAAATAACGCTTAATCAATATTGATAAAGCTGATGCGTAAATAAAGGAGAACCTATGAATTGACAGCTTAATTAAAATGCAATGTCAAAATAAAGTACACTGTTTTTTTTAATTACGTGGACTACAGTGCCATTTTTAGAGCTAAACAAGTATATGGCAAGTTAAGAGCCAAATAAACCGACGCAAGGCCGCCAGGGTTAATCAGAGCACTTACCATGGGGAACGAGAGGAGCAAATTGTTGGGGTTTCCGGGCAAGGGAGGCGGTCCCATGGGCTTTTGCGCCACAAGAGGAGAGAAATTCGGCTGAGTGAGTACGCCCGCACCCAGTCCCGCCTGTTGGTAGGGGAAACAGTTGGGGGCGGGGGCGGCTGTGAAGGAGAATGAAAGCGCTACAAGGAATCTACCCGCATACGATCTTATCCAAGAAGACTAATTCGCGAGTAACAAGTCGAAAAACACATGCACTGTGGCATACGCGTACGGTGGGGCATTTACTCAGTGATCGAGGTAAAAGAGCAATCCAGTTGTCCATAGCCAAACATCATCGACAGATTATTTAAACCCATGATTATGTGGCGCTTGAATTTGCGCAAAACAGTTACATGTGTTTAAAACTGATCTAACATGTAACCTTTTTCGAAGTTTAAAGCAGCACGTATTTACCAGGGCATGTAAAAGTGAGAGTGCTTGTTTTGGTGTCAACAGTAGCTAAACTATGAACGTCGACAGAACACTTCACAGGCATGAAGGCGCACGTTTTTTAATTCACTTTCCTTAGGGTGTTCCAAATAAACAATCGTTGGTTAGTGAGGCGGTTGTATTCCTATTCCTCTTTGACGCTGAATTTCGACTTAAAATACTAACCATCGCTGATGAAATCGAATAACAATAGCAATAGGTTTGCAGTTTTACCTTCGCGTGAGACCTCAGATTCGTCCTGAGTTGGTGTATCTCCACCATCCCCTTCTTCTTCCTCTTCTAAGTCACCGTCACCACCGATGACTCCTGAAGCGGATGGCGTAATGAGAGAAGTCGAATGTGCCTCTTTCCCTATTACGTTGTCTTCCTCTTCGCTGGAGTCTTCGGAGTAATTTGGCGTTGTCTGAGCATCTAGTACTGTGGCAAGCGGTTTTTCGGAATCAGATGAGGAGGTTGCCATAGTGGTAGGAATCTCAACAGGTTGACTCGGTGCAGATTCGTGTGCCGGCTTCACACTGAAAGGGGAGTAAGGGAGATGCAATGCCAGATTTTGATATAATGTATTATTAAGGCAGCAGTTTGTGGGCGTGAGATTCAAATAAGAATATGGAGGATTTTCAGGCTTGCTGAGAAGCTGCCGACGAGTTCTATCTATAGGGCTTAAAGGAACGCAAATTCGCAAAACGGCGTTATTCCAATACAAAATCTACATTCAGCTTTTAGGACAAACATGGTACGGCAAACAGGCTATAAAAACCAAATAACAGGACTTAAAAGTAATGCCAGATCCATGAAAAACCAGAGATCTGTGGTATTCTCGCTTTTAGCAAAAATTGATACAATTAGCTAGAAGAATAAAGCTGGAGGGAAAATACGAAATAGAAATAGATCCACAGTGAGGTAGGTTTTCATGCATTGGCCTTATAAAAGGCAAAATATCGAACAAGATCCGAAAGTTATGCATTAAAACGCGGCTGTAGGAAAGGGAAGTTAGCAAAGCAGCTGCAACAAAGGTGTTTGTTACGGGACTTCGTCGAATCAGCCTTCATTTCGTTCGTAACCTGATTATCGCTGATAGGGATTAAACGGAGGATTTATTTCACAAAGAGTGGCCGATTTACAATAACAAAAACCCGCAGAGAGGTAAGTCAAATGCTTTTGTAGAGTTGACATTGAAACTGTAAATCAATAACACTTGTGTGTAATAAGTAGGAATCATGACGATTAGTCCAGTTCACAAGCAAAAATGCACTAGCAGTTGTTTAAAAACAACTATCATAAGAATGGGAAGGATTGCATAGCGGTCTGCTGTTGCAGCCCTGCCAACACAAAGATGTCTCTGCGGAGAGCGTGAGAACAAACCGACAACTCTAACCACAGGGTCCCAATAACTGCACTCTCTTAAGCACTTCATCAGAATCTGCGATTTTCGTCCTCCGGAGGAGAACTCCGCAGTTCGTCGAGGTTATGCGCAGATAGGTGAGATATAAATGAGTCTACCGTCGGTTTAGAAGGTGATTCGGAAATGGCTGCTGCCGCTGTCACCACCGACGATGTCAAAACCTACCTGCTCTACTACCTGCTCTTTAAGCAACTGTGCTGCTGCGCCCAGGGCAGATCCCAGCCTCAGCAGATAATGTGCTGTCCTGGAATGATTTAACTTTTAACCTCATATTGTTATCAGTAAATTTTTTCACATAGGCTTTTGTTTTATTGCATTCACGTTCGATAAAGGCAGCGGTAACATTGTAGTTATATAACATCGTAACTATAGCTGACGAGATGGGGTTCAAATGTCAAGGACTAGATTCGCGGGGAATCACGGAAAAGCACTTGCATTTAGGTGGGCTGTGGGTTTTACTTTGATAATCATGACCAAAAAGAGACAAGTTCTCGACTCTTAGCATAAAATAAGCTGAAAGTTGCCAGATCCCATAGTCTTTACCGGCAAGGACTGAATGTAAGGCACTGCTTACAACGGTGCCTTCAATGCACAAATTCCCTTTCGCCGAAACTATTTAAGTAAAAAGAGCGGATTTTGAATGCGCAGAGGCGTTTTCCGTGGTGTTTCGTAGAACCTTGCTTGCGGATCAAATGGGCCAATGGGGGTTAACTTCAGAAGACAAACTTTCAAAGTTCCGCACTTGGCTAAGCGTACGGTAACGAATACAAGTTTACGCTTACCATTGAATCAAGTTGGAGAGGCCAGTCAGCCGAGATATGATCGTGAAAGGATCCTCACCCTGAAGTTTCTCGGGTTCTGTTTTGATCGAGGCGCTGTGTTTCTGCTGCAGCAGCTTGGTCACGGCATCGGACTGACTAGGAGCGGCTGTAGGCTTGGAGGAGGGTGATGCGTTAGGGCGCTCAGGTGATTTCGCAGATGATGACACAGCGGGAAGGTTGATTTTCTTCAAAGTAGATAAGAGATCTGGGGAGATATTAGGCAGGCAAACATGTGCAGACGCCGTTGAGGCAGCAGCTGACGGGTACGGTTGTTGCATAGTGAAAGTCGATGTTGTAACAGGGATTTGGTGTTTATGAGGTGAAGAAACCAAAGGAGCCGAGACCGATGCCTCAGACTGATGGTTTTGATGGCAGGTGATGACCGACGATGTGACAGGAACAGGTAATGTTTGCGCTTGGGGAAGGACAGTTGGCAGCACAGGAGCGGTCTGAGGAGTTAGAAGGGGTACAAAGAGGGGTTGAGGAGGTGGTGGAGGGGCAAAAAGTAGGGATTGGGCAGCAACAGCATTGGCTATCGCTGTATTGTACATCGACGCAGCTGCAGCAGCCGCGGCGGTAGCAACTTGTCTTTGCCGAAGATCACTGTCCCCATTCGTTTCCCACGAGAGGGATGCTGATGTCGTCGATGGTAACGACTGTTTAGGTGGATGCGGAAACTGTCGGTAATCAGAATCGCCAACAAGCGGGGGCTGTTCGGTAACCTAGATATATAAAATCAGGCCTTCATTCATGCCAATTTAAACAGAAATCATCCCTAAATGTGGATTTCGTGGTGGGAGAGAGAAGCAACGACACTGTATGGACCGAAATTCGTGAGTAAAAAAATGGAACTGTCCAAAGTAATCACTCCTGTCTCCATAAAAATATAACCAAAGAAACAAAAACGCAAAAAGTATTCATTAATATATAAAAAAGCTTCTATTAAAGAGTGTAAGTCTTTAAGACAGAGTAATTCTCGATTTGACTATGACCGTTTCATTATTATTTCTTCCTCAAAGAAACTCAACTATCCTGAAGAAACGTCTTGTGATAATAGTGATATTTTGCCTCCAAAAGACTACGGCAGCTAGTCTTAGTCTTTATAATTCCGACAGCATCTTGATCATACTTGGCTCTCAAATGATAGACACCTCAAGGGTTGCGGAAGAATTGAGTAAGTTCATTTACTACTTATGTGCCCTGATTTGCGCATAGCGACATGCAAGCAAACACTCGCTGTTTAAAAACTGTAGTTATAATGTCGACAAATCCCACAATGTTCAGTCTACCATAACGCAACCTAGAATCGGTGGTCCCCTTAGTGGCCTTGAAAACCATTGCCTAAATGTACATTACCACCGACCAACATAACTCATTTTCGGCTACCTTCACGCCCCTAAAATGACTTAGTCTGTGCGTGAAATACTTCCCGGAAATTAACTGAAGCTGTCAACAGATCTTACTGATTATATAAACATTTGATTCTTGGTGTTATTGGCCGTCGGAGTCTACTTGATGCTCTTTCTAAGCGTTCTATGTTAAGTGTTCAGCGAGCCGTGGCGAATATTTACTTTGGAGGGTTCGAAATCCTTCATTGGGAGGAATTTTTATGTCAATTGAAATGAGGCCTACCTTATTGCGATGACTCTCCAACATGGTAGTTACAACATAATGATCGAAATTTCGGGTCTGGAAGCCACGATGTACTTCTTTTTCTTTTCCAAAAATATTTGATAATGCCAATTTGTCCTCTACCAAACCACATCACTTAGCACATTCCAAAAACGGGAAGCGTCGACTAGATTAGTCTCCTGCATTTATGTAAAATTCGAGAATAAATTTTCCCTCATTTATTTCACTATGATTCACTATAGTTCAAAGTTGTCGCTTAAAAATGTTACTGATGCATGTCTTTAACTTGCTCTTGTAATTTTATGCGAAAACAGGATGCAAACCGTCTTGGTTTTTAGGAGTTTGCATACTACATAGCTTCACAGTAGCAGGTTGTTTAGGCAGCTTACTTACACAATATTTAAGTAGAGATGACCTTTAGGATTAAATCCATCTGTAAACCTCTGACACCTCAGTTTCACTGGAATTTCAGGGGACTAACTTCGGTGCACGAATCTCAGCTCATACTGCAGATTCACCATACTGTTTGTACACACGAATGACACTGGCTGAGGGCAAATAATAATAAACTTGAGTGAAAAGACAGGACGAGGATGACTGATCGAAAATGCTAATTCAAGGACCACAGTTATTAGTAGAAAGTCAAAATCGACAATAAAAAACGATGCGTCACGGACTATAACAAACAAAGGAACTACTAAAATAAACAAGTACGCATGGATATAACGAACAATTTCTGGTGAACGAAAAGAAATTACTGAGGACTTCGGGAAGCGAAGGTCTGAGTCTTGGCCTCTACTCGCACCCTTGCCCAGGCCGAAGGGATCACCGTTTGAGGAATTATCCTCGTTCTCGCATTTCCCCCCTTGAGCTACTACTGGCTGTCTGTAGTCAAAATCGCCAGTTTCAGTCAAAGCAGAAGCATTGGAGACGGACGTCTTGCCCTCCACTGCCCCAGCATCACCGTCGTCCGATAGGTCCATATTTTCGTCGACTGTTTCTTCATCTAACACCTCTTTTGCGGCCCGAGTATCCGTTCCACGTGGGTTTTCTCCAACAGCTTCTTTCGTAGTGGCGAATTTGCTACAAAAACCACAAACGAATGAGACAGTGAGATCTCACCCCTTAAACGAAACCCCTGCCCCGCCTTTTGGAAGGTGGTTCAAGTGACAATAAGCATCACCAGGTGAAAAAGCAATCAAGTATAGTGAAGAAAGTCGGATTACCTATCCCAGTTCAAACTAATCACAAAAAGCCCTACAACTAAAGCAAAGAAACCCTAAGAAAGCCTCTTCTTATTGAACATCTTGGAGCAGGACATCTTGAAAGGGATTTAGTCGTCTCTGGTTATAGGGGTCAGGGAGAATGATAAAAACTAGCAGAGGGTATGCCTAGCTAGGGTTGAAACATTGGGCATGCAATAGCCTAAGACAGAATACACTTTTACTAAAGTGAACAAGGATCACCCGAAATAAAGTCAAAACGCAGGTCGGATGTGGCAAGTCAACTTTAGACCTACCGCAGGGAAGTAACCTATCGTTAGCAAATGATTCGTCTTACCTTGCAACCATTTTGGCGAACATGGGGCGATAGTCAACGTCTCCCCGGTCATCAGTGAAGATGAAGTTACTGAACGGTAAATGAGAGAGAGATTTGGGATCAACTAAGAGATCCTTAATGTCAATCGTGGAGGTCGAAATTTGACGACGAATTCCAAAGGGATCGGGATTTCCCTCATCCTCCTCCTCAGACATGTCTGAGGCACCTCCGCCACCAGCATCAACGCCGTCCTCCTCATCGTCGTCCTCAAAGAATTTCGGCGGAGCGGCGTCGGTGGCTTGAAGGGAGGACACAACTGGCTCGGCATCGTCATCATCCGTAGCCATTTCAACGGCCACAGGGGACTTGTCGGCCTCACTGATGCCACTCTCGTTGCAAATTGTGCTCAGCGTGTTGCGTACTTGCTGTTCGTAAGACTTGTAGGCCTAAATAAGAGCAGAACACTCAAGAATACAGTCCCAGGCTTCACTTTGTGCTAAAATCAACACAAGACACGCCCATGAGTCGCAAAGGAAAGAAATAACTTCGCTGTGAACTTGTCAGCCACAATAAACATGGACTTGAATTCGGAATCGTATGTTATAATTAGAGAACTCCCTACAATAATAAGACATGCAAAATAGGCTGGTTTAGTAATGACAACAGAAAACTGTCTGTATTCAGAATAAACTGGAGGATAAAAAAATTGAAATTCCTTATTTAGCTTACAATATCGATGGTGAGGAAAACTGCCTTCAGACATGCTTTGTGCATTTACCAACAATCTTAATAAATCAGAGCAAAAACCATTGCAGACAAATAAAATGCTAGCCTATAGCAATGAACATATTCTAAAACATAGCTTTTGAGTTTTGTCTTTACGCAAGTGACGAAACCGACCATAATTCAACGGATTTTGGTCGTTCGGTTGCTGGATTAAAAAAACAAAGTGTACTTTGATGGAATTTATAAAAGATGTCACTACACTGACAGTCTGTACCTTAAATAGCAGAAATAGGTTGTTGTTAGTATTTGTAGGTTTGCACAGAACTAATGTTTTGATAGCTCTTCGAGTCCGACAAAACACTTACCTGACCACCACCGTAATCAGTGAAAATGTAGAAAAATATATTGACGAAATATAAAACCAGTATCGACTGATCATAACGACCAACCAAAAATTTCACGAATGACTTAGCAGAAGTCAGGCAGTCGTGGGAAGTTATAGAGGCTGTACACAAACGATAAAATGCCTACCTTTGTTATTATAAAGCATACTAAATTTTTGTCCTCTTTGTTGCAAAACCTTTAAATTAATTAAGAAAAACCTCCAAGCAGTGGGCCTGACAGTTCGGTTAGCTTAATGCATTTAACTGGGCCGCTTCATAATACACAATACTACAGGCGTTTCATGTGTCCCAAAAATCAGAATTATAGATTAAAAACAATACAATTACGGCGTGCTTCAGATGTTGTTCGCACGACCCTCTCTTTCATAAATAACAATATGCATTAGCAGAATTTCGATCAACTAGTCAAAAAGATGGCATTACGATGCATAAATTACGACTAACAGCGATGACATCGCCTTACGTTTGTGACAACAGCTGCTTCTTTCTGCTGAGCCGAATAGAAGAGCATTGCCTTGTCAATGTTTTTGAGCAATGCTTCCTGAGCTGAAAGTTTCCTATCCATATTACTCAAGGCCTCTTCTAACTGATTGGTATACGTGGTAACCTACGGGAGAGAAATAATGTCGCCTGTAAGAGCGCTCGCTTACCTGACGCGAAAACGACTGGCCTTCTTTCTTGCTTTTCACGCGACTGAGAATCGCGTCAATGGGGAGGGAAAAAGATGCGGGAGCCAAGTCCGATTCAGAATAGTTCACAATTGTTTCATCCATCTGTTTGAACCCTCGCAATTGGCTGATAAATTTGTCAGGCTTAAAAGCAATAGAAAACCTGTTTTAAATGGATTGGCAATACAAGCACGAACTATAATTTGTGAATCCAGAAAAATGCTCAGATAAATAAACAATAAGGCACGTCTAACCCTGTGGCCACGGTATTCAAACTCTCTCCATGAAAACTTGTGCATGCATGCAAGAGTTAAGATGGACAATACGGGGTTGGTAAAAACAAGCCTAATGTGCGTTAGTGGCCGATTCAGTCGAACTAGACGATGCCTATATGGGTTCTGGGTAAATAACTGCAAAAACCCAAGTTCGCCAATTGACAAAGGGCAACAGTACAAGCTAGTTGATCACAAATAAAGACTTGGGTACTTTAATGTGCGCATTCACGGTAAAGAAAACAACCTCTGGGCTGAAGAAAATAACTTCTATCAGCATGTAATAACACTGTATTTCAATTATTTCAAAGAACCAAAACCATAATCCTCGGTAAAACTCACTGCGAATTCTTTAATTGCCGTAGCTTCTTCTGATTCCGTATGAGGATTATTCTGAATCATGCATTTATCTAAATTATCTACAAACTTGGTATTAAAAAAATAACTAACTTGATATTCGGGTTAGCTGGTGAGTGAATTTTCGATCGAAAAGACCCCGTTCCACCCACATGAGCACGAGCTTTTTAACTTTTTTGATCAGCAATCCCGGTCTGGATAGGTAATGACAATACTGGAAGACAAAAACCGTCTTACCGAAGCACCTTCATTGCATCAACGATGGGCTCTTTGAAGGAGTTCTTCACCTCAGGAACTCCGTAGCTCGTACATTTAAGGATAATTTCATTAAGCACATACAGCAGTGACAGTTGCATTGCTGGTTCAACAGCTAAGAAAAAAATGTACAAAAACATCTGAAATATCGCAAAAGGATTGGGTGCATAAACGATAGGAACAATGAATACAAAGATAGATCAATTACGGGCACTGTTTAGTTTACCGGAAAAGACACACTAAGTACTAGATACTCCCAGCCATATGCCTCAACGACTAATTTTGACCAATATTTTATGGAAAAAGGCATGCCTCTGTTCACAAAAATCACATCAAGTCACAGAGTTATCCTCTAGGAATACAGAACCAAGAACACAAAAACCTTTTCCAGGAGAAACTTACGTTGGCATTAATTGGCAAAAAGCAAATAAATGACTATTCAGCCAAGAGAAAATACCTGATTTGAATGCCTGAAACCATAGCTTTGACATTAGGTCCGCATGTTCTGGCATAGTAAGCAAAAATGATGCTGACTGCTTGATGCACTTCGTGCTTAATGTAAGTTTTGCTAGGCTTTTTTCTATACAATGAGTAGCCCAAGAGTTCTGGTCCATTTTTACATACGGTAATTAGGCTCCCGCACTAACATTGTGACCAATCAAAAGAATGTGCTCCGCAGTGTCGTTTTAGGAGTAATATTTCACTAACCATTGCTGCCTTAGTGGACATTGATTTGCAACAAAAAAGACTAATTTATATAAAGAGATATATACATATGCATATATGTCCTCTTAAAAGGCAAGCGTAAGATCTCATAAGGTGCGCATAAGTTTGAAGAATGCCTAAATAGACAAATATTTATTTGCATTTCGTTTATAGTTCATCTGAAGAAGTAATATCAGGTCATTGTGAGCATCTGTAACGCTACATGCAAAATAGTAAAACTATTACTCTGATGTCCTAAGGTATTGTCCGTAAAATTTTCTAGCTCTATTGCTGTCATGAATTCTAAGGCGTTTCCCAGTTAAATAATAGCGTCCTTTTAACGTGATTGCAGTGGCTAATGTGGAAGTTATTATTACTATGCACACTATACCTATTTTAAGAAAACATTATATATGGTTTGCTGCGGTTAGTTTGGGGTGCATTACTTCTGTGCTGCAAATGTGACAGCTAAAACGCGCACACAGGAAGCGCTATTTGCTAGGTTTATTGCAATACCTACTTATTTAATTTTTGACGTCATCATCAACATTTTCTTTGGGTGTTAGCGCATAAAAAGAGAAAGATAGGTGCAGATACTGAGTTCTCTATTTAGTCGAGTGGCCGAATGCAACACTGCACTGCCCGTTTAACCCACACAAATTCTTCAAATTTTAAGATTATAACTTATTTTCTTTCTGGGGATTATTGGCTACAGGTGACTTTGTATCACTCTAAGGGAATGCTTTGCTTGTAAATGCATTTTTTTTGAAGATTTGCTGTGACAATTAATTCAAACAACTGAAACAGGGAAACTGTTGAATTCTTAGACGCCGTAGCCAAGTCTGAAAAGTTGTCAGCTTATTTATTTGTGTAATCATGCATTTTCCGACGTACTAAAATAACGTTAAGCTTGTTTTACGTTTTAAATTTATTATGTCGATGAAATTTACCTCTCAAATGATAGCGAAGTTTCCCCAATGGATGTTTTTTTGTCTTTTTTTTCACTTCTCGAAGAACAAGTCTTGTCTTAACTCCAGTCAGATGTTATGTTTAGTTTCTTGAATAAGATTTTTCATCCGTAATGCTGAGTTGTTGGTTGAATGAAAGCAAAATTTGTAGCAATTTAGTTTATTATTTAATATTACGGTGAAAAATCTTGAAAATTTCAATCAAAATTACTGTAAGGTGGTGTGAAGAAGGGCCATTATTAATGTTACAAATTGAATGATTTATATCTTGGGTTTGCATTGATTTATAATAAAAACATCGAGTCTACGTGGCCGTAACCATGGCTTTTGTCTTCTTTTTGCTATTGCGCGTTGAGTAGAACTGGTGACCATTTTCATCCTGAAAAAAAAGACAAAAGAAGATGTTAATTTGTCGGAATTCACCAGCTAATTGGATCCTGAGCCGGTGTAAATATTAAATGCAACCTTGAAATATGTAGGTGCAGTTTACAATTCCCTACATTGTATTAGGTCAATATTCGTCCATAAAAGTTTTGATAAACTGAATTCGTGACTCACACATAAGCTTCAACATAAATGACACTTTCAGTTCTTTTAATGACAACCAAGCTGCTAGTTGAAAATCATGTTGGATAGTAACCATGCAACATATAACCTCCATTTTTGGCTTTCAGAATGCTCACTTGAAGTGAAAGTATCATTGCTTACTTAGCGATGAGTTGCAAAGAATATAAGTAGCTGATCGTGTCGTAGTACAGTTTGCCCCTAAAACTTTGGAACTATTATTGACAAGAGCTATAGGCACTTTGTAGACTATACTTCGTGGGTCATCCAAAAATCAAGCACTAGTTGTGGTGACAAATTTGCAAAAGAATTTCTTTTAGTAAAGCTCATCGCTGCATTAATTATTGGATTTTTGACCCTGGTTACCACGGTTGGCTACACTTAGTGACCTAAACTCCTGCTTGAGGTGTGTACTTAAAATCAATTCACGCAAAGTATAAATACAAACATGAAACAAATGCAATGGGTAAAATGCATGTCGAAATTTTAAGAACTTACCTCTCCTTCACAAACAAAATTAGAGTTTGTTTCGAGTAGTAAAACTGGACAGCAGTCAAGCTGCTTGGGTAGAAATTCAGCTTGGTAAATCGACTGTCCATCAAAAGGTACTTCGGGTGGTAAATACTTCGCAGGCCCGCGGACTGGCATCTGACGACCCTTAAGAGACCACCTGCGGTATTCTTTCTTGTAGTTAGTTTGATCCTTTATTTCGTAAAAATAAAAGTAGCATCTGAGTAAATTGCAGGTCTTAATTGTCTTTAAAGTTGAAAGGCTGACCCTCTCCCACGTAAGAATGGGACCCGCAGAAATAATCCCAAAGCCAAAATCAGTTTCCTTAACAAGCGGGGTTCGAAAAGGTGAATATATTGATAAAATGATGAAGGTGGATTAACGACAAAAGGCTCTACTGTCTGCTAGTCTGCAACAGGTTGATTTACCGAGTTCATGAACTTTTCGTTGATGATCTCAATTTGTCTGCTCTTTGTTCACAACCACGGGAATAAAGCACACTGCGAGAAAGCAAAGTTGCAAAGTTGTAACGCAGCAGGGTAGTGGTCTGTTAAGTCATTCACGGATAAAGTGTCGGGGAATAAATAAGTTTGATTCATGAGGTTTATAAATACCTCATACACTAGCGCCTCCGTGACTGCCGAACTGAAAATATCTGTTTAGTGTTATGACACTAAAAGTTAGGCCGTAATATTTAGAGAATGCGTAGGTTGTTAGTCCGGATACTCACAAGTATGCCCACTATCAGCTCCAATAATAAGGGTAACCATGGTTTCAGTCAGCCATTCAGAGTGCTCTTCAACCCAGCTTAAGAACTCAGGAAACATCAGCAACAGACACTGCCCACTTGGTGTACAGCTAAATATTGTAATTTACTAGCGAAGGACGTTTAAACGGATTTTAAGAACGATTGGTAAAATTCAAAAAACTAAAACCCACAGAAAATTCCCCACTGTGATCAGGGGTCTGAGAGATAGGCCTAATCATTTTTGCCCTTTCACCCTCCAGTGCGGTATAATTCGTCCTATACGTAGTGCGGCCGTCGAATTTGGCGTCGCTCGGTTTGTACTCATCTAGAGCGCGATGGAAGTGCTCCGGCAGAGGCCACTCCGTGTAGTCCGTGCGGTGAGTGGTGTCCTGTGAGAAAGGTGTCTCCGTGTGCACCGGTGTATACGAGGGTCTGAATGGCTTTTGCTTGTCTGAAGTAGAAATTTAAAAAGACCTCAAGCACAATGTCACATACGTCAAAAGCACGCCCCCAGTATGGTGTATTTTGTGAGACCTTCCAAATTACCGCGGAATTCCCATATTTTTAATGAATTACGACTTAGAGTTACCTGAATCAAATGTTAATAGACTTGTGCTACAAGTCTATCAATTCACTAAATTAAATCCCACTTTAGGAAAAAAAATGATTAATTGAGGTTCAATAATTCTGCAATATATATATATACACACAGAAGCACTTGTGTTTAATTTACATGAACCAATAGCGTCAAGTTTAATGTCGGCATGTTAAACCTGACATAAACATTAATTTAACATATAGTTTCAAAATCTTTTTGATCAAGTAATGTTGTGTTTTTAAATTTCGCTGGGGCCAAACAAGTCAATAGCTTGAACTAGATGGTACAATTTCCAGACTCCCGGTCAAACCACTACATCAAGCATCACTAAACACGGAGGCGTCGCTACCTCTAGTAAAAAATAACTGAAATTTAGCACTTAATGCGTAAAACGACCTGTGTTCTAGTGAGACGGCAAGAAAGCAATGTTGGTTTTCATCAAACCAGGAACACCCCGTTGGTTTCGAAGGATTCTTGGCAATCGATAGACGTTACTATCAAAGTAACACGCCCAAAACAATTTTTTTTGAGTTTCTCGTCTACAACCAATCTTAACATGAAATGCAACACAAATATTTTCGAAATATTCAACACTTTTAGTTTCGTAATCACAGGAGTGCTGCCGATACTCGCAACATGGTGTGAAAGGCTAACGTGTTTATACCCTGACACAACGCACGTCTCGCGATTTGGTAACGACTTTTCGTCTCGGGGATTTTCACCCGAAAAATTAAGTAATTCCGGTCAACCTATTTGAGTTTATCAGAACCGATCAAACGTCTAAGTGGAATGAGCGATCACATTACTTTGCGAAAGATTACAAGGAGACTTAAGCCGAAAATCGCTTAAGGGGATTGTGATTTGGTAAGATGCCCGATACTTCGGTTGCGTAATAATCGAAGGAAAGTAACTCCACACAGTCAATCAATGTTTACGGTATTCATTTCAAGAGCAGTGAATTCGTCCCTGCTTTGCAAAAGGATCGTAAATGACATGAGTACTCAATTAATGAAAACTGATGAATATTGATTGCTAAAGAGAGCCCACACATGCTTAATAACTTGAGTCAACGCACTTGTCATGATTTGGTTAAAACATTCCGTTGTGGAGATTTTCACTCGAACCAGTCGACAGTCCCGGTCAACCTAGTGAGGCTAATGACCACCGAATCCAGCACGCATGTGGATTGAACAGTCATCATTAATGTGACCTGTTTAGATGTTCGATATTTCGGTTGCGTATGAAATTAACGTTGTGTGGCCAGCCAATATTTGCGATGTTTATCTCAAGAGCAGTGAATGCATCCCTCTTTTGCAAACGGATTGTCAGTGACGCTAGAAACCGATCGTTGAAAACCAAGGTCATCGAAAGTATCATGCTATTGATTTGGTCGGCGTGCAAACTTGCTTTGCATTGAGAAGTGTTTTGTCAAGAACAAGTAAAACACGGAGAATCAATCCGCAGAAAACCATCAGAATTGATTAATTGCTGAGAAAAGTTTGCCGTAGAAATACAATTTCAAGTCTTATATATCCTTAGTAGTTCATTGAAACTTGCAAGGGTTAAAAAATGATTCTTGCAAATAACCCATTCATTTTGAAGTTTGCAGAACTCTTTAAATCGTTCCCTGTTAAAAATATTTATAATAACGACCGATAGTTTTATGTGCACGGAATTATGTAGTTGCCCGAAAGATTATAGGACAGATCAGAGAGTAATTAAATTGATTACAGTTAAATACTCGCCGAAAAAAAAGTTTTTCTTCACATGACAAAGGCAAACTTTTTTCCTGCCAAACAGTCGGAATTAGGGCAATCTGGTATGTCAGTGTCTACAACCATTCCCATTTTTGTCATACATCTGCATGACAATATCCATTAATTTTTTTTGAAGACTTTTTTTTTCTTAAACATAAAAGGACAAATCTCATAACTGACTTTGTTCCATGCATCAAAATTTTGCTTTGAAATATTTCACTATGCCTTTTATTATAAATGCTACTTACGGAAAAGCCTGACTCATTAAACCAAGACCTGCTGAGTTAGTCATATATATCCATAAAAAAAAACAAAATTCGAATCTACCACCCGCATTTTTTGGGGTAACTTATGAAATCGTTCATGATTTGAAGTTTTAAGCATTGAAGGTCAAAGCAAGTTAATTTTTCGATATTGTCATGCTCTGGTCAGCTTAAACAAGATTAAGAGTGCAAAGAAATCATATAGATACCTCCTTTTTTCGGTACATAGTCCGCCGTGAAGGTGCTTATTGCGTCAAACGGTCCACTGTGGATTGTTTGAATCAGCGGCTTACAGGCGTCTGGGGGTTTAACAACCCCATGATCAATATAATCGGTGGTGTAGATAGGCTCTCCCTTGAACTCGGCAGACGGCTTCCTGTACTCATACTTGGGGCCGCAAGATCGGTGGGGTTCGACATCCCAGTCCTTGTAGTCAGCTTGAAGCAACACAGAACACAGCAAATGTGCTGACTACAAGGCCTGGAAATAGCTTTTACTTATAGTAACTTTTATGGCATTGACTACTGTCTAAACAGCATGACCTTGTCGCACTGAAGAACGTTGATTTTGTGTTTGTCTTGTCTAAGAAATTTAGCTTACTTGTTTAAGCAATACAGTCACATTATTTCAAATTGCTTCTGCAAAAACTACGCCGTAAATTTTGACACCCCTAACCTCCGAAAATTTCTCTGATAAGTCAAGGCAAAAGTGCCTAATAATTTCACTTTTCCCTTTCTGTGTAGATGTACTTAATGCAGGTATGTACTGGTCCCTATTTTTGTAATGGCAAGTATCCTCGTGTTGTCATGACACCGGTGTGGCATACAAAACAATTGCTTACATATGCACAAGTGCAGTAAAAATGTTACAAGAAGATTTAGACAATTGACCCTTCCATTGTGCTTGAATAACATATGTTCTACCTTTTAGTGATATTTTAAACTTGATTTACCTTGCCACGTTTACGCAACAGTAGCAGATCAAAATTCTTAGATCCTTTCCGTTTTAGAGCTTGTATAACATCGGAAGCAGTCATAAAAACTGAGTACGAATACTAAAAGATCACATTTTTAAAATCTTGTGCAATGAAATTATTGATACCCCTTATACAGCAATTTGCAGGCATGAATAGGTTTCATTTTTCAGTCTCAACCACCCTACTTAAGGACATTATTCAGAACTGTAGTATCAGCATGATTGGTAGAGTAGATTGAAAGAGACTTGCATCAAACAAATAAAAAGGAAGATTTTGGCGTGTGAAAAGTGATTTGCGTTTACAATTTATCCATCTTCTGTTTTGTTTTTTATTTCCAAAAGGACATGAATATACCAATAATCTGTGAAGGAAAATGGTTATCTTGGACAAAGTATACGAAAAGACAGTTCATTTGTCGTAATGTGTTTGTCGCTGAAATCTATTTATTTTATTCACAAACTTTACCTGTATACGTAGCCTCTCCATCAAATGTACACAGGCTTTTTTCGCGAGGTTTTGGCTTAATTGGTTCAACCCGTTCCGCTTCTTTTTCTAAAGAAATCACGCGACGAATTATAGAAAAGCGTTAATATGCGCTTTAAATTAAATTCCCCGTCGAAGTAAAAACCTGTTGGAGGTAAAGCAGTGATTGCTTGAGAGCTGCCAAATTCTGTAAACCTAAACACGTAATTTGCTTTCTAAAAATTGGCGTTCGCCACCATGTTCCGTATTTCAAAGCCCACTGCACATTTTTAAATTAGCATCGTTTATTTTCTAAACAATGTTTAATGGTTATAAATGTTACTGTAGATGCTTAAAATCTACTAGAGTCTTATGGATCTCCCCGAACTGCAGAAATGACAATAACTGTCAGTAGAAAAGTTTGGAATAAATGAGCCCACTACGTTCAGCATCAAATAAATTCATTGGTTATTGTTGCATTCAGTTTTAGTTTTTGCACCAATATTTAATTTAAAAAAACACCTTATCAAACTAAGAAGCCAAATACATACGGAGTGAACTAACAAAGTGCTGCTGAAAACCTACAGCTCGAGCTTTATGACATTCAAAACATTTAACGAATAATTCATTAAACGGATTATTTATTCTTGGCAATCAAAACTCACTTCCACGGTGTAAAATAGTCTATTATGTCAAACAATAAGCACGGTTGGGGCTAATAAGTTTTTATTTCTCATGTCGACATTGAAAACAAGTATAGTCACGGAAATTACAGAAATTTTCTGATGATTGTAAACAGAAAATTGTAATGCTGAGCAACCACGGCATTAGATTTAATCGTTGAACTTTGACACTGATTATGCAATTTGTAAAGGAAACTCTACATGTTAATACTAAACCTTTATAAAAAAATATTTTTGCAGTCTTCAGACTACATTTAAAATATATGAAGGCTAGAAATAAATAGAGGGACTACGGAATAACTGACAGAACCGACATGGCATGTTTTTCTCTGAAAACAACAAAGAGAAGCAAATATTGAAGTGTCAATTTAGGTTTTGCATTTTAAGACCGATTAAAAACTGTGTTCAGGGTATTTTTAAATCTGAAATGTATAATGTAGTCATTTAGTGCCAGTGTATTATTCAAACAGTTCATGAAAATTGAGTCCATAGGAGGTTAAAATTACAGCATAATACTCAACATGCAACATACCAGTAAATTCTGAGCTGTAAACACTTTGACCTTCAAACCTGCCTTCGGGAATGTGAGGTGGTCCAGCACTTTTCGGTTTTCGAATTTCCAAAGGGAGTGGAATATAATCAGCTCTGGAAAGATAAGAAGAAAATATAAATATTTGCTAGATCAAGTTTCTCTAGTTTTATAAATTGATGCAGCTACGTGCCTGCTTTTGTCAATCACAATTATTCTTAATCTACGTGTATTTGTAAGAACTAAGTAAAATTACAGATACTGCACCACACACACACACACACAAACTAAAACATCATGAAACAAATTTATACTTGCACGATTCTACTATTAGCAGGTATCTGCCTCCTAGTATCTGCCAACCAAAAAATCAAGATCCAAATAATGAGTACCAAGCTGATAAATGAAGGGGAGTTATGGATATGATGGAAAATTATTAATATCGCAGCTAACTATACTGGTAACAGTAATAAAATTTATCTAACAGTCAGTACAAAAACGTTTTATCGTCTGATATATATAAATATATTTTTTCATGAGTAAGCATTGAATTACTGTTCACCAACAAAAATTTTCAGCAATATTTCGCAAGGTTACACCTAATTTAATCCACTTACCTGTGTGTTGTTTCACTAGACAGAGGTTCCGTTGACGAAACCACATTCGATTCTAGCTTAAAGGGCTGCTGTTTCTGGCTTGTGTGGCCAATGTATCTATCTGTGTACTCTGTTGCACTGCAAAAAGGGTCTGTATTCTGTTTTGGGTGTATATGTGGGCACTTGTGACGACTAAACAAACAAAATGCAATTTAAATCACGTACCCGCATTGGCATATTTTACAAATGCACTTGTGCTTAAACATTTATGAGGAAAAAATGACCACCAAATCTCAATCAAAATCGTCCGATTTGCAGGAGACAGTCACAAACATACATTTGATTGATTTAAACAACCAAGGCAACATTTTTGCATTATTTAATAATGTTTGCTATCTTGCAATGCAATTTATCACGAAAAAAATTAATCACCGGTCACTTCGATAATCGCAAAGCTTACATATATATTGGCTCTAAATATATCCCTGGCACAAAGTAAAAGCTGGAACATATTGAATGTATGCCCGTCTACATAAAAAAGATGGGTTTTATGTCAATGCCAGACCAGGAATAAATTTTAATAACCAGAAAAGTAAAATATTTTACACAATCTGATAGATTTAGTCATCAAATTCAAGTTTTAACAGGATTGCACAATTGTACACTGCCAAATTACAGATTAGACACTTATTTTAACTGTTGTTAGGAAAACATTTCTTTTTGCCTAATTGGAAAACCCGATGCAACTCGGACAAAACTGTGGCATCTAAGGCATGTTTATCTTTGTATCTGCCTAGTATTTCATTAGGATTTCGCGATCACACGCCTTATATTCAAAATTTTCAGTACACTGTATAATTTAGGAGCTTTTAAAATGTTTAATTTCTATCACTATTAGCGTGTACATTAGCATTAACATATTTTTAATATTTATCAATTAAATTTGCTTAAAACTTTCCACAAAGAATTTATATGAGAATATTTTATTAAATATTCATTCATGAACCACCAATTTTGCGTTAATAGATTCTCATTAATTGGTGGACTATACATTTACTTTAGTGCTTCAGCCCTTGACATATTTTGTCCTTTCGTGGCAACAACATTCATTTTCATTAATTTTAATTACTAGATTTGCGTTTTAAAGCTTACAAAAGACAACTTATAAAAACCATTCTTTTGGTCTAGGTGATTCGAAACAAGCACTACACATGGAGTATTATCAAGATCATCCTACATTGCGCAGCCAAAGACATGTCATTGTCCAATTGTCCTTCATTTGATGCCACATTGGCAGCAAGCTACATAGAAATGATTTATGGTGATTCAAATATGTCAGATCTATCGACGCAGATTCGAAGAATACAGCGTCTCTTTCAACGGCACCAACGATTTCACCAATATATCTGAATCCGCAATCATGTGCATACATTTCGCCTGCTGCTCATATAAAGCATCTAGTCGTAGAGGTATTTATCGTTGTCATAAGTTAGCCTCAGTTTTCCAGCTCAAGCATACAAACGTGTCATATCACCGTTTGGAATACTTAAGGGTTAATAAAATGCATGACCTTCTATGCAAACACGTAAATAAAACATGGTAGAGATATCTTATAGATAACTGCATTTATTCTTTTCGAGTTTTCATATGTCCCTGCGATTTATACGATATTCTTCACAGATTTTAATCAATTGACATAGATATACAGCATATATATACGCAAAGAATAGAGCCTTACTTTCACAGCTTTTGTTATGTTCAGCTTTTTTCTACTGTTTTTTAAAAGAGAACTCAGAGAAAAGTTTTTGACATTTCTTAAGCTAGCATTTTCGTATTTTGTACTATGTTTAATGTCATGTTTTTATTATTTTTCTGGTTCTTATAATGTAAAAATTTCTGTTTGTTTACGGGACGAGCAGTGCAAATCTGGTCATATTATTAAAAGTTGCCCAAAACCGAAAAGGCTTCATTTTTGTTTTATGCATTTATCATTTACTGCAACTAATATCCTAATACGCTTATAATAAAGCGTAATCATATTCTAATGATTTGAATTGCAATTACTTGTTATCATGTTTTGTTAGCAGAATCAACCTTAATGACAATATTGATTTTGAAAATTACTTGCTTACAGAGCTTTTTGCTCTTTATTATGAGCAGTGATTAAATTTGCGCCTCCCTGCAAGCAAACTCGGTTGTTGAACGACAGTGTGCAGAGAAGCGTATCGCCAAATTACTTCATTTGGAGATTTTTAAACTCCTAAAACTCAAAATTCTGTGTCGAAAAACCGGAATATTTAAAAGATCACTACTTAATGCCAAACATAGTCGGAAAATAAAACCCAAAGATTTTGATTGAGAAATTCAGTGGTGATCCAAATGTAGATAGGCATTTATTTCGACCGTGACATTCTGCTGATGATTATAAAACTGTTGTCAGCCGCATTGGTTCGCAGCCGTAAAACGGGTTACTTCAGACTCCAACACAATGTCCCTTATTTTAAAGCATGCTATCAGCCGCGTGAAACCTTAATTCGCCTTTTATTAGCTCAAACAATTATCCGAGAATATTGCCACACGTAGATCTCAAAGTTACCACAATAATAAATCACACTCTTAAAAAATAGATGGCCTGAGGTCACAAATTTTTACAACGTTGCCATCAGGTACATTAATAGCACGATATTACTAATAAATTAACTTAAAACAAATAAAGTGTACATGCTACTTCTAGCATTAAAGACCATGATTATAAAATCACATTTTTAATTTGTGTATTACAAATGAACAGAAGCGCTTCCCTTGTATTGCTTTGGCTTTGATCGACCAGTATATAACATATTTATTAAAAAAGGATTTAGAATCAATGTTTATGTATGGAAAGTCATTTGATGGTTAAAAAGATCAAGGGGATAGTGTCAATTGAGTGGAAAAGGATTACGACAGGCCAAAAGGTAACCCTGATGTGTGGAGATGTAAACGTTAGAATGAGTACCAAAAAGACGTTAGGAACAGGTCGGGATGCGTTGCCTACACGAGTGGGAAACTTCAAGTGTTGGTTGGCGATTAGACAAAAAATAATACACAGATAGCGGAACTTTACATGGCAAAAAATTATTTCAAACCTAATCAACGCTTTATCGTATTTCATTTCATGTCATCGGTAAATTAGGTCAACTTCGATTAGTTTTATGCAAACATAATTAAGGTAATTTTGTTGAGGCAAAAATGGTCCGCATTAAACAACTTGGTTTTGCCAGTATTTAGTTAAAGAAGTAAAAACTACACTCACATATATAACAAGATATTCCGATCAGCTTGGAATTACGGAGTGATTGCAAAACTATTGATTCTTTCGATTTTACAAAGTTTAATTTCTATTCCAGAGAATCCGGAATGTGTATTTTTTTATTTTTCACAGTTCTGTAGAATTATTAGATTCCTAATCAATACATTCAAAAAAATATGAAAAATGGCGGAAACGTAAGTCCTTTCCAAATTCGTCGGCATTAGTGTTTTTTAATGTTAAAAGCATTTATTTTTTCACAATATTGAATCCTCAATAGTTGATTGTAGTTGGCGTAGTTGTAGTTGATGATATTTCATAAAAAACGAAGCAAAAATTAGATATTTTTTAGCTCAGTATAACTTGTTTAACATTTCAAAAGTTATTTACGGGGGCATCATTGGAAGCGCGTTCGTTAAGTGTTTGTTGCTGCCTGTTTGCGCTTCGTCGTTTTTCATCTGCTGGCGAGTCTTTATACATTTTCAATTCTTTCCAAATATGTGCGAGAGTCTTCGGAATTTACCCGTTTTCCGAAAGGAAAATTTCAGTCAATACGTTCCTTACAAACTCTCGTCCCAGCCTCGGATGGTTTATATATGCACGTCCAGCCCCAACAAACCCATACCCTTTGCTTCCCAACGACACCAATTGTTGCAGATTCCCCATGAAAAAAAGCGGAAACTTATGTCCAGTGAATTGGAAAAGCTCAGTTCGTGTGACTCCAACAATGAGGAGCCGCCAGTTAAACAGGGGAAATACGCTTAATTCTTACTTTATGTACATACTGTTTGTTCATTTTTAGGACTGCTTGATTAATTTATCTGTATTTTTCTAAGTGTTTTTGGCTGTCATTCACCCCCCTACCAGGAGCTGGGTTTGTCGATCAATGTAGCCACGTGACCTCTATGACCACAATGCCGTTCCCATTTGCTGATGGACTCCGATCGAGTTGCTAGATCTATTGATGGCTTACAAGAGGAAAAGAAACAGCTAGTTAAACAGATAAATTTTCCACGACAGTCGGCTGGTGCCCTCTTTAAGGAATTAATTTATCATGTCAGAGAACACGAAGCTGCTGATCCTTGGACCGACAAAAGTGTTGCTAAGAAGGCGGAAAATCGATTCAAGAAGAGTGCGTGCACGATTTCGTAAATCGATATTAGTAATATGTGACCATATTTTTCTCGGTGTCATGGTAGTAAATCGATATCCATTGCATTATCAAAGTGTGAATTCTAGTATTCTCTGTAGTAAATCGGATTTAAACCCAGTAGATTGTTGACCCATCGTAAGACCTCATACCATGCTACTGCGAAAGTTGTATTAATTTTAATATACACATTGTTTGAGAGATAAAGGATTCTTGTGGTTATTTTACTGATCTGCTGCACATGTCATGTCTCTAGGCCATATTTCCCGTCGATCGACTTTTCATGGGGTGTGATCTTTTCGCTTTAGCAAAGTGGGTCAATTTTATTTCCATTTCGAGTGTTATTTCCAGGGACTTAAGTAGTAATAAATAAATAGTTAGGTACTTGGTACGGCGAGAATCTACAGTTGTCTTTCAGGCAGTTTTGGTTTTTCGAAGATCTAATTTGCAGCGAAAGGAAGGAGCTCGTGTTATTCCCCCACACTTTCCAATTCTGACTTGACCTCAAAAAAACGCACAGGAATGCTGGAATATCTTCGGCACTGAAAGCAAGGGGGACAAATTGACATAAAAAGCATGAGAAATCATGGATTGGCGAGGTGGAACTTAGTTAAGCGAATCCAAGGGAACGTGAGATCACAGGATAGCGAACGTTAATAAATTTGCGTGAATTAGTTGAAAAATTCAGCCAGGGCGTCCTTGTTAAGGCAAGCTTCGCCTTCAAGACGTTTACTCACTGTTGTCGCCTAAAGCGAAGAAGTAGGTAGTTAAGCGATGTCGTTAGAGTTATTTATATAAAAAGGGGAACCTGTCCAAATGGGGTATTGGCAGATGCCTGTTTTGAGGAAATAGGTCTATTGGGATACAAAGCTTCCCTTTTCAGATGGTTTATTGGGTTTCATTATGTGAGGAGAGGGGCTCCACAGCAGAGTTCATTCGTCATGAGATGGACACTATTTGTGCTTTACTGCCCTCAAGTAATTCACAACATATGGTAAGGATTTTTTGACAGATGTTACAATAATGTAGGTTTCCCGTTACACTAAAGGTAGCCTCTCAGGGAAAAACCGAATGTTTTAGCTTAAAATGGATAGCAACTTACCCCGGTGAGCAGTAAGAGTGTTGGAAGCGAAGTCACTTTGTAAGTGTCATGTCGCTTGAAGAAATTCGCACTGTCATTCCATCTATGTAGAAACGAATCATTGTATGTGAGAAAATTTGAGCCTGCGATCGCCTAGTCAATTTTACTTGGGCTGATAAGAGAGCTGGGGAAACCAAGTGTATCTTCCAGTAAATAAGGACACCAATTGCGACTTCCTGAATTTATGAGGTGGTCAGGTTTGCAATAACTCGAATGACAGGCAAATAATGTGATGTCCTTTAAGGTCCATTCCTACCCGAATAGCCCACCAGCGAATGTAGAATTCAAGTATGTGGCGCAGCTCAAGTCAAAAGCCTTGTGATAACGCGCATTTTGAACAAAAAATGGTTTAAATTGTAGAAAAATACACGTGGTTTTAACCAAATTTGGTAAAATTATATTGAATGAGAACCCTGAAAGGCCTTGTTCCATAGCTATTACGGGTCCCTCTTCCATTCTTTTGCGGTTACATTAAACGCAAAGGAAACAACAATTCAGTATTGGCGAAAAATTAAACGGTGATTTAAATGCACCGGCATAGTGGTCCAAATAGTTGTTGAGGCATGGGCTCGCGTGAAAAAAGCGTAGTGTTAAGATGGTTCAAGCCAAATAAATGACATTTTTGACCAAAATCCATTGAAACTATGCCAAACACAGTCAGATAGAAGTTGAATTAAAATAGCAACTGGTCCCTCAAAAAATAGTCATGCGAAACTAACCAAAACTTACTCATCTTCCCTTCCAACTTCTGCCATGAGAAAAATTGTTGTTTCGGGAGCAGCATTCAATAGGGGTTCAAGTAAAGTTTCAACTACAAAACGAACATAGTTGGGATGTGCCCAAAGATAAGTGCTCGTTTTTCATATGATTTTTATTAACACGCCTATTTTGCTTGATGGTTCATACAAACCATCACACAGTCACCTGTCGATTTACAGACGGGCGTGAACAGTCTTCCAAATGCACCATACAACAAGTTGTTTCTCAAACGAACTTTAAAATAATTTTGGATGCGAAAATTTAATTTACTTTATCGACCACAAACTAAAAAACACAGTTATCGATGAGAGGGTGAATTCAAACTTATCTTAAGACCTTTAGTTGGATGCTCTCAGCTGATATCGGAAAAGGTGCATGCAGGATTCGCGTAAATCAAGCCACACTTTTATGCTTAACATTTTTGAAAATTACAACACAATGGATAAAAAAATCCTTTAAATCAGTACATAGGCATGTGAGGTATGATTTCATGTTACGCTTTCAAAAGTGTGCAGTAGTACTCCTTAACATAGAGAGTCAAAGCACAGTGAACATTACTGCCTAAACCTAAGCTGGTCCAATTTGGCACACCAAAGTAAGTAGTAGCGCAAGGCCGCTTTTCACACCGAAAAAAGTTACCTAATTTTGTGTGGATTTAGTGAATATTGGAGAAATTATGGTAACTTGGCAAACTGCTAACCTGTGCGGCAGGATTCGTCCCAACTGTCCCCAGTCGCAAAATCTGTTGACCCTTCAAACAGCAAGACAACTCGTTGTCCAGATTTGGAGGCGAAAATTTCACTCAATTTTTCTTCTACCTCATCGCGTGAGCTTAAATAGATCTGCGTAGCCGGCATTATAAGGCTAAAAAAATAAGCGTCCGCATCAGTCAGAAAGCCGCCATTAATTAGCATAATAAGCGTCCATGGTGGTGCACCTTGGTAATTTGTGGAGTTAGTTTTGATCAGGGTTATTGCCAAATGCGAGTGGCGATAACGTGTTAGTTTAGCAAAGATGCACACGCCTGAGAAACACAAGAATGCGAAATGGCAACACAGAATTTAAACTCTAATTACTGTTCCTTCAAGCAGATACGAAGTCACCAGAAAGAATCTGCTAAGCTAACTCGAGCAACATCATTGAATCCCTCAAATCATTACAACTGCTATCATACATCCGTTTTCGCAAAGTTGGTGTTAACTCCGAGTCACAGTGGAGCATGCCCAGTGGCAGTTTAACATAAGTGCATAATCGCGGACAGGGATAACGATTAGCAGTTCTTCCCAAGTTATTGCAATTTGATTTACCCCCGATAAAATCCAATTCGACTTTAAATTCCACCAATATGTTGAAAGAACAGATACTCGTCCAAATCTAAACAGCGCCAGTAAGCGACTAAGCTGTCTCAGCCTCCGGTTTGAAACAGGAGACCTTAGTGAGGTTTTGTAATTGGCATAAGGCTGTCTAAATATTATACCCGTTGTAGAGGATAATTCCAGAGACTTCCCTTCAATGTGTACAGCAATATGAGGACTAACCCATTCCCAGAGTGTGTTTACAGTGAAATTGCGTGCAAACGAGTCAGGCAGAATGAAGAGTGCATGCAAAAAGAACGCCTTCTTGCTGATGTTCTAAGCATTTTTTTCACATTACTAAATTAGTCATTAATGTCATCATAAGATGCGGGTGTATAAATGCCGAGAGATAAGAGATATACATACAAAGTACAACGAAGCAGCGCCGGACAACAAAATCTGTACATGTCGTCTCAGTAATTGGGATACCCATGAGGGGCTGTGGGTCCGTAGGAGCCAGTCGGAGCATACTGATTTGTGTAGGTGGGGGGATGATAAGCCGAGGCAGAAGGATTAGAAATAGAAGAGGCGGTAGAAGCGGAGTGGGGGTACAAATTGTTCGAACAGAGACAATTGGAGGAGGAGGGTTGTCGGCAATGAGGGCAGAGAGTTGAGGACGGATTGGGAATGGATGCAGAAGGGGGATTGTGTGATTGTTTTTGTACCGGATGCGACTGAGGGTCTTCTGGTTCAGGTCCTTTGCTGCCCGGCTTGACTACGTAAATGTCGCCAGTGCGTGGAAGCCGCAGGTACTTGCCATTGTTCCCAGCTTGGATGATTTCCACCACTTCACCCTTAGATATGCTCCGTTCGGGGGCCGGGGGGTGAGTAGATCGAGGGAAGACTAAGTCTGAATAAGTAGGATGACGAGAACGAAGAACAATTAACTGCACTGCGAAAACCGTTTAAAATGGCGACCGGAACAAAGTATTAACTTACAGTGTTATAGATAGTGGAAAAAGACAGTTTCAAGTATTTGGTTTGATGGAAACAGGCTGACTCGGACCGAGTAGTAGTAAATAGAGGCGTTAACACTGAGGCAAGGGCCCAGCTGGGGTAGTAGTTAAAATCATACACATTAAACGATGGTATCACCGAATTATGTCAAGTGACTGGCTATTTTGCCCAATGACTATCAAATAGATGCACCGGAACAATCCATTTCTATATGCATCACTGTATTCGGTGATTCAATCCGAGATAGGTTACATAGTTGAAAAGTATGGAAAAGCCATGAATTATGGTGTCAGATAAATTATAAACCACATGAAGTTTCGATACTAAGACATTGCAATCCTAATTTGCTAAAAGGTCTACTTGGGAGATGGGTGACCAAAGAAATGGTTATTGTGAACCTTGATTAAAGACTAAAAATAGTAATACTTGAAGTAGATTAACTCACCAGTTGTGGCGGCAACACGAGTGATTTTGTAGTCACTTCCGAGGGGTCCGTTGGGAAGGGCGATGCCTGCAAAGAGTACAACACATGGGCCTTCTGAAGCAACGCATGAAAACACAGCAGAAGCCAGTGGGAAAAGAGGGGTCAACACGCTAATGGGTTATAATGGTGAAATTTTGATGTGTGTTGGGAATCAGCGGATTCGCAGACACCAGTTTCAAACTATACGGGGAAAAATGCTTCTGAAGTTAGCTAATAAAATTTAAAAAAAAACATGACTGTTAAAGACGCAAAATCACAAAAGCATGAGAATGACGTGGTCAAAAAAGTGCAAACATTACAGCCTGAATAACCGATGTGTACAAAATCTGAAGAGTTTGTGAGTATGAATTCTTTGCTACTAAATAAAGCAGGTTGGGCTGATTAAACATCGTTGCTGGGGCTCCAGCATTCTCCAAGACGGGGTAATTGCAGGTCAGGATTTCGTCATCGTTTACGCAATTCCCCAAACCACGCCACTTGAGTGCGTTAGTCACCCACGACAACCTACTGATAGGCCCACCCATGTCTTAGCACATCAGGTGAAGATCATGCATTACTTATATAAGTGGGCACATTCAGACAGACCCCTCGGGCTTCGGCTGAGACACTAGACGCTCTCAACAAGAGGTCATGCCTTGCCTTACGTCAGCGTGTGAAGGTGACGTCTAACGTCTGACAAGAGTTCTGGGGTACCGAAATCTGAGTGTTTTGTTTCGGTTATGGGCAAAACGTAACACACTTTGACATCGCACCACCGAATTTAAGACCAATCAGAGTATTCCCAATATTTTTTCGTAGTTCAACACGCAATGACCCCAAAAAGGTATTAGTCGAGGCTCAAATGTGCCAATAAGACCTACAAAAAGAAGGATGAGAAATGTGTTGTCATTTGGCTGCAAATGCTTCAAGGATTCATTAAGAGGTTACGAATTTTTTGCACACTTGTGGCAAAATTGAATTTGGAGGTAACATTGAAATCGCACCGTGTGAACCCGTGGTCACCATTCATTTTTAAGTAAAAAGCACATCCAGGGAGGTAAAGTCTAAGAGGAATTGCCACGATGAAAATCGCATTTATGCATTCTAATTGTTCTAATAAATATTGGCGACGCAGGGTTCCGAATGAGAGAAGGCATGGCAACCATCAAGATATAGGCTTGATTCAGGATCACAGTTCTGTTTATGTTTGCGCATTCAAAAGAGTAGAAAACTTTTACGGCGGCAGCAAACTACAGGAATGTATTACACCCAAATCCAGTCTGAAGTTAACCCAGTAGGAACATGTTCTTGCTACACATTACCTCTTCCAAAAACTTGCAGCTTCAAACCAAATACATCAATAAAGTGAATGACGGAGGTAGGTTTTCAACAATTAACATTATAATTATTGTTGTGCATTTTGTATGCGATTCAACGCTTCATTTCAATGCTTACCATTGACAATCCATAGATGCAACGTTCTTTTTTAAAATGTAAATGATATTGAAAAATTAACGCACATAGAGAATGGCCATGCACATCCCAGGCTTTATGACCAAAGTCATGTGATTTTTCACACGTCCTGATTGACCTTAAACCTCATACAGCACGTCCCTTGCCTCGGTTACATGAAGGTGCATTGAACACACTATCTGTAGCCTGCCACACCATCAAACGATTCCCTATAGCGAAAAACTGTGAAGCGGTTAATCATGACGACCCTCTTGTCGCAGCCTCGAAACACACACAGCCCACCTTCCACAGCATCCCTGCGCGCGTACCTCCCCTGCCATTCATTGCCAACCAGCCAGGCAGCCTCCTGTCGTTCAATTATTTGCATACTCACCGGTTAACCTAAATTCTAGCGGTCAACCATCTGCATGTATCAAGTCACTCCTGGGCGAGTTTGAGATTTATGAAAATACACGACCCTCCACGCTCACACACACGATAAACCCTGCAGGACTAAGCCATCTGAAACATACTTATCCACGTCCCCTCGAGCCTTCTGGGTTTCCTACCATTTTGGGATGATTTGTTTGAGTCCAAAAATTTGGATACCCATGGTCTGGTTCGAGACCCACACTGAAACTGTTCTAATATATAGCTTTTTGCGTAATAAGGCCGTGTAGTGTACGCAACCAATGAGAATAATGGAATTTCGATTAATAGGCGACAGGTAACGGTGCACTGTAATCATAAACAAGCTAGCGTTGAGATGGCAAATTAATAAAGTTCCAATGGATGGAAAAAATGATATATTGACCAAAAGGTTACAGCCTGATTAGTTAGCACAATGTGGATGGTTCACACAACACCGCTTGTGTAGGGGCGGGGATTCAACCAGGCACTTAAATACTTCGTCAAAAGTAGCCTGTGGAAACCAACTGGTAAACAACTAACCAATTTCACGAGACACAGCTCGAATACGGGCTTCGTCGAGGTCTTTTTGCAGCATTCGATTGCGTTGTATTCCCTCGTAACGTCGCAAAACGGAGTCGTCGATAGTCGAGGATGGTGGAATAAAGGGGTGGGGGGCCGAGGGGAACACAGGCAGGTTCTGATGATGGAATCCACTGGCGCTCTTTGAGAGGATATTGGGCGTACCACGGTGCGAGGATGGTGCTCCCATTGACCTGAAAATAGGCATCAGCACGGCTAACGTAGCTGGTCCGAAGTGAACTCCAAAACATCCATTTGCACACTTGATAAAAAGCTTACATAAAATCAAAAAGATCAGAGAAATAAGGTCGTGAGGAAAGTAGATCCCGCGACGAACAATTCGGTTAATGCCTTTCGTGAATATTTCCTTGTTTGAATTATCATTTTGCCCACAGACAGTTTTGTGGATTTTGATTTTTTTTGAACCGGAAGAATGCTTAAGTGACACCGGATTTAATAAAAATGTGCGACAGAAGCAACATTTTGGGAATGCTCGACCACTACTAAACGAAATTTATTTGTATATAAATAGAAGATACGGGACATGATTAGTGGGAGGAAATATTACAGGAGAATGCATAATAAGGGCGAAATAATCGCTCAAATTGCCTCTTATTTTGAACGATATCAGAGCGGACCAGGACCTTGGGAGCTAGCATGGTGTTTTGATTGGTGTGAATATGGGCTCCAAGGGCACAATGCACACTTATCCAATCTGTTACTAGACCATTGCTTTGTGTGGGCATTCCGAAACCGCAAACTATGAACATTATTCCAATAACAACAAGTAACTCATGTACTGCCAGAAGCTGAAGATTTACAACAGATTAATAACCTAAAAATTACTCGAAGTCTTAGCATTTGTAGCCTCAAGAAAATAACGAAATGCAGTTCACCAATTAGTGCTCGTTTGCAACAGCCATTCCCAAGACAAAAGTTCGTAGTACGCAAAAAACCTTAGCCTGAGCGGCAGCCAGTTGTGTCCTGGCTGGGAACTGTGAGCATAAATGAAACGCACATGTTGCCGAAGGAGGCACCGCCACTGCCAGAGGCGGCGACCATCATCATGTACTGGTGGTACTGTAGGGCCGTCGCGGCAGCAGCACTGTTTCTGTACATGGCAGACGAGGAGATGAGGCGTTCTTGCTCGTAGCGCTGACGCGCGATGCGCTTCTCCACACGCGTCAGGCGGTAGTCCTTCCTGTCTATCAGGAGGGACTCGTGGGTGAATGGCTTCTGCCAGGCAACACAGAAAAGAGGCACCATGAGTTCAGTAAACCATCAGAAGACAATAGTAAGTAAAATCTGCTCAAACCACGATCATGAACACAAACACCCGATAGACAACATAAATTCTGATTCGAAAAAAACAAATCCTTGCGAAAAAATGGCACAAATCCAAAGATAAAATTTGTATTATAAATTCACTCTACATAAAATGGCTATTAACAACGTGTTTAGCGAACCATATTTTTTGAAACCGATCAACCTTTTTATCCAACTAACAAGGAGCGATCAACATGTTCAGCATGTGTGATGAACATATTCGTTAACAGATATTACTGTTTCAAATTGAAGATCTGGTCATCATTTGTAGGAATTTTCGATGTTTTAGAAAAAAAGCACCTGAAGAGCAAACATAACTCATGCGAATATTCATAAGAATCGTGGCGTAGACCAGATTAGATTTTTCCAAAGTCCTGCGCTTTCGCTCGCATGAATGAACTTCAAAAAAAACATAATTTGAACTTAAATAAAATTTAAACTGGACTTTGAAAATTGATCATGCATGTTTTACTACGGTTAAGCACAGCTTTCATTGCCAAGTACGCACCCACATGACTCGTGGACATCATCATTATTATAGAATTCGTCCCTTAGACCACAACTACCCATCACAGGCATCGACTGCCATGCTTTTACATTTACAATTTATATTCACATGCAACTTCCTCTGTATGGTCCTTTGGGCACAGAACCACACGAGACAACTTTGTTCGGCATTTGAATAGCAGGATGGTTTTCCACCATATCCAACGATCTAACCTTCCATTGAATTTTGCGTGAGTACTCTTATGCCTTAAAAACGAATATATGGAACATGTGGTGTGACCATTTTACACATAACATCTCATCAGAAAAGAAAAAAAAATAACATTAATCGTGTCAGTATACGCCGTTCGCAAAACAATTTGAAACATGGGAGTTGCCGTAATTGAGACAGTTTGCTTTCACAAACTGTCTAACTGCATAGAAGACGTGGTCGGAGCACACTGATACAGACAGAACAAAACCACCAACTCACCGCAGTTATCCATTCCTTATTCGTTTCTAAAGCAGCCTTCAGCACGGGATCGGAGTCCGTTAGATCAGAAATGGACTGCAAATCCTCATCAGTTAACGTAGGCATATCCTTATCTTCGTAGGCTACTAGAACTCCGACCTGTGCACGAGTGAATTGCTGTCCGGGATTCATTTCATCCACAACGCGATCAGAGACCCCTTGTTTATTCACCTGGAAATAAGCACGGTGAAGTAAATCGAGTAACCGCAACGGGAAAATACGTAAACTAGCAGGTTTCCAATGCACCAGTCTCCCAAATCTCGGTGAAAACCTGGCACAAAGGAAATATGAACCCACTGACCCGGCCTGAATACATGAATCACAAAGCAAAGCAAGGGATTCCCACTTTCACTTTTAGCAATGCGTTATAGACAAAATCAACCGGACTCTCAAATGTTACTTATTTAATTACGAAGCCAGTGCCACACTGCCAGTAATATACTCGAGCTGGGAGCACATCCACCTCATTCGAGGTAAGTCATATTTGCTAGGTTGGCCCTAAAGTATGCATCGGGCCTACTACAATAAGGAACTAAACTGTCAAGTGATCATTTATAGTTCCAGCAAAGACAGGGAGCAATCAATATGACCTACTTGGCGGTCATAGATTTTGCGTTCCATTGTATTGTCAGACACAAGTCGGTATATGTAGCAGGGTTTTTGTTGGCCATAGCGGTAGACGCGACACACCGCCTGGCAATCGTGGCAGGGATTCCAGGAGGCATCGAACACCACGACCCGGTTCGCACCAACGAGATTGACACCAAGGGAACCGGCTCTGCAACCAGAAATGCACGAACATCATTAGACACGTAAATCGCATGAGGAAACAGGGAGTTTGGTACAATTCACAAATTTTAGCCATCTTTTCTATTGGCTGTGACGCAAGTTTGATTCGTCATTCTACTACCAATTCTCTCGTCATAACGGTAGTTATTGAGTGCCGCCTCTATCAACCGGATCAGGTTAGGGCTCATAGTTGTGATAAAGTGCTTACGAGGTGATGTTTGGCTAAATTCAGTAGTAGAGGTATTCTCACTGAAGTACACCTACTACCCAATTTTATGGTGGTAGGTGATTTAAGGCAAAATGAAGTCGGTGACAACGTAAAATCTTGCAATCGATACAGAGAATGGAACAAAAGATAACAAGAGCTAAGAGGTAACGACAACTAGAATACAAACTAGCCTAAAGGTGCCTGAAACAGACCAGCAGGAAACAGGTTTATCCTAAGTGTAAGTTAAATATTATGAAGCCGAAAACTAGACACCGTTAGAAACCTCATAAAGTAGAGGCTTGCCCAAAAATATCGTCTCCTCTGTTACAGGCACTACCGTGAAAACAGGACTTCGAATACATATTTACCGATTTCAAGCTAAGGCAATTGTGCAGAGGCCGATGGAGGAGGGGACAGTCAAGGAGCGTAGTCTTAAATTCTTGTGATTCAAATCACGAGATGGAAAAAATAGCGATTCTTGACTCAATAGGAGAATACAAATTTACACAGAATACGAAGAAAACACGAAACTTGGCGCATACAACGCAACCTGTTAAAATTATGCTCCCAATGCACAGCAGAAAGCATTGGTGACCTTTGCGGCCAAATGTCCCCTGTAAGTTCAGTTTCCCAAAAAAACACGAATTCAATCCCAAAATGAATACAAATAGAAACAAAGACGGTGTGAAAAGCATTAAATGACGCAAATCTATACTACTAGCCACTTTTATAACCTTGAAGTGGTCATGGATAGACCTTTACCTTGTAGAAACCAGGAAAAGTTTGACAGGATTTTCAGGGTCATTGAAGCGTCGAATGAGTCGATCGCGATCAGTTGCCGATGTACTTCCATCTAAACCTGGTATACGAGAGTAAAAGCTCCGTAGTAAGTAGCTGATGGAGATAAAAAAAAATAAACAAAAAAGACAGAACCCATTGACTTACGGAAGTAATGAACATTACGGACCCACACCTGTGGCTGCTTGGCAGATTCACTTTCAGGTTTCAGATCACTCTGGCAATGAAGGATCTGACTTGCCTCGGCTTCTCCTTGGTGTGCCAGCGGAGTCACACATTTTGCTGCTAGCGAAGGTGTCGCATAATCGAAAGGAAGCTGCCCAAGAATCCGTTCAAGATGATCCAGAGTTAATAGGGATTGGGAGAATAGGAGCATTTTATCCCCCAACCGAACGCTTTCTTGCAGTAAAGAGAGAAAAAGGACAAGTTTTCCGCTGTTTTGGATGTCACCGGCTCTAAATTCGGCACCCCAAAGGTCGCTGGTGACCCAGTTGTACTTATCCTCACCCGTCGACTGTGCAGGATTAGCGCCAGGAGGCTAAAAGGATTTGAAAGACAGGAAGCTGTAAACCATGCAACACGTTATCCGCATGAAATTCAAATAGAAATAAGCACATTGTTAACCTGTGGGGCAATATCGCCAGTGACTGAATGGGTGCCTCCCACTCGCAAGACCAGACAAGATGATAACACCCCTAAGGTTCCACGTCATTAAGGTAAAAATAAGCTCTAGCAGCTTATTCTCCACAAATATTGAAGAGATAATTTGTACTAGCCCTTGATTTATCGGTTATCGAGAATTAGAGAAGAAACTAAAACAATCTTTAATCAGTCTGGTTAATTTAAACAAAGTGATTTCCTAACTTGCATCCAACACTAAAATTTAGACTTAAATTTCGATTTTCATAGCTGAATGCCAAGAAGCTACTAGCGGAGAAGACAATAGGCACGAAGTAGTGGCTTTCCAGGGCTGGTACAACATTTTAGTCAACTGCAGGTGCAAAAAAGAGAGGGTAACAAACCGGTGGATTGGTAGTGTTGCCATTAGGCTTTCTCCTGGCTCGCTGACTCGAGGTGCCGCTCGCTGCGTTTGAAGCATCGTCGAGTTCAAAATCCATCATGTCATCTACATTTTCCTTGACAACTCGCCACAGTATATCCGGATGGTTCCAAATCTACACAATGTAAACGAGCTAGGTTTCAATTTAATGGGGAAGTCATTGCAAAGTAGCACAACCACTAACGCAGTTGGGTGATGCTATATCAACACATAAACAGGCCATGAAAATTTAAATAAGTTCACTAACGACAGAAGAACGTCACTACCATTACTGACACATAATGGCCCCGTTAATATGTGGGTGTCCATTGGGAGATCTTTACTGGATTGGTAGTACAACCGAATGGTAATATGACTGCTGCGAATTGCATTTATTCACGATCGCTAATCCGGCTGCTCCATTCTCCGACACTATCTTCACTTTTCACGGCGTGCCGTCAGCCCTGGGGAACCTCAACTCACGTCAGATTAGTGCGGATTTTTGGCCTGGGTTATCACTGCGTGAAAAAACACTCGTCTAGGTCTCAATGTAGGCACAATTATGACTCACACTGTTCCACACATCTGAGCTATAAATACACACACACACACACACACACACACACACACACACACACACACACACACACACACACAAACGCCACACACGACAAATTGATTGAGCTATCTAGTAGACGGTTGTGTCTACGCCATCTACAGTCTTCTTCATCATCACCGGTATCAAAGTAGAGTAATTAGGCCAATATCAATGCCGAGGCTCCGGCGCAGTTTGAGACCACATTCCGTGGCCAAAACACGACTTCGATTTGATAAACTATACAAAACCCGGTGCTCTAAAGCCCCATTCTGCAAAATGCGTTGGAAAAGGCAACACCAAATGTCGAATTAAAACAAGGCGAACTTATTTTGATTGAATCCTTCATTGAAGTCTACACGGTTGATTTATTACGCAAGTGAAGTCACATTATGAAAGAGGACACTTTTCTTTTTTGAAACCACGTCACAAAAGCCAACTGCAGCAAAAGGCTGGATTTGACTTATTAGTGCGATGGATTCAATAATGGCTAAAAGGTTGCACCTTAAATGCAACGTCAAGTCAGTTCGCCGGCCTAGAATCGAGAATCCGGTGCCTTATAAGGGCTAGAGGTTGTGTGGAGACAGGCGGGCGCACCTGCAGAGCACTGACAAGCACATAATCATGTTTGCCATGATTATAAACGAATAGGCCTTCCTTAAAACGGAAGAAGTGAGTTGCTTAATACAGGCGGTTAGGGTCCCACATCCATACATGCTACACGTTTTAACAAATTTTGCCATAGTGACGGATTAGTGATCACACAGACAAGATCGTGCTGAATTTAAGACAAAAGTCGGTATCAAGACGGCTTTGTGCATAAAATGCCCCACACGGACATAATACGTCTTTTGTCACTTGTTTTGTGAATCAAGAAACATCACCTCACCTTGCAACACAGCGCATATGTTTGCAGAGTATTTGCTGTTGGAAGTCCACTTCCGTACATATTTGACGAAACAGCGATGTAATTCATGAGGGCGGTGTAGAGCCTTCGCTGCAGTGGAGACATTCTGACCATCAGAACCACCTCCTGCTTTGGCGGGAGGCTCGCCTTGAGAACGGCATGGGACCGGCGTTGGACAAAACCGGAGAGAAGCTCGTGCAGCACGTGAGCTCGGCCTTGCATTAACTTGCGGTCGGCCTCTGTGCTATCCACACACTGGCCGTTTTCGATGGGTCGTTGAAACATGTTGGTGAATTCCGATTTGGTGCCCAGGTAGTTTGGACGAACGAAATCGACCATGCACCAGTACTCCATCAAGTTATTTTGCAAGGGATAGCCTGTCAGTACCACTCGTCGCCTAGAACACAGGAAATAATCAAGTTAATAATGACTACCTAAGCACATAAAATTCTCAGCCTTCAATCACACCTGAGTTTTTTTTTAATGAAAAAGAGAGCACCAATGACGGTATTGAAGTAGACATCAGGCTGGTAACGTTGAACACGGAAGGTAATTCGAGAAATTGTCAGGTTTGCGTGCACAATACGTGACGACTCATAAATGTACGGTAATCCTGGTTTAAATTCAGGAAAGTGAAAGCCATTATGAAATTTATGGCTAACATAGCAGATGCCGATGGCTTTTCCAACAAAGACTCACAAATTCCAACAAATTCCACAAAATTACCTGGTTCTCAGGGCTTTTAGGGCTCTTGAAATCGACGCTTCGCTGTTCTTAATTCGATGGCCTTCGTCGCAAATGACGATTTGAGGACCTGGATCCGTTAAGGCTATCCGCATATCTAAAAGCGGAGGTTGAAAAAAGGAGGACAATAAAGGAGCGGATAGGAAAAGGAGGGTAGATTAGCCACATCGGGGGAGGGGGTGAATGAAAACGACGAGGCCAGTAGGTAGAGCTATGCGGAATCGTACGAAAGCCAAGAGGATGCAGAAAATTAAATCAGGCAAGAACGGACGGCAGATGTGCAGCAAACACAACCATGCTCAAGCACTGGTGCCACCTACCAACTAGCATATGCTCCTCCTTCTCCTCTCGCTCGATGTCAATCGTGATGACACGTTTCTTCTTTCGGTTGCGAGGGCGTTCACAATCAGCCGAGAAAGGCGACGACGCGAGGGTAAACAGTGAGCTAGTAGAGGCACTCGTGGAGAGACCCCCACCGACGCCCCCATAGCCGAAGGACGCGCCACCGGAAACATTGGCCCTTGTCTGTTTGCGGGGATTCGTCAGCAGCCTGAACATTTCGTAGCCCATCAAAAGAACGCCTCCAGTGCGCGCCCACTCAGTCACAACCTTAGCAAGACAAGGTTAAATTTAGCAGTTCGGGCAATCAGTATTACCTCGACAGTCAATAAATGAAGATGGAACAGGTGGAGTTCTCATAATATTCCATGCAAATGGATACCTTGAAGAGCAGGATTTTGGCATTTTTAACAACAGGAAAAATGGTTTTTTGTGTTGGAATTTTTACTTAGGTCAACCCAAAGGAAATTGAGTTTACAAAGTACCCTTGAGACTACAAAAATGCCTTTATGTGAGAGATCTTCTGTTTGCATAAATCATCCTGCTTTTAAAATTATGGTAAGACGGAAATTAACAAAATTAATCATTTTCGTGGAACACTTTTCCCTTACCCAGGAGGCACAACGGTAATTAAAAATCGGGGTTTATTTCGACAACTGTTAAGACAGCAAAGAAAGGTAAGACTGATCGACCACAAAGTTAGGTATGTTAGGAACTATGAGTCGTGCCGTTTATCATGACTAACAATGATAAACAACATGACTACAATTCCGGATACATCATTGCTTGGGTGCTCACGTTAGAACCACATTAACTGCCACAAAATACCTGATATCGGGCATCCAGGGATTTGGTCGTGTCTTTGATCACGTGTAGGCGAAACGGTGGAGCTTCGTGGGGAGTTTCTTGAGCCTTCTGCTGGTTTCCTTGTGGCGAGGGAGGAGGTGGAGGGAATTGGGGTTCGCCCGCGTTTTCTTTTCGGTCAACTGTCGCCACTTCAGTGGAGTTCGACTGAGGTCGATGTGAAGGCGGAGAATCGCTGATAAGGGATAGAAGAGAGGGCGCCGATTGAACTACTGGCGTCGGCTGCTGTTGGGCGGACTGGTGACCATTTACCTTGGGCTTCTCCTCGTCGTTTAAGAAGCTTGAGTGGAGAACAGAGGGAAGCCACAGCTGAAACTCAGCTTGCCAGTTCTAAAATAAGAAATAACTGACTGAAAAATCCCCTTCAACAACAAATAAAAACGCCAGATTGTGTACAAGAATAATGAGATGTGAATAAGGATTAGAATCAAAGATGGAAATGACTCTTAATAGAAAAAGGGACGTGAATCTACTTCTACACCGTGTCTACGACAATATCAACCACAAGATTATTGCATTACCAAGCGAAATTCTCCAATTTAGATTAGTGAAATAGGAACAGTCAATAAGTGGTACCATGAGCTCGAAAATATGCATTAACAAAAAATCTCCTAGTAAACGCCACTAGCAGAGGACGTCCAGGGCAGTTAAATCCGTCTTGAATGTGTTTGAACTAGTATGAGCCGTCATGCGAAAGAATGAGACGAAACTTGATAGAGGGAAAAAGCATAATAGTAGATAATTATACGACGCTACATCGCCCGAGTATGACAGTATATGAATCGATACCTGAAGAGTGTTGATAGGAACAATCAGGAGAACAGTGCGGGCGGCGGGGCGACAGCAGCGAAAGATGAGGTCGAGGAAGGCGATCACCTGGATCGATTTGCCTAGACCCATGGAGTGGGCTAAGATGCAACCAAATCCAGAACTGCGCTGAAATTGCGTCCGACTCTCAACTAAATTGTCGAATAGAAACCTCACACCGCTCACCTAAAAAAATGAATTTCCCTTAAAAATTAATTCGATCTATTTCTAAAAAAGGGGGAATAAAAAACCAAGACTAGGTAAATAAGACAGTACTTAAAACAACATTAAAGTGATAAACAGAAATTACTGGGCATCGGCCGGGGAAATATTGATTTGGAAGGAGCATTGGTAAATTCAGTGGAAACTATTCCGGTAAGCATGCGCAATGATGGGAGAAATACTGAACGCGCCAAGTAAATATGGGTCTTATGGAGGTTCCTCTCGTACGATTAACCGTGTCTGAAATTCCGCAGAAATTACCAACAGCATATTTCACTGAGTCATTGTTCCAACACATTACTTGTGAACGGCATTCGTGTCTTCGCATTTTACAGCCTGTAATTCACTTGAATAACTTTATTGTAGCCTGTTCACCATTTTACAAATACCGTTCTACTATTTCCTGTTAAGTAACGTATGCCACATTTTGGTTGCTGATGTTCAACTTCTACCTCTGTTTTACGTGAAATGTGGTGCATCAGAAATGAGGTCACAACAGGTGAAAATAAAGTTGATAATCGGGTTCATGGCCAGCACCACATTCAATGAAGGTTTCGTTGTCTGTAATGAAACGGCGAAAACAGTGTTGTAAGCGGATGCACAGGTACATACATATACACAGAGACACAACTTTTGAATTCCTTCAATTCGATGCTTCGTGGTTTCTGATCAAAAAAATGTCTCAAGGCAGTTCCAGCTTCTTCCACCGAATTAAATTCTTGATCAAGTATTTTATAAAGAACGAAACAATTAAAAACTGAAATGTCGAAATCTGAAAAACAAGGCAGGTGCTGGCAGATTTTCCCCCTCTGCCGCATAACTTTTCAGTAACTGTTGAGGGACGTTCGGTGAAAGATGAGTCTCTTCGAATGGCTAAATATGGATGTCTCGTGTGCATTTAAACGTCGATTTGACTGGGTTTCTCACAGGACATTTCCGCAGTTTGTGTCTAGCCACGTATGGGAAGCCCGTAAAAAGGACTTCTTTGAGATCCCATCAGACGCATAGCAAAACTTTCTTTGGATACAATTCAGCCTATACAAATCCTTCTTTTTCTCATTACATTGTTGCACGTAAACTCTTTTTTCATCTCAACTTACAACTTGATTCAAGAATGGTTCGTTTTGTTGACGGGTGTAGAGACAAATGGTTGTGGAAATGGCTCAAGTTCCCAGATGCATCTAAGTTGCTTTAACCAGTTAAATACGGCCGATTTGTCAAAATCTAGTCCTCCAGCAATCTCTCAACTAGTGATCACTTAATCATGACTAAAGGCCTTACAAAGCGCCAGGAGGTCGCTCAAAGCGAAGATGAGCACTAAAACTGAAGCCATCATATTGGAATCGACAAAACCACCATTTAACTGACCTAAGAGCAGGAACACAATCGGAAAGTGCCTCGACTGCTTGTTGCAGCTCCTACGCACTTTTGTTCAAGCCATATAAAATAACATGGCAAAAACGCAGCTCCTTGTTTTTCATCTTGAATGGTAACGCTGCACACAATTTGATTTAAATGAACTTTGTAGGGTGGTATCGATTCACGCGCAATTAGACAACTGCCAGTTAAAAACACGATCATAAAACAAACATTAGCTCCAGCCTTTTTTTGTAATCACCCAATACACTGGCAACACATGAAGAATATGCCTGGCTAAAATACAGTAGGATCTGACTTTTGTGATTAACGATTCTGACGGTCATTTGCGTCGTAGTTTACGGCTTTACAACAAGTCTTTACCCTAGCCGAATGCGATTTCAAAGGTTTTCGGAAACGAAATTTGGCAACCTCGTCGCCCATCACAGCGCCTTAGTTATCATTTAAACATGCGCGAATCTTGGGACCACAAAAAGGAGCTACGTGAACACAAATAACGCAATTGGAAGTGAGTCATGCAAAGCCAAGCCCAGGATACGGTAACAACAAATTGAAGAAAACCAAATGCGCTCAAACACAACATTTTAATCGCAAAGATCTTCAGTCTAATGGTTTGGCAGATCGAACGGGGTACAACATTTGAACAAGTATTCTTTGCGACTATAAATTAAACACCAGATATTTTGGTAAAAATTAATCACCGTTTCGACAGTTCAAGCTAAGTGATTAGTACCCAAACCCGAACAAAAACCATGCACACCAACCCCGAGTCTCAAAATCCGTTCTGCCCGAAAAATGAAGATAATTCACCTACCTGGTGGGGCTTGATGACACGGGCAATGTGAGGTGCGAGGTAGAAGGATTCGGCATCAGTGGCGCCGCGGCGAATACAAATGCGACCCTCAGAGTCGGGCAGGTTGTCTGCGTCACGGAGTTCGCAAAACTCCGCTTGCACCTCGTCTCCCAGCTTATTCCCATTTTCAGCCTCCTCCTCATTTTCATCATCACTCAACTCAATCACCGGATTATTCTGGGGGAACAAAAGAGAAAGTTCTAATGTTGGTGCCATTACATGCAAATTGAGCAAGCGGAAACATTTCTAATGCACAAACCGTGCAAGTATGGGGTAATACGTTTGACTGAAGTGGAAACCCAAATCTACAGCTATTATTAGGAAGCTTACTTACAGGATATATTTAGCGATACCTGCTAGTAGTTGAAAATTCGCTTGTGGACATTTGGCTAAGCTATAGAAAAAAAAACAACTAGCGCCGGGGATAATAACTTCTGCTATCCTGATTACAGGATAAATTCGGCTCACTGAAGATATCAGCATCCCGACGAGGTCTTAGTATCTGAGGTTAGGAGTTTGTGTCGCCTACGTTCATATTGCGTCGTTGAGCACACTTCTTCATTTAGTTTATACTTGGCGGGCGCTACTGTAAACTGCGTTGTCTACCAAAACACTCGATTTTCGATAAATGAAACAGACCAAAAATTATCCACCAAGAATATTTCAAGGGATACCCATATAATGGCTTTGCTAATAATAAACAAATGGGCAATTTACAAAGAATTTGGAAATTACGTGATAGAAGAACACTTCGTGAAAACTCAATCAAAACAAGCGTTTCATTGCAAAAATAAAAAAAAGTCACCATAATTTCTATTGCAGCGTCATCTATTGGCAGTTCGATGTCATCGTCAGAGTCACCCAGCAAGACTATCGCAGTTTCTTCCGAATCACCAGATTGAAGTTCAGTATGTTGTTTCTGTTTAAAGAGTTTTTCAGACGCAGTAGATAGCGGCTGGCTAGGGGCTACTTTTGGAAACGGACTGCTGGACGCGAATGCAACATCTGATTTCTTTTCTTCCTCGCACTTTTTTAAGTCGATTTGAGTGGCTATAAAACGACCAACAGTACGAGCAGCAACGTTAAACTCAACAAAAAGAATAAAACTTTTGCTGTTAAAATCCTTTAAAATAATTACGCTGAATGCGTTCGAGATAATGAAAAAAAGATAAGAGGCTTAAAGAACAGATAATTACAAAACCTGAACAGGAATGTGAAGGCCACGGTGTAAATTTGATGATGAGACTTCGAGTCTGAATGTCTATGTAGGCTTGAACACGCTCCAACGAGTAGACTGATAAGTCATAAAGGTAAATTAACCCATACAAGCATCCAACGCATAATCTTCTGAGCAAAATGGTACAAATCTACATTTCAAAAAAGGTTTCTAATGGTTTCTTCTCTTTTCTATGTACCACATTGAATAGTGAATATCCGATCCACTCACTCGCCAAGAACAACATAAGACGCGAACAATAGCTCTGGGACATAAGTGAATAATTTTATAGAAACCATGAGGGAATAAGCAAATAGTACTAAAGCCTAACGGAATGACCGAAAACAGCCAAAGCACATTTGACTAACCATCAGCAGAAAGTGTGGAATTGGTCTGGTTCGTGTCACTATTGCTAGCGAGAGTCCAGCAATCAGCAGCACAAGCTTGCGGCAACTGAGTCTCCTGTTCCATTTGAAGTCGGAGAAGTCGCTCCATTTCGGCTCGTTGGGCGGATTGAGTCTCTTCGCTCAGTGCATTCTCTTCACGGACGCGTCTGCAAAATTTAGAAGTTGTATTAAAAAATCTTGAAGAGTAATGTAGGTACATTAGATTAAAAGCAAAAATACTTCTGAAACATAACTAACCATTGTTGAGTGGAACTACTGTATGGAATTTCAAAAACAAAACATCCATGAAACATGTCATGATAAGTTGTCTAGATCGTAAGCAAAGTTTTCACAGCGCCGCAACTGCAAACATCTATATTTAAATGCAAAAGAGCATTGACCGTCAAAGAAGCGGCAATTAGGGGCATCGAATTCATCAAAAAACAGTCAAATCATGGATTGAAATAAAAAAGGGTAATACAGTTGAAAACAAGGTTATTAATAACATGCTTCAGGTGAGACCAGTTAAAGTCATGTGATAAATAGATACAATTCGAGATTGAACATGAGTTCTTTGTAAAACGCAAAAAAGACGTTAAGAAAATGAACGAAGAAGCGGCGCCATAATATACATACTTAATGTTTCTTCGTTCAAACGTCTGCTTGCGTTTACTCCGAGACTGAGAGGTATTGGAAATATGAGATAAACCAGGGTCATTGGATTCCTCGCAGCCAACATTCGTGACGCAACCATCGTGGCTATCTATGTCCTCGTCTTGACCTGCGGCTGTATCTAGCCCGCTAGAAACAGGAACAAGATCTCCATCTTTGCTTAGTTCATACTCCATTTCACAAAATCCGGAAGGTGAAGGAGCGTTACCACCTCGTCTAGACGTCCTTGTTAAGATATTTATATTACTCCCGCTGCCAGTGCTCCTTGGCATCCCTACATCGGCAAACCATCTTCAAAAATGACAAAATTAGGGGCGTTATCCAGCAAAAAAGACTAAAGTTATGTAAACTAGTTGTGCCAAGTGATGGAAAATATTAGGCAAAAATGCATACCACGGGAACGGCCAGATATGTGGGGCATAAGGATGGAACTGTGGGAACGTAAAAAACGATAAACGGCGTTTTTACACACTAATCAAACGTAATGGAGGAATTTGTCCACCTCCTATTGGCTAAGGCAACTTTGAGTGGACCGTATTATCAATCAATGAAACCAAAAGTTGGGATCATGCTCGAATGCAAAACAACGCAACAAGTTTATTTTATTGCTTTAGTTTAAAATAGATTTTTGTATGCATTATTTTTAAAGTAAATATTTTATGAGTGTCGGTGTATAATTCCATTCAAATAAATAAACCGTAAATATGTGCAGAACATGTTCTTCAAAGGGAAGTTCATGTATTCTGAGAGCGCTGTAGAAGCTCTTTTGAGAAAACATCATTATCCGATTAAATTACATATTCACAGTGTTTGTTGTTGCAGAATTCACCAAGGTATTGCTTATAAAATGATTGAGATTTGCGGATGCCAGCAAAAGTTAAATTTAAATGCGGCATGAAATCACCTCAAAAGTTAAAGCTGCAATCTCAATATTCTGCTAGAGCTTTTTTTAATAAGAAAGTGCAATTGCAATTACCATCGTAAAATGTAAATCGGCAGGGTTGCCTAATAACCTCGATCAAAATCTTAAACTATTTATATTGTCCAGAATATCTCACGTTTCCGATTATTTTAAACATTTGAGACAGTTTATCTCACTGTAATAGACTTGTTTAGTTGAATTTACGGCAGCTGGAGTTGGCTTAAATGGAAGTAGGATTGGATAGGTGAGATAAAAGTTTACGCAACAAGTATGTTTAAGTAGTACGATAGTTAATATAAATGACTTAGAATTCAATTAATGATAAAAGGAAGGTTGATGGCGTCTAGTGTTTTTTTAAAAAAAAGTGCTGTTGGATTGACTGCTAAGACCTCTAATTATCGAAACCTTGATTTTTTTTTCTAGAGTGTGACTTTGACTTTTTGCATTAACCATTTTTTTCTAAACAATGTGAAGAAAAATAACTGTGGTAAGATACTAGGTAATTCATTTGAATTTCCGTTACTTGGAGTTTCGTAATTATTTGTAGTGTCATTGTAAAGCAGCTGATGTTCAAATTTTAATTGTCTAGGTGCTGATTCTTCATATGGTTTTTCAGTTGTGATCAGTAAGCTAAGACAGTACATTAACAATCATCTGTTTTAATCACTTCAATTTAATGACTGGCAGAAAAATCTGATGAAATGCAGATGTTGAAGTCTCTCAAACCGCTTTTAAACCAACTACCTGGATTTTGTAAGAGGCTTGGGCAGAAGCTCTACTATGCACAAAGCATCCAACTGAGTTGGTAAACGAGTTGTAAAATCGTCTTGATAAATGGAAAACATTTGATATTTTATCTTAATTTACCATATTTTTATCCAATTGGCTTATAAAAGAAAGTACTGCTGTATATGCAGGCAAAGTTCATGTTATAATAAATTCTAAATGCACTTCGTTTGAAATCGTTGACTTAAACGAATATGAATAAATCAAAAGAATATATTTAATATCGTCGAGGAAGCCCCGACGCTTCGCACACACATGTTGAGGGTCCGGCATTTTGGCCTATACCACACCGGGTCTACTGAATTAATTGAGCTCAAGTATGCCATTCTGAGTGTCCGCTAAGATGAAAAAGACTAGAGAGGGCTGACACAACCATGTACTAGTCAGCTTAACCAAGTTTTGCTTGCTGACTAATGCAGCTGTGTAAACTAGTAAAAATACAGACTTTAGAATGGACACATGGATAGAGCGAATGGTGGTGATACGAACAGAGGTGTGAATGAGCAGACATTCCCGGTGACTGACGGGCAAGCAGTGGAAAAGATTACATTAAAAAAATTCAGGAACTCATTTTTGCTGTGGTAAGAATAATTACTTACTAGTTGATGCTCTTAGTTTACAGATTTGACAAGTTTCAGGGTGTTAATGAGGCTATAGCAAGTCAGGAATTATGGATTCTTAAAAAAGAGAGCAAAACCTGTTATGCAAACGAATGTTTTGCAAAGTGCCGCTGTTGTGGTAAAATAACTATGGTTTTATTGAAAATTAGGCTGTCATAATTTTTCCTAAAATCATTAACTTACACAGAACAACTACACCATATCATTAAAACACTCGGTGGTTTATTTGGATTCCCCACGAACCCGTCATCTTCAGCGAGGACATAGGTTCACCTTATTACAGATTATAAAAAGTTGGCACATTATTTACCTTCATTCCCATTGCAGCAGATAAGACACCAATTCCACTCCAGCTGTCACTGCTCTTGTAGCCACTTTTTGGTTAGCTTAAAGGGTGTAAAGGTAGTGGAACCAAATAATACATCACATTTTCCATTTTCGCATGCGCAATACTAATATTACTTTACAAAATCGTTCATCTTTTACTGGATGTTCTGTGTCCAGAAGCGCTTTAAGCATTGCATTAACGAAAAAGTAAAGTCAAATTAAAGTAATTACAATTCACTTTCAATAAAAATAAGCCAAGTCATTTTTTGCAGCAGTGCTTAAAGGCAAATTTAATGAACCCCATTATAGATAGAAATGGTTCCCTTGCATGGTGCATGCTGCAACTTTAAAATTCAAGAGGCTGTGTTTGAAATAAGTTCAGTCAGACTACATAAAAATCTTTTTTTGGCCTTAACATAACTAGATTTGGTACATTTGGTACGTATGGTACATTTCATAGCGCTAGAAGATCTAGTCAACAATCACTGCCTAAGTTCGGATTGGTGTTGGGACACTCTAAGTTTGCAAATTTACCATTTGAAAATGCATTTGAAATGACAATGGGCAGACGTGATTATTTGTCTACTCGCGTCGACGCAATAATACAATTAATTTTTAATGTACCCTAGCAGTTTGCGTAATTTTATATTGCATCTAGCTTATAGCATCTCAAGAATACTGGTTTAACAGAACAAGTTTTACTGATTGACGACAACACGGAGCTATAGCAGGTATTGCCCAAACCGAGTCTGCAATATTGGTAGCGGCGTTCTCTACATAGTGAGTCTCATTCGTCCTTGTCCCTGGTTGACTGTATGTAATCTTTGCAATGCATTTAAAACACCCACACACTGAGGATTGGCCGATCTTGGTATGGTCTAAGATGTCTGCCTTCTTTGGTTTTTTTTTAATTTTCTTAATTTATGCTTGTAAGCTTTTGCTTATATCCTTTTTTTTTCGGAATTTGTGTTGCTTAGGAATGCAGCTTTTGTTTCTGTTACTCTGGTTCGGATCTTCTTATTTGTTCAAGATGGTGCATATCAAGTAATTTAATCATCAGAAAATAACCAAATAACTTAGCTGGTGTATCATATCTAGTTTTTGTGGATTTTGGACAAATGTAGTTTGAAGCACTGCCTTATCTTTATTTTAGATTCTTGGTTCTCAAGGGTTCGGGGTTGAGATAATAGGTTTTGTTAGTTTTTAGTATCCCCTAATTCAAATTGTCGTGTCAAAAGTCCTAGAGTCAAACGATGAAGTATCTTTCGGATTCTGCTAACCAGAAACTATTAATATACCGACAGTTTCACAGCTAATTATCCCATGTAGTTTCTCTAGGACATAAGTTTAATCGTCCTCATTTGTAACGTGCTGGTCAATCGACCGCTGGGAAGACGGTGGAAATTATTCTCTTATTCCCTTCTCGAGTTTAGTGTTTCCGGCTTCCTGAGAATCCATTATCCCTAAGTTATCCTAGTGTTGAACTCTTGGTCAGCAAATCATAGAATCGTTCTTTTTATTCGCGTTTTTAAGGTGCAAATATAATTAGACATACTATGTAATTTTGCCCTTTGGACGATGGTTAGTTTTACCTCTGATGGAATTTACACTAAATTGTCGTAACCTGAACCGGGCTTTTTACCCGTTTGCTTCTTTTCTAGACCGTTATTTGCTTTTATTTCATGAGCAGAATGTAAGGTAAATACTTGACCTTATCTCTTATACCATTATTTGCCCTCCAAAATGCCAGAATGGATAATTTAAATGTGACTTTCGAAGTGCACTAGTTGTATGCGTTTGCTTAAGTGGATCTCAGCAGGCTATCCAATTTTTATTTAGCATCATGTCTTCGATGGAACCAGATCAACCTATTTCTGCTCAACCTCCATTTGACGAGGAAATGGCCATTCCAGAAATGCGCCGATTGCTTCTGCGCCTAAAGTATTTCCAGTTGTTGCGTCAGCGGAGAGTAACCCCTCATGGCCGCCACAGATCTTTGCTTAAGCGTCATTCAAATCGCTCGATTGCTTGTCTCCGTATTAAAGTGCTTCTTGGTTTGGCTGCGTCAGCTTATCTTTTGGCCAAATGTAATAGCGGTTCTCTCAGTGTTGAGGAAACCGACGACTGCGGGCCAACCCTACAGCACCAGATTAAAATAAACACTCTCAAAGCCGTCTTGCGCCAACGCGGTGTCAGCACAGATTCATTTTATGAGCGAAGAGATTTGGAGGCATTGGTCGCTAGAACTGGTAATTTGGTCTTGGGCTCCTCCTTTAGTCCACTTTGCTAATAATGGGAGCTTGGTTGCTAAGTTGAATTAGACGTCATAAATTTTACTTGATACGCACCTTTTCTGTCTATCATTTGTCATAAAACAATGAGTTTTAATGTTGTTGAAAGTCACTTATTTCAGTATATTGGTACATTTTTGTAGGTGTTTGTGCTTTGCTGTAACGTATATCACCAATTCTCACTACCCTAGTCCAAAACGTCTAAAATTGTCATTCAGTGCTTCCTATTTTCACATAGGAAAGTAAATTTTTATGTTTAACATGGACACCCTAATTTGCTCTCTTTATTCTTTCTGTACTATCTCATTCAAGCCTTTTTGGTTGTTTCGGTGCTCTGCAGGAGTAATTAGTGCTACCGAACTGACATTATCACGTGCTGCAGATGCCTTTCTGGAAAACCTTAACTCTACTTGCGACAGAGAGGCTATCTTCTATCGCAGTCTCACATCACCGACTTTTGCCCTCCCCCGACCTCGACGCATGTGTGATGGAAGCCACATTGAACCAACAACCGTTGCATTCAACAGTCCAGGCCTCTTCATTGATTACGTAGAAGATAATAAAGGGAGTATCTGGATTCTCTCTCCGGTTAGCGCGGGCACTGCCGCCAGACAGGCAATTAATCCACCGGCTTGGGCCCGTTTAGTTCATCACCTTTCGCTAATGGGTGTGAGGTTTGGCGTTCTGCTTTGCGACAAACTTGAGAAGTGGGTTCTAGTACTTTGCTATTTATTAATTCTCTAGCCGGTTTCACAAACGATTCCTTTTCTTTTGCAGCATTTGCACTGAATACGGGTTCTCGCCTTCTAACCTTGTAATGGCTTTGCCTGTTTTCCAATCTAATTTGAAGCAATCAGTTGAATTTAGACGTTTTACCCTTCCACATGCACTGGAATGCGACGACGTCACTCCACGTGGCAGACAAGATTGCCTTCTGCTTCTCGATCATGTAGTAACTTTGATACAGAAATCTCTATCTCCTGGAATCAATTCTCTCTCCTCACTCTCGCAGCTGCAGCAACACAAGTCCAGTCGTCCTCACTCCCTTCATGTTATATGGGTTCCCGGAGAACGACTATACAATCAGTCTTACCCAATTTCCAGCGTCGATCATCATCATGTCTTTCGTCCTCCACTTTCTTTATCCCTGTTGTCTGTCGCATATTTTGGTCGTGCGGAATTTTGGCGATTTGACGAGTCGAAAAGTACAATTTCTTTTGCGGACTCACCAACCCGTGGTTCTCCAAATCTTTCTTCCGCTAATGAAATGCTTTTTAAGTTGGGATGTTCTACAAACTCAGGAAGTACTGATTCGCGATATATTTTTCTAACACCAGAAGGGTTTTGTAGCGTGCAATTTGTGCCATCTTTTAAGCGCCTTAAAAGTTTTCTTCAATGGAACTCTCCATCTGCAAACGACCTGTTCGTTTCTGGACTTCTTTTGATAAATTCTGTTATTGTCATCGCTGAACTCATTAGGCCAGTTCTTTTCTTTCGGTATTTGCTTATTGAGAGGGTGTTTAACGGCCATTTGCGCATCATTTTACAGCAAATATTTGGTAGTTCGCAAAAGAAGACGGGATCCCCAGATTCTGCTCTGAAGATACGAATAGAACTGGTTACAAATGTTGTAAAGGCCACATTTGTTGGTTGGAAAAACTACTCTCCGTATCTGCCTGGGGCAATGCAATTTACTCAACCATCATCGGAAACACGCTTTCAGCGGTTTTTTAAGTTAACGAAGTGGAGTCTCACGCCATTATTCGACTTAGTCATAAAACTCTTTTTGGTTAATTTTTTGTTTTTGCTCGCAGCTCTTCCAACTGTAAACCTAATGGGTCACGTTCTTCCGTTAGCCGACTTTCTTTTACACTCACTTCGCCTGATTGTGTTTTGGCTGGACCTTGCAAGTATCACAAGCACTGCATTCACGTCAATTGTACTACTTAAATTGGCAGCCTCAACTCTCGTTCTAGTCATAATTTTTGATGAGTCCGTCAACTGGATTAATTCCAGTCTAGCGATCAGAAGGTCCCGTACACATCTGAATGTGTCTTCGAAACGTGATCCATCTAATGTAAGATCGTGCAACACGTCTTCTGTTCTGGCTTCTTCAGCCATGTTGGCACGACATCTTTTCCTTTCAGATGATGAGTTGTCCGTAGATTCGCCCCCACAGAATTGCTCCATTTCGGATGAGAATGTCGAGCAAAAGTTAATCTCAAATGATGATTCCCTGTATGCTTATGAAACAGCGCGACTCTACCGTAAAGCCATCAAACTGGATCGAGCTGTCTCCGAGGCTTCGAGAAGATCCGACCAGCGTTCGTTTTCCAACCATCATCTCTCCTTTCAACACTCAACCAAATTTATCTCAAGTCTTCCTGCCAAGCTTTTCATCTGGAGATATGTCACTTGCGCCGTTCCTTCTTTCAAATTAACTCGCAGCAGTCAATTTTTATTTGAATCAAGAATCAACGATCAAAGTAACCCCTACGATGCCGATTCAGAGAGCGACGGAAATTGGCCTGTAAACTCTTTACTATCTGCCGGCAGACGTCACCGTCAGCCTCGTGTGAGTGGTAAACAGTCAAAGATTCCTCGGTTCAACTTCCCAACTTGGGTTCTCCCCTGCACGGAATGCGTCATCTGCTGGCGGGAATTCGAAACAAAGAATTTAATGGCTGCGCTTTCCTGCGGACATGTTTTTCATGCGAAATGCTTGAAATCCTGGTTAGATACTGGGCACAACACGTGCCCCATGTGTCGATGGCCAACTCACCTCTCACATAACCAACGCGAGAAACAGCTGACTCGTCAGTTGATTAAGGCTATTGAGGATGTCTTCTTGCTGCACAGTACGCAGGCCTCATATCATTTACAACAACTGAGCTGGGATTGATTCTGGTGATGAAAACTAAGGGATCTGTCTTTCGCAAAATCAAAGCTTATATCTTCAATCATTCCAAATTTACCCAAGACCGTTTCCTCACCCTTCTACTGTACCTCCCGGAGTGTAATTAGATTATTCGTTTTATTCCGGGCTCTTTATTTGCGCATGTTTGTGGGCTTTTGATTCTGGTCATTAGGACATACCGATTGTGTAATAGTTGAAAAGTGTAAATGCTTTGAACCATTTATCACTGTCAGAAGTCTGTGTGCCTTTTATCCTAGTGGCACTTTGTATCACCTTCACTATGAATGCTTCCGCTTAAGGTGCTTAAAGGCTCGTTTTCTGCACCCTCATATATCGGTTACGTATTTGCATTGAAGCATCTATGCGTTAATTTTTCAAATCTCTTCACTTTCTCACCGCCCCACAACTGTTTTTTTCCTTTCAACTGGCGGCAATCATGCCATCCACTATTTTGCTAACGGTGCCCTTAATGGATTCCTTGATGCATTATTCTCACCCTGTGTGACATCAACTTAAAATGTCATTAGTGACCTCTTAAGAGAGAATCAGAAAATGCTGGTTGTTACCTCCGTACCTATGCGCTTATAATAGTTTCACTTAGTGAGATAAACTAGAATCAAAGCGGATAAAGTACTAATCCCGGCGGTGTACTTTTACTTCGTTTTTTCATAGGCGCCTTTTATGGCGCCACGTGTGTGATAACGCCTGGAGGACGCGTGTCAACCCTTATTCTGTTTTCAATGCTCCAAACATTTTCCTTTTGCTCTGTATTACAATCTGCCCCTCCCAAAGCTGGGTGATAACAGATGTTTCAAAAATTTTTGCAGAGTTGTGCAACAAAGCCACGCCCAGTAAGTAGGTGTGTTACCTGTCCCTTGGGTTGGTGGTTTAATCTTGGTTGTGATCAATAGCCCTCTTCACCTAGTCCAACGTGGAGTAATGCACCTGATTTAACCAACAGGTGTTCCAATTACCATTGGTAGTTTATAATGCTAAAACACCAGTATTAAGTTCAAGATTCCCTTATAAGCAAGGTTGAGGCTTGTACAAATATTATCAGTATGTGTTTACAAGCCATTACAGAAGTTCCCTTCTGCTTCGCCACTCGGAGATAATGGGGCTCCAGCCACCAGCTTCGTCATTTTCTTTTCCTCTGTGCCTTAAAGACTATGTTGCTAATTAGTGTTTGTCATAACATCACTTATTTTGTTCAAAATTTAGACAATGTTTTCGCCTAATTTACAGCAGATGGAGCCAATTACCTCCTCATTAAAGCGCGAACACAGTGATAGTGCTGCAGCTCCGTTAAAGTCGAGACAACAGCATCACACACCTAATGTGAGTACCTTTTTGGATTTGCGTACGCAAATAAATTGTGCACGCTCAATTCTAATTTTTTTGGTTGCTGACACTAGCGTTGCATCTATAGTATCAAGCGCGAACCCGTTTTAATAAATTCACATTTTTACCCCAAGTTTATTACTCGGTCCGCCATTTTGAGTAAATCAAATAATCATTTTGGAAATTGATATGAAATCTTCAGCTTCGTGTTTATTGGTTTGCATTCCACTCTCTAGGTGTGTAGCAGCATGAATCGTTGTTATTTGTTGCTTAATGTTTCGAAATGGTGGCATTTGACTTCATACCAGTTTAGGCACCACTTTGATTATTGCGAACATTTATTTGTCTCAATATCGGAGTGAAGCCGGTTTCTGGGCTCAATTTGACAGATATGTTGGCTCCTCTAGCCTACCCTAAGGCAATTTAATTTTTTCAAATCGCTCTCACGAATCACCAGAATGTAACTTTTCCGTTAGGCCCTCCACTGCAAGTAGTGCTTGTTGTTTACTAAAACGGCCTGACTATTTGGGGTAAAATCAAAGCAGATTGATCCTTTTTCTTCCTGCATAAAAATTATCGCTTAACAAGCCTTTCAATGGGTGAAGAAGTCAGTTCACGTTAAGTAGTTGCTGGACTGCCCATTTTAAGCTGGACTTGGGCCTGTTAACCACAGATTTTTATGGCAAAATACCCACGTGGTTGATGCATTTTTTGACTTTTCTGTCCTCTCGTGGCTTTATTGGAGCAAAATGTACATTTATGCGGAAGTATAATTTGGAAGTTGTGGCTTTTCTTTCCGTAGTTGTCGCCTTTGCAAATCAAAGATTGGCAAGTTCTTGGTCAACATGAATACAAAACAACTGGGAACTCATGAATCTTGATTGCCAAAAAGAGCCCACACTCGCTTCATGACTTGAGTCAACGCACTTGTCATGATTTGGTTAAAACATTCCGCTGTGGGGATTTCCACTCGAACCAGTCGACGGTTCCGGTCAACCTAGTGAGGCTAATGGCGACCGAATCCAGCACGCAGGTGGATTGAACAGTCATCATTAATGTGACCTGTTTAGATGTTCGATATTTCGGTTGCGTGTGAAATTAACGTTGTGTGGCCAGCCAATATTTGCGATGTTTATCTCAAGAGCAGTGAATCCGTCCCTCTTTTGCAAACGGATTGTCAGTGACGCTAGAAACCGATCGTTGAAAACCAAGGTCATCGAAAGTATCATGCTATTGATTTGGTTAACGTGCAAAATTACTGTGTATGAAGAAGTGTTTTTAAGGCACCAAATATTTTTTTAAGGTTTTTGTTGTCATAAACAAGAAAAAGGATGAAGGAAAACAATTAAAATTGATTAGTTGCAGAGGAATGTTTGCTGCAGGAAGACAACTCAGTGTCTCATACATCTTTAGTAGCTCGTCGAAATTTACTGGAGTTGAGTTTGCTAAGTAACGCCTGTATGTAACCCCAAATATTCCTGACTTCACATTATCAAATTACCATTTATTTTGAAGTTTGCAAAACTCTGAGTGGTAGAAGACTCGCCGATGATAATGACCCGAAGTCCCACTTTTTCTGCATTCTCCGATCCAAGTCAGGAGTTTTTATGTGCACGGAATTGTGTATTCGTCCGAGAGACGATGGAAAATCATTGGTCAAATCGAAGACTCTTTAATTTATTAAATTTCATGTTTGTGCAGAATTTGCTTTTTATTTCACGCTACAAAACTGAAATTACCTTTTCGTAGTTCAGTTTTCCAAAAGGCATCACGGTAGTTGCAAACTTTATGAAACAATGCCTCAACAAAATTACAACTTGATCAGGAACCAAAAAGCTCGTCGTCTCCAAAGCTTTTGTAGTGTTCACTATGCACCCACATGTCCATTGGAATTTGTACGACCAGTGGTTGGCAGTTATTTGCTCGATTCGATTTATGTCCGCAGTGTGGTGGAATGGGCTAGATGTGTAAGCTCCTTGTTAAGCCTCGTAAATTCATCCAGAAAATAACAATGCACACAAAACATTCACCAGATCCCGATCAGAGAGTCTTCCAAGAATACTGACAATATCGGCTTGGGAGCACCCGGAGGCCTCGACTCATGACTGGTTCTATCATTGTGCCTTTACTTCAATTTTTTTCTCCAGAAATCTATCCAGAACACTCCGGAGAAACATCCAAAGCTTGAGCCGTCCCTTGACGTAGGAGATATTGGCTCCGAGTCTCTTCCCGTTGAAGACGAGGAGGAGGAATTATTCGGTGAGGATGAAGAGGAGGAAGATGACGAAGATCAGGATGAGAACGAAAGGCTAGCAGAAGTGCTCGGTGTTGAAGTGTTCGAGGGAGGAGATGGAGGAATTGGCAGTGGTGATCGACGATCAGTCACACCTGCGGAGCAGCAGGAGGAGACCAACAGGGCGGAAGACAGGAAGTTGCTGGCCCTGATGGCTCATTTCAATGATGATCAGTTGAGCCGTTTTGAGACATTCAGACGCGCGACACTTACAAGGTCTGCCGTTAGTAGGGTAGGAGCCTTTTATTCTATTGTTTTGTCCTCTATGTGTTAATAATATGCATCTACTGTGAATAGGCGTGAATCAGTGAGACATTTTGAAGTAATTGAATCCGCTGGCTTACATATGCTACACAACTATCTAACAATTCCATAGTGTCGAAGTTGATAAATCCGAGCAATCTTCTTAGCGAAGTGATGGCTTATCCGTGTGGATATTTTGGTTTTTCGGCAACTGGCATCTCTATTTCTGGCATCCATCCAATGGGCAAACAATAACAGAAGGCCCACATTGTTGTCCGTGCTGATTCACCCTTTCGTGTTTTAGCTCATCCAGTCAGTGGCTCAATCCCCCTTTTCTCAGAATGTTGTCATTGCAATGGCTGGAATTACAAAAGTTTTTGTGGGCGAAATTGTTGAAGCAGGTGAGTGATATTTTGGGTTACCAATAGAACTCTGCCTTAATTTGTCGCTACTCTAAAAACCACGCAGCACTTTGATACCGGCTTATGACAGTGTATTTTGCAAGGGTAAGAAAATTATCTTGATTTACGCTTCTGTGCACATCAAACCACTGGACTCTTGGTCTACTTTATCACCGTAAAATCTGTAAAATCCTTATCTTTGAACACTATTTGGGGATTTTGGTTGATGCATTTATAGACTAGGGCAAGTCGGCCATTAAACTCTTATGGGTGGAATGTGAAACGCAAGAGGCGAACACTGAATTACACTTCCTGGATAACAATGCCCCAACTCTCAAATCTGACTCACTTGGGTGTGTTGTCTGTTGTTTTTTTATTGGCGCACCGCAAAATGCACGAAATCGTGATAAATCAAACTAGAACAATCGAGAACCAAGGCAGTCCCTTTACCTTCTCTTCATTGGGGTTTAATTAAAAATGTAGTAATTAAAAGTTGGCTGCTGGCGAACGAATTTTTTTCATGATTATCCTCTTTAGACACGGGCATATTGTTTGATGAGCACTAAGCCTAATTTTTTTACGTGGCCTACATGTGCACGGGAGTGTTAGCATCGAACGATGCACTGATTGAATTGTGTCATTAACCAATGATTTGTAGCTCTAATATTGTTATGAAAAAATGTGCGTGTAAAAGTGAAACTTCCTAAGCCCTATGTGTGTGCGTATTTTTTTCCAGCCCTCGACTACAAGGAAGAACTCAAGGAAATCGGACCCCTGCAGCCAAAGCACATCCGAGTGGCTTATTCCCGACTCCAGGCCCAACAACGGACATCCCGACCCAACCGTCTGAATCCGTTTTTCTAAAACAGGCCCTTTGTATGGTTTTTGTATATATGCATTTTCGTGTCTCGTACATAAATTGAACGCATTGTCATTTTGCAGTAAGCCCAGAGTTCTGTCTTCAAACAAGGTGGCTATGGAGTTGGGTAAAATGCACTAGTGCTCAGCGGCAAAATGTTTTAAAGTCAAACCAGCAGGTAAGTAGTTTTAAATTTCAGTGCCTGGCTATGGGTAGAGTAAACCCGAGTGATATTTGTAATGACGCCTCCCAGAAATTGGTCGATCATTGAGGGCTTACATTCAAGAGTAACGGTTTCCTTGTTGCCATTTGTCTCCTCATTTAAGCTGTCGCATTGGGGTTGATAATTCTTGGTATAAAAATTATTATTTTGACCGCTTTTGGAATACCTGTTCTCTTTCGCCGTAATTTATTTCTTCACGTAGAACCATTAGTCAATATGAATCATCTTCATCCGCGGGTTTTTAATCATTTATAAAAACCAGAGTTAAATCGTGGGTTCAGTATTGTGATGAAACACAAACTCGTTTAGTTCCTACACCCTGAGTGCGAGTTTCGGTTTTTTACAAGTGAACTTCAGTTCTGTTGTATCGAACCCGTGGTTCGGACAATACAGGCGTCAAAAATACAGAAGACGGCGTACGTGACATTAGCTATTTGCTACTCTTAAAACTACTTCAATCCGATTTGAACTACCGTATCACCGAAGAAGCTACCACCATACTAGTTTCCGTTCTAAATCTAATCTTTCTAGTTTGACATGGCAAACCTCTGATCCCTATTCGCCTCGTGCGTTTCAAAAACGCAACCTCGTTGTAGTTGAAAATATGGAAGACCACTGAACTCATTGAGTAGAAATAAAACTAGTGTTTGCTGCATTCAAATAGTTTACAGAGGCCATGCTTGGTCCGATGCCGCGTGAGGCTGGCTTAGGTCGACCAATAGATTTGTCCAGGTTTGCTTCAACTCATAGGTACTAGGGCTGGTCCAGCATCAAATTTTCAGTTTGGAACTTAAGGTACAAATAGTGATCTATTAGTTGTATCACCCCCTCTACACCCACCGAACGATCTTTTTGAAACTAACCACCAGATATAACAAAGCCTTCTCTTAACTATTGATTTTGGTGTAAATAACTATAGGTCGTACGGTGCGCATTCATTTACTTCAGCACCCGGCGATATCAGTTGTTAAAATGGTTTATCGGCTTAAAATGCCGTTATTTAACGCCATATTGCAACCGCTACATAATCAGTAGTCATTTTGCCAAACGCGAATCTAACGCTATCAAGACAGCATAGCAGATTTGTGCGCATTTGGCAAAGTATCCAACTGATTAGCTATGCGTTGTGTTAACCTGGAAGTTGGGACGAAGATGGGCGCACTTGAAAGTCGACCAGTGACGTTGGTGATAATCACGTGACATGTCAATTAGGCACCCCACTTCAAATACCAGTCACGCGGGTTAGTGACGACAAGGCGAGAGGGAAGGGATGGCTCGACGCCTAAATGTAAATTCGGAGCCGTACAATGCCTATTTGTCACCCCGTGAGTGCTTAGTTGCATTTGCTTTCATCAAGCTATTTTCTGTTTATTTTGTTAACCGGCACATTAATCATTATGGTGGGTCACATCGACCGGTAGAAAGCGTTGTTTTTGTTCATATTACCTGTCTTAGATCTGTCAACAGCTCTTTTGTTTTGACCGACAAAGAATTTGTGGCAGCCAACAAAGCATGACGTAAGACTGATTCAAATTACAGTGGGTACTTGGACGGTTTCGGCCCTTCACTTCAATGTTTCACATGAAAGAGTAACCGTACCCCTCTTCTCGCATCAACCATCGAAATTGTTTACATCACTTAAACCCGCATATATTAATGAACAAGTTTTGGCAGGCGTGTCAATTTATTTATGTGCAATTATGCTGATTTACTAAATATATTTGCTTGGAACATGAATCTCGCAAAAGGTAATGTAAGGAATAACATGCAATTACAGGACTGGGGAACATTCTCAGACCCACTACTCCACTACAAGTGAGGCCTTTACATTGTTGGTAAATATGGCATCTGGTAATGTACGTGCCAACCAATTTCAGTGATCTTAATGGGGCTAACTAAAATCAAATACAGGTATGTTAAGTCAACACAAACAGAATGTGCATTCTTACTGAGCCAACACATTGAGAGGCATAATTTCAGGTCTTAGGCTTTTACACAATTGAAGATCAAAGGCACAGATTAAACATTGAGTGTGAAAAGCTTCGCCGCAGTCGAATCTTCAAAAAAAAAAACAATCAAAAACTACAATGGGCTTTACTTTTAAAGAGCAACTGGCCCAGACGAAACCAAAGAATGCATTCTATACAACTGAATTCGGGACAAAGTGCCACCGCTACTACTGTGCAGCATGCGGCGAATGCCATCCCATGAATGAATGCGCGTCCAGGCGGTTGGTTGAACACATCACCGGCACCGGGCTTCCAGACGCCGCCTTCCGTGCCTCCGAGGCCTACGTCATTGACGACTACGTGCAAGGCAAATTCCAAGTAGAGCGTCGCAAACTGCGTCGAGAGCACCACTGCAAACCCACAGAATCCTTCCCCTTCCCTGAAGACAAACAGCCAAGTGGACCAATAATCAGACCTTGCAAGCAAAAGCCTTAACACTCAAGGCAGATTTCAGGCTGCATTTAACAAGCCGAACCATCGACATTTTTGATTTTATTGGGTTAACATTACCCCGCTTTGGTCATTAAAGGCACCTTGAATTACACTGCGAATTTAAATCGTTTTTAGTACGGTGGCAGTACGCTGGTTTTTCATTCAGTTTCAAACCAAATTTAAGCCAATGCCTTATTCGCAAAGCACCAAACTAAGTAGTTATTAATCGGAAGTTCCAGTGTTTGGTTAAGAAGGCCACTTCTGTCATTTAAAGCATCATGTGGCGAAATTGCGAAAAAACATATTCAGGCGAATACTAAAGCCGTAAGAACTTCAAGCTGAGAAGATGACTCGGGATGTTTAGACGACCTGTCTTCGAAGATATGACTAGTGATATTAACTGCAGTCGTTTACTGAAACCATGTCTAAGCACACCAAGTTCTAATGCGTTGTAAACACCGACATTCCAGAAAACCCCGATTTATATTATGTGGAGCTGTACGTGCTACCATATAACTATAAATATTATCAACAACACACATATAACAACATAATTTCTGGAGCCTAGCGGCTGGTGCAGTATGGTGCATTGCTCATGGAGTAAAAGTTCTTGTTGATGCCCCGGACATAGCAACAGACGTGGCGGAAAATTGGTGTTGTGGTATTGCATTATCTGCAAAAGCTAGGGCTGATTAAGCATTGGCGTGGTTGGTATTCAAATTGGATAGTACTAAATTTGTTAATCATTGGTTTTACCCGGGCATGCTGGAAACAAGTTCTTTCTCAAGAGCACATATGCCAGGCTAGCATGAACGATCAAGACGCTGATCTACTGTCTGTGTGGTCGAGTGAAGTATCGACGCCTAAAATAAATTGTTTCCACCAAAGGATACATTGATTCCACCATAAAATGCATACGTTAAACTTAACATAAGCGGGTTTTATGCATAGATCAGAACGAAGTTGGCGCAATAAATCAGTTAAAAAGCTCTGCGTGGAGTCAGTGTGAATTACTTCTTGTTCGTTACAGAATTTCCAATCAGTTGTGCAAAGGGATGCAATCCAACGGCGAAAAGGTCAAATAAAGAGCAGAGCAATGCAGAATGAGGTCACGAGACTTATAAGAGCTAACCAGGAGATGATGTTCAGCAAGACCATGAGTTGATCAGGAAAAGAACTGGGAATGCCGAGATTTTAAAGGTCTTAATGCCTACCTACTTGTACAGGGATTCATGGAACCTATAAGAGGAATTGTAGAAATGTTCGGATCAGTTAAAACTCATTCAGAGTGACATTAAGTACCCAACGATTGTAGCAGAACGCGAGATTAGAGAGGGCTGCCTTCAAGAGTATGAACAGCGATGCCCTCAAATTGTTTTCGTAATGCAATTAGCGAAGATAGAGGGCCTGATTTCAGCGGTTAAACGCAAATACGGCCACGCACGTCTCAACAATTTCACTCCCTGTAGTTCCTCTCGATAAGTTTTCGAATCAAGATACAAAAAATCCCGACAGGCTTAATTTAGTGAATCACAGACAATCAGTGCTAAAGGCTGATTGCGAAAGTCAGTTCCCAATATACATGTCGCTGGTGCATACAACTTTGACGGTGCTGATATTTGCTTTGTGATATAAATGCGCGTAAGTTAACATAACCCTAAATAAATTCAATTGAATCAAATTCTAAACAGGGTTAGTACGTCGTTACTGCAATTAAAAAAGCGGAGTGTGCTTGAACCGCAACAGAAAAGTGTTCAAGGCGTTTACTTGGATCGTGTTCCTACCTCTAGAACAATTAAATGGTGGTTTGGTCGATCAGAAAATGATGGCTTTAATCTACACGTTTAACTTCGTTCTCCGTGACCTTCCAGCTGTGGTAAGGACTTAAACCGAGATCAAGTGAACAACAGTGCAAGGATTACTAGTAAAGAGGTTGCTGAGGAACTAGATTTCGATAAATCGACTGTAGTTAAATAATTAAAGCAAATTAGGTGCACATCGGGACTCGAGATAGAGTTTGCGTACGTTTTACCAAGACATAATCAACAGACCGTTTCTATAGCCATTTGCCTCTCCACCCATAAACAAAACGAACGTTCCTTGGATCAAGTCATAACTGGAGATGAAGAGTGGTTTATGCATAATAGCAAAGTAGGGAAAAAACTAAACATGAATGCGAAAAGGCAGAATCACTGGGACTTCTTTTAAGCACCATCCAAAGTGATTTGTTGTGAACGTGTATGTTTATTGATTGTGCCGATCACTACATCAAAGTGAGGTAACTAATGTTGCGGCGACGGTGCTGTTTAGATTGAAGCCCTCAACATTGCAAATACTTCAGTGTAAATTATTTAAGGGTTATTGTCATTTGAGTAGCTTCAACATCTAGAAGCCGATCACGAAACAAAAAAATTCAAGAACAAGAACAAAGCAACTTCCATAAGTTTAAAAATCACATAATAAAAGTACGGTCAAAAGTGGTTTTAAGCCTTTTCCATTCACGAGTTTCAAAAGATCCCGACACAAATCCAAGAAAACATTGAGACCACAGTTAGCAAAGCTTCCAACGGATTAATCTCCCGAAGGTCAAAGCACGATCCTCTGCTATTTAGATCATACGAGGCGGTCACCGGCTAAGGCATTGCCATCCAAGTTGGCAACCTGTTCCAGACACTCCACGACGCCTTCGGGAGTCGGTGACCGACAGATCGCGGAACAGGGAAGGCTCAGGGCCTTTATCTTTTCCGCTGTTGTCGGACCTATAGCCAAAATCTGGAAAGAAAAGTGAAGTATCGTTAAATTGACGCAACGAAACTAATGAAAATGCAGAGATGACTGACAGCCTCGTTGTTGGATATGTTAAAATCAAATCGGCGTCGACGGTAAGAAATTTAAATATAGGAAATGATTGTCGGTGGAAGATGTAATTAAGATATCGCTGAATTGTGGTCATTTATGAGCAGAAAAAAGATCCAGATGTGAATTACTATTTCGCATGCTAATGAACTTGAAGCGTGGTGGCTTAAGTCCTACTAAATTTGAAGTAACTTAAAGAAGCTCGTTTTATTTGGGTTAATTTCGTATCCGTTATCTGGGGTGCGCAAACAAGGACGAACCTCTGGGACGTTCCTACTGTTTTCAATTTCATTTGATAAGATTTCAAAATTACTTTTTCAAATAAATATATCTACCAGGACAACGAAGTGTGTTGACCTCCTTGACAAGTGCTTATGTTACTTACCAAATGATTTTTACGAAAAACAAGAAGACATTTGAAGCAATCAGTCATTTACATGGGAAAAGAGCCCAACTACTTCATTGAGAGCAAATGCATATTCTGCATTTTAATAATTTAAACTAGGCAGCAATGAAGAAAGTCAAGAAATTTTATGTGTTGCTTTCATAGCTTCTTCAGTTCGTTTATGCGGGCATGGCATCAGAGGCAAAAATTCATACGAGATAATAAAGTTCCAAACATTAAAGAAAGATAATAAGAAAAGCAGAAATGGGGATAGTTTAACAAATGTTCGGGAGTCTGGAATTTTATAAAAATCACTTCCAGAACAATTGGCAATTGGCATAAATTCAAATCCGTTTTAGTACAATGACTTACATGAGTACTAGAACGAAGCTTATCAAAAGAATTAAATAATGGGGCCTAGTATCCATGGGAATCAGGCAATTAGTTGCAATTGCTATTACCATGTCGCTTACGCGGAGCTAACTTAATCAGTCTACCATGGGACAATTGACGAAATCTTTCGTCTCTATGGTAGTTTGCTTCAAGGCGACGCACCTATTCACAAATTGAAAGGCGTGAGCGATAAATAGGCAAGACTTCTAGACTACCAATATTACGAAAATAAATTCAACATTAGAAAGCCTCAATTGATCAGGAAAAGAACGGGGAATCGGTCTTTATGGAAAGCAATTAAGTAATAACGTGACTTTTTATTACTTATAAGTCACGTTAAGGGTTCTGCGGGGTGACACGTAATGCCTAAGAACTAAATCTATGATGTTTGATGCACGAAAGCATTTCGCGAATAAACCCACATCGATAAAAGGCAATGGTTCATCTTTTGGGCAGATCGTTTGACGTAGGGATTTCAGGTTTAAAGAAGCATGAATAACTTACATGCACATTGGGGTCCAATTCAGGACAACCGGGAGAAAAAATGGCCTGCGATGCCTCAACCGCTGATGGGCTGAAGAATACTAAGCACAGTGAGTCTTTTTCGCTTTCCTAGTAAAGGCAGAATTAAATGGCAACAAGATGAAACACGATCTGGTCAATTTGCATCAACTATCAACTCACCTTCAATGTTGCTGAGAGCTGAGCTACGAAATGGGGGTTCGGAATATGACTATACACAACGACTTCCTCAACTGTAATGCCTTGAAAAAAATGTATGATTGGAACCTCCTACCGGCTTGACGCAATTGATTTGATAGAACAGGGCTATGTTTGGCACCGGTAAGAAGAAGAACAGGTTTTTTTGAGACCTCTGAAGAGTAGTTATCGAGCATGTAGTTGGCCAGACTCGCTGCATTGCCCGTATGTGATCCCTTAGTCGTAAATCCCAACTTGCTTGCTGAAATAAAACACAGAAAATTGGCAAATCCCCAATTATTTGCCATTTTTCTCGTCCCACTATTGCATGTGAATACCAAATAAATAAGCGGGAACGGTTTCAAACAACTCGCAATCTGTGTTCAGTTGGAAAAACAAGGAGGACTGGAAGCCGTTCTAGCAAAGCCCATTTCCGAGGGCATTACATTTAAATTTCGTAGCCTCAGACATTTACTGGAATTTGGTAAGGACACACTAAAATGATTTTATTAAGTGGTTAGCCTGTCGAGAAGTAAACTATGGCATAAACGCGATTTGTGGTGTTTCAACGTACCTAGGATGCAATTTCTTGGAAGAATTACTCCAATGTTCAACAGTAAACAGGACTTAATGTGAATGCTTTCCTTGAAAACCTCAGCAACCAACGGAGAACCAGAGTTGACTTAATTCCTACATCTATATCGGATAACTTGGTATTCAATAAAATCAAGCGTTAGGCTTGGAAAGCAGCAAATTGGACTTTATTAAGGTTAGTAGCGGCGACACGAATGCATGCTGCTTTGAGAATAACTCGTGCTTTTCATAATACGAAAGAGGCGACGTCCACAGCATTTGGAAGCTTGAGTTGATGTATGGAACGGAAAGTTCATATTTAATTTTAAATGAGTTAATGCATCCGCGAACAAACGTCCCCAAATGACAAAGTGGGGAAAAGTGCTCTAATAATAGTGTGCCTGATAAACATACCCGCAGCAGAAGTGGCGGGCCCAACAGCAAAGCAGAGATCCTCGGGAAGACCTTACCAAATGAAAATCAAAATTGGAAGAAAAATCGAAGTACCGATTAAGTTAGTGGAAGCAAATGAGGCTACGGCCCGCTGGCTGCAGAATACAATGCAACTATGAGACGACCGCCACTTGTACAAGCGTTCAAAAAGACATCCGCATATAGTGAAGGACATAGTCTCAATGAGATCTGTATGATAACCCCGAGCACTAAGAAACTAAAAGGAAACTGACAAGGGGACAGAAACGTACATTTACGTATGGGTCACTTTCACGAGCACACGAGCCATCGATTGCCGACTTAAGAAGAACCACCTTCATCTGATAAACTAGAATCACGTCAGCGTTTGACACAATGCCAACAGTAACACGGAGGCAAAAGAACGATATTTGTGTTCAAATATTATATTTACTTAAATGCTCATTGTGTCTAGTGAAAAATTAATACACCGAGTTCAAGTTAATCCAATTCAGAGTTGCTTTAACAGGGTCGAGTCTTCCATATAATGTAATGCAGGCGGAACAAGTAAACGATAGCTGTAGTACGGGACTCGAAGTTGGCTCAGCCACAAAAGCTATAAGAAAATAACGTGAGGAAATTGTGGGTTCAAACTTTGAAAAATATAATAAGCGCAATTAGCTTGCCATGAGACTGAGGTAAATAGGGGAAGCTGCTGCTTTAACAGTTTCAAAAGTAACGACAAATCTTTAGAATTAGTGAGAAGTTCGAAGGGATTAAAAAAAACCAATCACTAACAAGACAACTAGGTAATTAAAACAGAAGAGAACACTACTAATAAATTCTCGTTATGTTGAATGGAAAGAGACTTTAAACATTCAGGACATCAGGTTGCCACGAAAATCACATCAATGAGTGTCGAATTACGTTTGACCTGATAACGAAAGGAAACAATACTAGTTTATTCAACAAGACAACCCTATAAAACATATTTGACTTCTTAAACAAGGAAAATACTTAAAGGCGCTACTATCGTCTCTGTATTATAACATTGAGTATTCGCGTTATGCGAAAAGTATGTAAAACAAGAGAAGGTTTGTTGAAAACGTATTAAAGCCTGGCTATACAAAAAAGTAGAATTTTGTGTGATTTGTCCTAGTAGGCTCATTTTGAACACTGATGTAGTTGGAATTCAATAGGGCACTGGACAATTATTGCAATAAGACGTCGGACGATGGGGGTTAAAACATAATGTGGACAAGAATTTCCTCCTCCAGCAAGTTTAAGTAGAAATAAAAGGTTATTAGGATATAATAAGGCAAGATTTGTGGCAGTATGTAAGCAAACAATGAGCGATTGTGACGTTTTGATTAAAGCTACATCTACTGCTATGATTTTACAAAGGTAGACTTACAACCATACCTTACATGCCACATCCCTTGGATTTGTCACGTAAAGTTGATAAAATTGGATATCGCCCAGTGCACTTCATAGAAAGCTAATTCATCGAGGATTTTCGACGGAATATTCTGATCGATTGGTATTTCGAAAAAAGCTCATTACCAAGCAAAAAGCAATCCCCGAATGCAGCGTCAACGACAAACGAGCCCAGAACTAACAATTGGGCTAGTGTACTTTTGACCTCGATGACATTGAAGCCGAATGAGAAATAAAAGTACACAACTCGAAATAGCAAGTTAAAACAAGTAAGATTTCTTTGGTCCTAGGACCAAAAAAACAAAGAACAACCTGACTTGCTCTTCTGCGTACCTATGTGAATCTTTTAAGCATCTATTATGCCTTCAGAAATAAAGTTTTACTTACAATTATCTTGAACGTGATTTCACTTTTTGTTAAATGATAGACGATTGTTAGGTGTAACCAAGAATTTACTAGCCTGATGTGCCTATTGGCACTACACAATTATATACAATTCCTCTGTCTGTTAACATGCAAGATACTAAAAGTAATCAAATGGGTAATTATTAAAATATAACTGACTTTTAATATCGAGAATAATCTGCTGACTGCAGTTAGTATACACTCAAAGTAGTCAAGTCAAGAGATTTGCCTGCAATTTTAAAAATATAATTACCATTGTCTGCAATTTTTATATTGTATCCTCTCGAGGTCTTGAAGGATTAAAGACTAATATCTTGAGTCGCCGATTGTTATACCTCCTCAACATGTGGTAACACAACTATATTGTTTTTCTAGAAAAAAATTCAACGATTTATTTTAGATAAATGTCGTACTTGATGATTCTACCAACTTGAGAATATTTGGGCTACATTTCTCTCCTTTACATAAAAATGTAGTCATAGAGTGTGCATACATAAATTGATTAACAGGTGCAAAGATTCCGACGCAATAAAATCGGTGACTTAAATCATTGCTGAAATTCTTGAGTGTAACCTCAATTTAAAAGGGTTCGACTCCTCAATCGGTAAGATTTGCTTTACCGTTTTTGATGACTACCAAAACTGACATTAATCTTATTAGACAAGCCTTGATGATAGTTGAATAACTTTGTTGAGAGGAAAACAAATTGTACGATAAAATTAAATGACGATGCTAAGGTGTGAATGTGGATGGACGCAATACAAGTTGACACTTAAATAAACCTCTATTTATGTACAATACGAAGTGATACTTATTGCTGACAGGATATTCAACATAGGGAACCGTTTGGCTAGGAAAATTTGTTCACACCCATTACGAAATACAGATTTTTTGTCACGAAGGATTATCAAAATACATCCTGGTTTCGGTTCATATGAGCGTCATGATTGAAAAATTGCTTCCATGTACTGGTAAACAGATAAGCAGACTAACTCAAGCATCTGATTAGTGATATAGTACCGAGTTCAGAGTCACTGAATTATCGATCTACTTTGTTGTTTTTAATACGATCAAAATATTTCGAGGGTTTCCCTAAATACATGCTAGAACAATTAAAATTTTAGACCTACGAAGATAAGTACGATGACTGCATAGGTTCCAATTGCGATTGATGCTTGAATGAAAAATTTAATGATTTCGCAACATTTCTCTACTAAAATTTACATTCACGTTAAAAAAAAAGTATTTTAGACATAACGGACAAACCTCACAAAAAATGAAAACCGATTCTAACTGAGGGTGAGTTAATATAGCATGTAAACACACGCAAGACGAGCCATATAAAACACTCAATGAATAGGTACACCTTCGTGCTTTACGAAGATAAGGTGCAAAAAGTGATGTAAAACAAAAATGTTCTATCCCTTTTTGCTCTCTGAAAGTTGCGTAGAACCGAGAGCGAAATTTGAAATAAGGTCAAAGCAACAGGACCACATAGTCGGAAACGGGCTCCGGGTAGAATGAAAGGCGACTGGTGAAATGCGGTTTTAATTCTGTTCCATTCTTTACAAAATGAAATGGGATTTAAGATCTGCTATCATCATGGGCCGCTGACACACTGGCAGCGGCGATCCGTGCAGCGTTACTATACAGTGGGGGACCACGCATCCACCAGGAATTTTGAATGGTGATTGCGTCGACCACGGCGCTTAAGTGTTTTGTGGAAGTGATTTCACTGAACTGCTTCGCACCGCTATTGTATCTAAATAAGAGAAATCGGCGTTTGCATTAGTATTGATATCCACCGCTTGCATTCATACCTTATTTCTTTCTGAAGATTAAACGAAATACCTAACAAACCAGGAGTTTCTTGATCCTTTACCTTAAAACTATCTTACTGGTTAGTTCCTTAATGACCACCAATTTAAACCAATGTTTTTTTGCAAATAAGCAGCAATAGGTTAAAGACACAGTGCAGTGTCAATCCCCAATATCTTTGCAGAGGAATAGTTAAAGAGTATCAAGGAAACCTCCCCAATAGTTCATGGTTCAAACACTCTTGGAATTCTCACTGTTCTGTATCTACTGATAATTTATATCCTGCATTCATATACAGAAAGGCGCCTTAGTCAAGACTCATCACTAAACAGCATACTGAACGACTTAAATTACTTGGCTAATTAATCGACCAACTCTAAACTTTCACACGTTTTTCCAATACTTTTGAGGCCTAGAAAGTATCACTGTTTTAAAATTACTACCTACAGCTGCTTCCAAGTGTAATTAAGCTTTTAATAAAGTTAATATCCACAAGAAACAGCAAAATAACGGTAAAAGTTACTGCCTCGTACTTGACCTAAAGTTGAGTTACCAGCCACGGATAGATCAACGTTAGCCTAGCTATACAAGGTTCATTTAACACAACTTTTTGGGTATCAAAGTGATTCAATAAAAACTCCACCAATGCTTGGTTGCGACTATACCTAAACTAAAAACACTACATGTTTACTCAGGACTTTAAAAGTTAGACTCACTTGTAAAACTTATCACACATGCTGTGGGTTATTTTACGAGGTCCATTGCCGCATATGAGTTTGAGTTCCTCAGTGTCGAAATCGAACGCGTACAGAGCACGATACTGGCACCTGCCGTCCCGGAAGAGGACAATGAAGTGCGATCCATCCACAGAGGCAAGCTCCTTTGAAATGCAAAAGTAGAACAGGCTAGTGGCTAGATTACAACGTACCTAACGATTGTTGCAAATGGCTAAAAATAGAATGGTGCAAACCAGCGAACTACAGGGACTTAGGCAAGCAGGGCAATTTATGCTGACATTAGCAATCGACATAGTTACAGAATGACGCATCTGTGGCCCATAGTAATACAAGCCCTTGTACAGAGACGCTTTGCAGACTAACCTGGCTATTTTGAAGGGCACGAAATTCACCGCGCGATAGGATGTAAGAGTTCGAAAAAATTGTGCCAGAGGGTCTTGGACTTAGTTGTGGAAATTAATGTTTTAAAAGGTGGTTGTGTGAGTTACAAGAACCGTACAATCATACACAAACAGAAATCAGTTGGCAACAAATAACCTTGCATAAGTCCAGACATGTTCCTCAGTGTTACCACATCCATACTATATTTGTTCAGGTTCCACGGTGAAATAACAACACAAACATGACAAAATGTTCGTGGGAATTTAAAACCACGGCCACGTGCCTTCTGTCGAAACTACCAAAATATTATTCGTCTCTTGTAACACTAAACAAAAAAAACATTTGCATCACTCGAGTCAGGTTAGAGTGCATGGAGGCGCCTTGCGAATTGGTTGATTTTCACAGCCGAGAACTTAAAACGTTCGATTGGGTGGGAGTCATCACGATTCGAGTAATCTAACCAAAAAACCTCATTCCATGCATATCCACCAGCTTTTCGAACCAAGCTGAGAGATAACCAACCTAACTCAAAATTGTGTAAAATGGCCTAGTGAGTATTTGGCAACCTTGCCTTAGCCATATACACTGTAACGTAAAGAAAAGAGCCAATGTGCGTACAAAAGTGTTAAGAGACCCGCTAATTTTGAGTAAAAAAGCGGTTTAGTCCACTGTCGTTCTTGCAGTGCAGTCTTGTACGTGGAGGGAAAAGGACAGGAAGCTTTTGCAATGCATTTAAAAATGGCAGCACCATACCTGCAACGCGGCCTTTTTTGCCGGTTCATTTACAGCTCCAGCAAGACAGTAGTGGGAAATTGCATTTACAATCACTTGTCGATTTGACTTTGACTTGGGTTTCACATAAAGGCGCGTTTGTGGCTGAATCCCGGCAATTGGAAGGCCTGGACCACTGTGAGTGCTCTCTTCGCCGTTTTCGCTTCGGTGAAGAGCTTTAAAAAATACACTTCCTGTTATCTTGGTGGCCTTATGTCACTGGTTACAAGTAAATGAGGTATAAATAAACAAGTAATGCAAACAAAATGAAATAGAGTTACATCGGTATATACGAAACTATTTTTCTTTAGTGATTGAATCCAATTCACGGTTGGTGAAAAAATACGAGAAACCGTGAAACTACTCTAATATAATCCACCTAAGAGCCCCAAATATATTATATTTTAAATTAATCGTCATTTAAGCTTAGGAGATCTGCATAAAGTGTACTATATTTTTTACATAAGAAGAGTGCAAACGGTCACAAAAAGGTCCACAGGAGGTGCCAAGCTGAACCAAAGCCATTAGAAGTTATTTCACTTTCATCCAAAACTTTTTTTTCCAAATTTGGGCAGCAAGATATATCTTTATTCCAGTAACGAGGGAAACTAGAAGTGGCGTAGTGGTAGGAACCGATTTTAGATCAAAACATAGACACTGCATTGCCAAGCCATCAGAATAGCAGGACATTAATATACAATTAAAACACACGTAAAAATTACAGGACAGACTGGGTCCGTTGCTAAGTCGACCTATGGATTGCCGAGACGCGGACCTTTGGCGGTTCATGGATACTGCGTCTCTCTTTCCATGAGTGGAATTTACGCCACCAGTGACGGAGGCGCTGGCAATTGAGCGATTTCCATTGCTAGAAGTTACCGAACTTCGAATATTGGGGCGGCTCAAAGAAGAGGATCGTGACAAACGCTGACCGGTGGAAGCATTCTGTTGCTGCAAAGTAGTGGAGGTTTTGGGACAACGGGGTCGAGCAGAGTTCGGTCGGGAAGACTTTGGGAGGGTTGCGGAGTTGCCAGCACCAGCACCTGCGATCCTGCCTGTGTCGCCATCGATTGTGGTATGAACTGGGAAGCCGGAGTTGTCAGACTGAATGTAAACAAAGTTCATTTTGAAATAATTTTCTCATCCACTTACTTGCAGTGACAAGTGAACGAAGTAAAACTGGGTTTAACGCTTGATTTTGAGTCAGTAAAACGTCATATGAAAAGAAGGTTTTCATTAGAGATTGAAATTCTTTGGAGCAGATTTTACCTGAGGCCAGATGATTGCCTCTTGATTACAAATAACGTTTCCAAATGTGACAATGATCTTTACTGCTTTGAGTTTTGCGAACCACACGAAAGATGTGCCAAAATGAGTATACCCTCCTATGGTGTGTAGCATCTGACGTCATTCAGTCCTTTCGTCTTACTATAGTAGCTTAATTTTTATTCAACGATCAGTCCTGGTTGCGAGCTTTCACATCGGTCAGAATAAAATCACTCATGGTTTATGAATGCACTGAGTTCTTATTCAATATTTAATTAATCATATTCCTTGTGGAAGGTAAGGTTACTCACCTCTGGGTCTGTTGAAGGAACGCTATCTGGCGGAAGATGTTGAACCTTTCGGGACATCTGGGAAACCTCCTCGAAGAATTGAGCCTCACGATCAGCTATCCGAGCGCGAATAACACTCTCCGTTAGTTTGGATCGGTCGGCTGCTCTTCGAGCTTCTAAACGCTCCCGAGCTCGTTGAAGACGCTAAACAAGGTACAACTTGTAGTAACTAAAACAAGTCTTCTAAACCTAAATCTTGACCAGTGAATCCCCATATTCTAAGCATTACCGGCTACAAAGTTATGCCTGAGAAAAAATAGGATCGATAATGAGGCTTTATATTAGAAGTGGAAGTTCCAAGTAAACAGCTGGCCGCTGAAAACGATATTGACTCTATAAATTCGAGGTCGCAATAATGGTTTCTCTCTGAATATCTATGAAATTACAATTGCTTATTCCCGAGCCTAAAATCGAGGATGAAACTGTAAAGGTTTTGTACAAGGACTGACCTCAGACGTCGGATTCTCAAAAGTGATGAAAAGCTTCTCAGCGGGCTTAATGACCTCTGGTTCAGACGAAAGAGATTTTGTCACACTGTCGTCCTGGGGTTCTTTTGGTTCTGATTCGAGGAGTGATGCGTTCACTGAGTGTTTCTCGATGGGAGGCTGTAGATTATTGAAAATAGACTGCTGTATTGGTAAGATTGCTTTTGTTTGCCGGCTAAGTGGCACAGAATCTTCTACGTATGTGCCGATCAAGTTCAGTACGTGTGAGAAATAGCCTCAAAGCCCACTCGGTGTTTCGGGTTCCTGTGCGTCACTTAGAAACCTAGATATTGGCTACGGTTGAGTAATACCCTATTTGTCACAGTTGAGGGTTTTCGTTTTTCACCCACAGATAATTAAGGTATATTAACTTATGCAATGCTTCAAGTGCCTTTGTTACCAGACACTTAATATAAATGCGTAGACCAGACTACCTATTTCGTTTTCTTGCATTATTTAAAAGGCTCTATTCGTGGAAACACTAATTGAACCCTTGAATGCATCATATGAACCCAATACTTTATCAAAGACACTGCTTTAAAACTACTTGAACAAGTCAAATTGTCTGACTGAATCAATTATCTGCAAATCTGAATTGTAAACGTTTGGTCGCATAAAGACGATAAAAAGCAGTTTGAAAGCTGACAAATGAATGCAGAATAATCTTCGTCTATAGGCAATGGGTACTTGAGCACTTACGGAAGGAGCATTTTGCTGTGGAGCTTCAATTGGATTTGTCGGTTCGACAGGGACGCTACACCCTTCCTGTGGAGATGTGCATTGCTCCTGCACGTCACACTGGGAAGGATATCTGAGCGGTGTTCTTGTGCTCCACATGGCCCTTGTACTGCCAGTGGGTGTAGTGGCCAGATGCAGCCTGCTTGAAGAGTGTGCCGAATCGAGTTGTGATGTAGACCTCACCCTGTTTTCATGCAAGTCGGTCCGTGAAGCTGCCAAAAGTGACTGCTGCTGCGCGGTGAGACGCTCAATATCGGAGCGCAAGGTAGTCACTGAGCGCGCGAGTTCGGCAATGGCAAGCACGTCAAGACCGGTTCCCGTGGATTTGCCCAAATGATTGGCCTCCAAACGATACTGTCGACGTGGATGATCGATACCGTGCACAGGATAACTTAGCTCCTCACCAGAGTCTAGGGCGTCCAAATGGCGCTGCCTCAGTCGGTGATGCGAGGTTCTAAGGCGACTGAATACAAGGAACGTGGGTGGTTATGGCAGTTGTTAAAACATCATGAATTAAATATTCTCTTCAATTTTAATGCTAGTGACATGTCTACTGCGTCTGTCAGAAATTAGTCTGAAAAAATTAACATAATAGTTGTCAAACTGTTATGTTGCTCAAATTGAATCGTTGTAAAATATTTATTGTTTTTCCAAGTTAGTATTTCTGATATTTTAACCTGACTACTAACTTAACGTGGGTGCAGATACAACGTACTGAATAAGGTGCCTGCGACTACCAGCACCTGCATTGTAGAGTTAGAGTTGCCTGATTGATCCCTTCCCAGGTGATGTTTAATTCCGAAGAAAAGGCTAGTCAAAGCTCTGTTGTATTTAATTTTTTGGACCTACTTTTGAAATCTAACCAAACATTAACCTCTTTTTTATCCTAATCTGTGGACGGAATACATTAAAATGTCGCAAATTTTGTTTTGAACGCTAGATGTACAATCCCAGGCGGACCATGTTGCTGCAGTATTAGGCCAAGTGTAACACTGATAAAAAACCGCAATCCAAACAACTTTTACATGAAGCAGCGCTCAATTTCCGAATAAGGCTAAAGTGTATGGCAACGATACGTTGAAACAAATAGAATAACACATTTGTTTCGACCTAACGTTGGATGCTTCTAAAAGGCGCAGAAACCAGGACATCTTCCTAGAGCAAATAAAGGCAAAATTCAGAAATGTTCACAGATGGTTGATGCTAAATAAAAAGAAGAATTCTTTATAACTTTTACCAGTCCCGAAAGCCATATCAATGAGTGACCATGTATGACACTAGGGGTACCAAAGGGCATTCATTCACACATCTCACTAGGTTTGATGACATAAAGTGATTGGCTACAGCAGCTGATGTGATCGTAAAACAAACGTGATGAAACTTTCCAAAATCAAAGAAAGCCACTGGGGATTAATGTACGAATCAAGATATAGTATGAAAATAAATAAACTGGACCAAAATATTCTTTGAAATTAGCGTTAAAAATTATAGGATGGTTTGTTTCGTAATAATACGAATTTAATAACAATACGAAATTAATATTAGTCATATCTATTGCCAAAAGATTAAAATTGGTTACATTATTCGCTAGTGCTCCGGCTAGATACATTAGTCGCATAGTGGAGTTTGCGAAAAGGACTAGTAATATTTTAAGAAGAAAATTAAGAAGTATCAGAATGGTGGAACAGGCCAGAACTAACATTCAGACGAAAGTTTGAATATTCTGTTTCGACAAAATGCTACAGCGTCTTGCGAACCCCGCTCCGCAACAAAATCGATTGAACAACCAATTGGCTGCAAACAACAGTGAGGAGGTATCAAACGTTAAAAGAAATTGGCCAATTATCGAAAGTGAAGTGACAAAAAAACAACGCAGTCTGTGGTAGAAGCGTTTGCAAAAACTTTATCAAACTTGCCACTAACCTTAATGAGTGCCTTATATAAGAGAGCGCTGTGAACCAAAGCAGTTTATTCACTTCACTGTGGGTAAAATTGAGCACAGTAGCCACGTACTTGCCTCACCTTACGTGACACGTGGCACTAAACAAGGTTTAATTCACATTGGCTCAGGAAGCAGCAAGTGTTTAGACACCCACTAGTTAAATTTCTTATTGAGAGATCTTCCAATGCAGAACCTTGTCTGCATCACATTATCGTCAGTGACCATGACCTTATTTAAGGTATTTTTTTCAACCACACGCCATCTTCACCTGTCCACCAATAAAAAAACTGCTTAAGTTGATAGGTTTCTTTGTTATGTCACTAACGTCGTAGGCTGAAGCCGGTCTCGAATTCGAAAGTTAAAAGAAAGGATTACCTCTTTTACAAAATGAAAATTACCAACCGCGAATTCGGTCACTAGTGTGATGCATTACCACACCAGTGAAGATAACTGAGGTAAAGGAGAAAAGCAACAACATGAATACTAGTTTTGGTAACTGTACAGACTGTGCCTTCCAGAATCCAAATTTAATATGCATTATCCAATCGTTCGAATGATGACTAGAAAACCGTAATCAACGGTTCATAAAAAGGATAGGAATTCGCAAAAACAAGCACTGATAGCTGTCTTCGTTGCTTCAGTACTTCTGACTGAAAAAAATGGAGAAATAGAAGAGGTACAATGGTCGGATAAAGTGATCAGAATTATATAGATAATTTGATCATTATTAATTTAGCCTTGACTGCGTAGCAGAAATTGTTTTCAAGTACTTATCAATTTGTTGAATTTTATCAACTGTGGATTTTTTATATTGGTGCATTTTTATGACAAATGGGTTGCAAAAGCAGTAAATATCGTTTCCAAAAAAAAAATAATTTTATAGAGTACTAGCGTTGTCAAAATACCTGACACAATTTTGGTCAGAAATAAACAAATTTGTGGTTTGAACAAGCTCAAATGGCGTGACGAACAGGGCAAAACGCACAAATTCTGGAAATCTTTCCGGGAAAACGTGTTTGTAATGTAAAAATTTGAACTGCTCAACTATGACTAAGACGCACCTTCAAAACAACCGATTTAATTCACTTTGAAATCAAGATTTTACACTGACAATCAACGTGTGCACAAAATGACTCATCTAACCAGATAGGTAAGATCATAATTTGTCTACTCAATAAAAACAACCTTAAAAAACGCGCCGGTTGCACGAGGTGAATCCCACTGCTAAAGTATTAGTATAAAATCTAATCGATGTTTCAGTATACCGTCGTAGGTCACGCAACAATGATTTCGTCAGCTAAGCCATCTTTTAGCCTCTTTTGGAAAAGAAAAGGTTTGTTATGCTAGTGCGATTTCGTTTTATAACCGTGCAATGCTAGCACCAATTCACTCTCCGCCCAGAAAGCGGTTGATGAGAGCATCGCTTGTCTGTCCGTGGTGCGTGGGATCAGCCTCCCAGCAATTACGGCCAACTACCACGGGATGTCCTCCTTTTAGTGCGCATTGTCGTATTGGTCCCTTTTAAATCACAATTATCTTCAGCACTTTGCGAACTCGGTGCAACGCTTCACTGCCAAGTCATGAATTACCCAGAGGGCTTGAACGACCGCGTTCACATACATTGCGCATCATCCCTCACATGCGGGCTCAAGATTTCAAATGTCCAACTAGCCAGGAAACCTTTTCATCGGATTTTGAAAGTAAGTGAACAGCCACTTTGATAAAAGATCCAACTGCAAAGAAGGGATCATGTTTTAGGTCGAATATCCTAACTACGAACTCCTACGTATTCATAGTAGAGGTGGCAATTAGCTACGTAGCAAAGTCAGAAGTTTTGAGTTAGTTAACATATATCAAAGTAAGATGAATGCCAATGGTAGACATTTTGCCCGTCGCATTGCAATCAGGCTTTTTGGAACAATTTTATGCAATAATTTTGGAATAAATTCAGAAGACGAAACCATTTAGCATATCAATTCGTAGGTGTTAGACATACGCATATTAGTACCAATTTTTATTAATTATTCAACATTAAAATTTAATACAGACGAACCCAAAAAAATTACCTCTGTCATCACAGTGAATTTTCTTCCATTTCTACAACATACATTTATCCGCTTCATGGAAATCTGAGAGCTTTCAAAGTAAATACAATACAAATCCAACTTTTATTGCTTTCATATTAAGCAGGTTTGTAGCACGAAGGCAAGTACTCCATTTATTTAAAATAGTAGTTGTCGATGGAGTGATGCATGGAAAATATGGCGAGTGGAGCATCACTTCCCAGCCCGAATTATGTTTTTCTTGGCGAATAGTGAATCAGTGAGGCATTGCGTTATCGTGCTGAAGAATGGCATCACTTCGCTTAACCAACTTTAGGCTTTAAAGAAACAGCCGACGTCTAGTCTAATAAACAGCGAAAATTAATCTTCAACTATCAGGGTAATAATGCCTGTCCTGAAATTACCTATTATGCGTCGCTAAATGGAACTCAACCCTTATCGCCAGTGACAATTTTTTGAGGAAATTAATGCAATTTCAAGCTGAGAAACAAGTTCACTGGAAAGTGACTACTAGTAAAAATTTAAATACCTTTGCACTGTTGACCATGGTACTTTAAATCGTGTCTCCAATATGCTCAGAATCAGTTTCAATTTCAGTAAACACAAGATCTATCAAAAAGACGGTAGTTCGAAAATTCGAATTCACCTTCGCAAATCAGTTGTAATATCCATGGCATTTGGCAATGTATAATATGTAGCACTTGTAGTACCAACAATTGCAAAGAATTAAATGTTTAAATATACCTGATCCACCGTTTTACATTTCAGCTTAGAACAGTCCATTCATGTTCCTTAACAATACCAATAAGCACACTAGATGTTACTAAATTTTCGTAAAAATATTCCGTGAACATGTCGGTAATACGAAAATGAGGTGTGTGACCTGTAGGTGTCTAAAATTAAGTAACTTGAATGTCTACACAAATGGTACGCTCAATAATTGTTAAAGCATCAGAAACTTTAAAGACTCCTACCAGGCTGATCCAGCATGAGTGCTCCAATAAATTTCCGACGCTGTGTCGTCTGGAAAACCTTCCGAATCATGCAGGTCCATTGACCCGTCCGGAGAAAGGCCTCTGCCATGGCAGTTATTTTTCATCGATCGACATTGTTGGACAACACAGCGACGGGGTTTCGAAACTCTCCTTACAGGCATTGTCCCATAAGACCCCCCAAAGTCGCCATTTCTACTCAAGTCGCCGTCCCCGTTCAAATCGCGATGATCCCTTGGTTTGCGTCGAGGTATGGAGTCATAATAGTCGTGAGCGGTACAGTGGGAGCAGCGACTTCCGGAGCGATGGTGGTTGCGAGCAATTTGTGGATGATTTGGCTGGAGATTTCGGCACCGCCTGGAGACCGAGTAGAGCTCGTCTTGTTCCGGTTCGTCGCTAGGTAGTGAGGGCGAGGAACTAGAGCCAGGGCTAGATCGACGTTTTATTCGAGGAGTTGGAATATCGTCGGCAGGACTTTCAAGTGGTGGAGAAGAGCTTCGACAGGGGGACTCTTGAGGCTCCTATTGAAGAAAGCAAGTCACATACCATGTATTCTACGATGTTCATCACCTTCACGCATTAGCCGTAAAGCCTGTTTTCCATTTAACTGACATCATGCATATATGGTCGCTTTACTCAATGAAGCATTTAAATCATATGCGACAGCTCTTAAAAATTCAATAATTTTCTCTTATTTTGGCACAAAACAGGTTAAAAAATGATAAATTCCTCTCATATTTAAGTAACCATCTGGGTACAATCGAAAATTTTAATAAGCGAAATTTAGGTTTGAGGGAAGGGATACAAAAGTTTAATGTGAACAGATAAACCCAGGAGTTGTGAGAAACCATTTCGAGCGATGATGAAATAAGCAAAATGTTTTGATGACCGTTATAAATTAAGTTATAGGAGTTAGGCAGGAGCCCAAGCAAAAATTAAATAACTAAAAATTCCCTTCTGAATAATTTTAGCTGATCCTAATGCTAACCCGCCATAAAATACCTTAATCAAAGTCCGTGTGTTATGCAGAAGTGTAGCAGAACCAGGTGTATCGTTTTCCTTAGCAAGTTTGAAACTACTGTCTTGATGGATTCGTTGATATATGCAAATCTGATTAAACGAAAGCACCACAGGGCGCCACAAAGCACAAATGGAGAGCAGATTATTTATCGAAGGTGATATAATTCGACAGCAAATGTCATACCACGGTGGATAATACTTCAGATCGTTCAGGCTCGCAGATAGACGAAAAGTCCTCCATATCAGTAGTTTCTACATCCGCCTGCGGAAAACTGGAATTTTGCTCAGCCTTTTGATTTCCTCTGTAGTCCACCCCCTCTATTGATTCTTCTGACGGCAGATCGCTCTGGTTAACAGCAAATTCGTCGTTTTCTTTACGGGAAGCCTCACTGTCCTCTTCTTCGACAAGAGAAGGATCTTTCTCACCGGCAACTTGGCGACGACGCCTCTGGAAAAGTATCAATGAAAAGTGGATGTTTGTTCAAACACGAATGCGGGCGCATACACCATGAGCATAGTAGATGCGATCACACGTGACCCTTAATCAAGGACCAATCAAACAGCCTGATGCGTGCGTGTGTGCAAATAAATCTCCAACCAAGCTCATCTAGAAGCGTGCATAGACACGACTGCGTTCGCTGGAGTGCTTACTAAGTTGTAATGAATGCGGAGAAACACGCTAAACTCCCATGAATACAAATGTACTTTGATTTCTCCAGGCGGGAACATGTCTCTACTCTCACAACTCAACGATCGTATGTACCTACGTTAAGCGTTGAATGCAGGAACCGTTTGTCCAACATAAGAAAGCTCTTCACGTACCTTCTCAAGATTACCTTACCACTGAATATACGATCCTGCCGCTAAGCTTTGCAGCTGCTGCCCACTGAAGCAAATTCAGCCTGGCATATTTTTTTAACGCAAAGGAATTTCGCTAAATGTTAAGCTCTCTCGATTTAGATGATTCATATTTTCAAAAGGACATGGTTACCAGCTATGCACAGTGATGAATGGATTTGGTACTAAAAAAACCACGTGGTGTCGTAACACAGTCAGGTCGCGGGGGAGAATAATTGAAGACTTGGAAGGCCGCCGAACTTGTGAGGGCAAAACCAGTCTTACAGAGTGAATCCACACGAATCTTACCCCAATGTGTCTGCCACAAATGCTTTTTGGGTTATTCGGTTTTTTCGTCAAATTTAGCAGATCCCTCCCACGAAGAGGCTGTGGCCCAACTTTTAAATGAATTGTAAAGTTACGGTAGCCAAGGCTTTTGAACATTGATTTCCTTCTTTGACAAAAATACTACAGCACACAGCAGGCCATTGTAAGCTGATTCGATCAAAACCTCTTTCTCAAGAGGATACATAGATGGTGGCTTAATAGGCTTCAGAGTATGAATTTCAAATAAAATTTTGATCGCCTTAGGCGAGCAGCGTGAGGTACGTGACCTCAACTAACCTGGGACGAATGCAGAAGAGCAAGGAAGGCGGCTTGGTGGCGATCAGCAGCCACCTTGTCGCCCTCCCTTAGGGCCCGCTGTCGATTGGCTTCGATTGCGCGCCTCCGCTGGTCCAGCGAGAGACGCAAGACGGTTGCGCCTTTGCCTGTTGTCACTGGTGGAAGGACTGTCTGGGAAGTCGATGTGGCCGGTCTATTCCGTTTTTCGTTTCTTTGGCTTGCTGTTTCTGACCAGCTTGCAAAAAATCAGGGAAACGTAAATTATTTTTTTACAACCCATGAGTTTGTGAAAAAAGTCCATTTACTTGTTGCCCGGTCGCTCTAAAATAACACCTCAAATATGGACCAAGCTGCTTGACTAAAGACGCTACGCCAAACCGATGGTCCTTATGGCGACCTAACAAGCCTTCTTTTGATTTTAAATGCAACTATTGCTTGAATATCACACGCCACTTACGATTTCGAGCAAAACTTCAGCAAGTTTTATCCACAGCCAATTTTTTAGCGCCAGAGGTTGTGATGCCACACATTCATGCTTCTGGTGAAAACTTAACTGCTTATTCTAGAGCATCAATTTAGGCCCAAAAGGAACTCCTCAGTGGTCGCTGATAAAAACGCACGTGAACGTGATTTCGTTCATCGGGGCATCCTGGATCTAGAAAGCTACAACTCCAGTTTCATC